TGCATACTTTGTTAGCCCCCTTTTACCCTATTCTTCAGTGGTCAGGACCCCCATGGACCCTCACAGAGCAGGTACTATTTGGGTGGTAGATCATTCTCAGCACTGCAGTAACACTGATGTGGTGGTGGTGTGTTAGTGTGTGTTGTGCTGGTCTGAGTGGATCAGACTCGGCAGTGCTGCTGGAGATTTTAAACACCTCATTGTCACTGCTGGACTGAGAATAGTCTACCAACCAAAAATATCCAGCCAACGGCGTCCTGTGGGCAGCATCCTGTGACCACTGATGAAGGACTAGAGGATGACCAACACAAACTGTGCAGCAGCAGATGAGCTATCGTCTCTGACTTTACATCTACAAGGTGGACTGACAAGGTAGGAGTGTCTAATAGAGTGGACAGTGAGTGGACACAGTTTTTAAAAACTCCAGCAGCACTGCTGTGTCTGATCCACTCAGACGAGCACAACACACACTAACACACCACCACCACGTCAGTGTTACTGCAGTGCTAAGAATGATCCACCACCCAAACAGTACCTGCTCTGTGAGGGTCCATGGGGGTCCTGACCACTGAAGAACAGGGTAAAAGGGGGCTAACAAAGTATGCAGAGAAACAGATGGACTACAGTCTGTAATTGTAGAACTACAAAGTGCACCTATATAGTAAGTGGAGCTGATAAAATGGACAATGAGCATAGAAACAAGGTCATAATGTTATGCCTGATCAGTGTATGTATATATGTTGCTTTGTAACAATTATTTATTATATATATTAAACAAACATGAGTAAAAATAGAGCCATAATTTAACAACATGTATTTACAAGTATGCGAGTAGGCTACTAAACAGTAAATGTAATTAGTTTCTTTCCACCTCTGCATATCTAAGGCTAAAAGTCTAGTGAACACTGAACTTCTCCCAGACCTAAGGTCACCCAAGGCGAGAGGATAACAGCAGCAGATAAGTCAGGAAAGAGTTTTAATTTTCTCTGTGCAGAGAGCTCTGGCAGTGAGTAATTGCAAACACAGCTGAGTTGGGAAGTGAAGATGAGCTCAAAGCCTAAACGTGAAGGTCGATGGCCTCGCAGTATCAACAGCTGCGATGGGCTGGAAAAAGAGAGTAACACTTGGAGTCCTGTGGGTTTTGTGTGCTTATTTTATGGTGACAGGAAAAACTGAGTCATGTTTGAAGGCCTGAGGTGAACATGAAGTGGACTGTTTGGAGTTGTGATGAAGTATTTCTTGGGTGGGAACATGTTCCTCACAAGAGTTTAAGGCCTTTTATGTTCAAAGCAGAAAGCTTATCAAAAGTAGGGTAGAACATTGTGTTCGTGTCCTGCAGAGAACAGTGGTCTAAACTAACTCAGTACTAAATTTACTTGAATTTGTGAAAACATTTTTTGAAACAATAACTAAGGCATTTACCTCTATCTAACACAAGATCCCTCTGAGGGTCATAAGTAATTGGACTTTTTTTTTTTAGTTTGCACATTCTGCAGTTGATGACTGCTTAAAGTCTGTGACCCATATGCATCACCAGACGCCGGGTATCTTACCTAGTTATGCCCTGCTAGACCTGCACTTTTCAATTCCGTTCCGTTGGCAGTTTTCAGTTCTGTTTTTGCCTTCAATCTTGTCTTCAGCAAGTAAAACAAGAACTTAGTGAGGTTTAGGTTGGGTGATTAACTTAGCCAACCATAAGCATTTAACTTTTTTAGCCCTGAAACTATCTGTAGTCACTTTAGTGTAATGCTTTCGATCATTGTCCTGCAAAGTAGGGTGTCATCCACTGTGTTTTAACACTTTTGGTTGGATCTGAGCAATTAAGACGCTACTGTAGAGTTCAGAATTCATCCCACTAATGCAGCTGCCAGTAACATTAACAAATGAATCAAGAAGTTTATTTATTAAGTTATAGTTAGATATAGATATAGTTATAAGTTATAAGTTATAGATATAGAGACAGTTATCAATGCCAATGCCACTGTGTATTACACACAGTGTCGGGGGGAACGTAGTACAAAGTAATGCATTACAGTAATGTGAATATCTTTACTGTAATGAAGTGGTGTAATGCATTACGTTGCTTGTGTTAGTCATATGTCATATGCGCAAACTCAGTGAGCAATCTGTCAAATCTAATCGCACTAATATGAAACTGACAGATGAAGATTTCTGTGCTACAGAAGAGAGAGTCTCAACCTCACCTGAACAGGCCAGACTCTAATTTCATTCAGGAACAATTCTGTGGAATCAATTCTTTACGTCTTATTACATTTCACGTTTATTTTGAGGCAGCTGTTTTGCAACTGTTTTGTTACTACTAGCAAAGTTCTTGATTTTCTGAACATTAACTTAGCAGTTCATGATGTCTTGTTCGTGGATAGTGACTGGCCTTTTAAACGATATTTACTGATTTACTGTAACCTGGCCTTTCGGGCCATGCTGATGTTTTCTTCCAAGGTCTGCAGAGATGTTTTTGACATATGTAATGTTTTGTCTCTGATTCATTTGTTCTAATTTTTCAGCCTCGTTATGACCTGCTTTACTGGCATTGACGCATCTTTGCCTGTCATGTTGAAAGACAACAGTAACAAACTCCAGACGAAAACACTCCATCTATAATCAAGTGTAGACCTTTTGTTAGTTCTCTGCATGAAATAACAATGCAATGTCACAGTTGGCCAAGAAACAACTGAGCTACAGCAATTTTTCAATTACTTATTTTCCAGTGAAAAGGAAGGACTTTGTATACAAAGGCCTATAATTTCTATTTGGTTCAGCCCAACAAATGTAAATACTTTCAAATTAAAGCTGATATTTCACTTCATAGTCATTATTTTAATTTAAATCCAAGCCACAGAGCCAAAGCATACAATTGAGAATCAAACCGACAAAAACTGTGTCACTGGTTAATTGCTCATGGACTGCTGTCCTGTTACAAACAGACAAGCCTTAATGCTTTAGTTTATGCCCACGGCCTCTTGAAAAGGCCAGCACGGAATTTTCCATTCAAAACCACTCATGACGTAAACAAAAAGTATAACAATTATGGACGACAAAATGCAAACACGTTCTTGAAGCCAAGCTAAGTAGAAGCTGTGCACGCCTTCTCCTAATCCCTTAAGAGGCCAGGACCAGTGGAAAATTCCCACTCTGGTCAAGCTCACCGGGCCACAAGCAGCAGCCCACTAGCCACATGCCCCCCCCTCTCTGCCCTCCTGTGTTTTTATGGGGAAGGAGACTGGAGATAGTTGGGTTGTCAGGCTTTGCCATTGTAGCCCATAAGGTTCCATTTGCATGTGTTCATCCAAGCTGTCATCACACAATTCCTAGAAATATGTTTGTCTCCCCCCACATGTGGGTGGGCAAAGGAGTCATGGGAAAAAGAAATGTGGAGGGATCAAGATGAGTTCAGGATTCCATGATTAGCATTATACCCTTCTCCTGTACCTGATCCTTTATGTATATAGCAATTATCACTTGATGGACAAAAAAGTAAAAAAATGCTCAAAAAGTTACAAAATATAAATTTAAGCTGCAAGACACTTGCCACTCCTGTTTTAAGCTATGCAACATACTGTTGTGCATTTTTATAGACAACAGTATGGCAGAAACCTCATAAGCAAGTCTGAAATGAAAACTGAAACACGGCTTCATGCCTAGTTGCCTCCTACAGCAGTGACACACTAGTATCTAGGGTGAGATTTTGAAGACTAGGAAAACCCCATACTAATGAGAAACTTTTAAAAACTACAACTCTAACAACTAGCTGGCTAATGCAGAAAGAACCTAAAAGATAGCTAACATTCCTGCTAGGAAGCAGAATATGATGTGTATATTCATTAGCCTCTGTATCAAAGAAAGCAGTTGACATTTCTTTATCGCAGCAAGATTCCCAATAGTTGTATGCCAATTTGTGTAACGAATGCTGGTTATTATAGTACGACAAATAATATAGTGCATTCCACTAAACTAATGAGGTAGAAGGATGCAATGCTGTGCTACAATATACTGCATGTACTGCAAAACAACAAATAACAAATTCTAGTTTTGGTCAGAATGCCCCTTCTCAGTTCAGTTTGAAGCTAGCGTGTGATGACTTAGGCATGTAGTTTAGACAACCCTGTTTGGTGTACATAAGCCTTCATTACTTGCTAGCTACATTTGCTTAATGTGCAAACTATAGAAGCAAATTTGGACATCAAATATGTCACAGCTGATAATATCTGGGGTAAAGCGAGAAAAGTGTGTACAGTTTCTTTTTCGCCAAACTATTGCTTTAACCAAGGATATATAGGCTCCTCTATGGTTTTTAAGTGGCTAGAAATAAGAAGTTTTCTGGCCTCTGATTTGAATAATATAATGCATTACATACGTTTGAGACCTATAAACTAAGAACATGCAATGTCATTTATGTTAACCTGAAAAAAAGCAGAGAAAATCCACCAAACACCATTCTAATTACATGATGCCTATAGCATGACTGTTACATCACTCATTGCACAGACATGCCATCTGCTTAGAGCAAATCCTGTATAGGTTTAACAAAATATACGTTTGTAATACAACTGCATGATATGTCAAAACACTTGCAAAAAAAAGGCAAGACCCTCCCACAAAAGGACACGGTTTGATGAACTTCTTTGAAACAGTAAGCTATAAAGCAGCCATAGGTTTATTCTGCATTAGAGTTTGACCAATATATTGTTTGGCCAATAAAATCGGCTGATATTAAGTTTCCACACATTCACTGGCAAGGGCCGATACTCAAGACAAAACCGACGACTGAAAATCAAAGCACTGTTTAATTAAACCACTGCAATATGTGTAATTTCCCCTCAAATAAAAATGTATCAGCTGATACTGGTTATGGGACATTTTCAAATGGGTTTTGGCAAAAAAATGTCATATTGGTTAGGCCCAGTGTTGTATGTGCACTGTGTAGTGACAGGACGAACATTTTGTGTCACAGACCCTAAGTAACATCCATAATATCCTACCTGCATCCCTAGGCAGGCCACCATCATATGTGTGAGCAGTTTGGCAGCAAACATGGGGAATCTGGAGCAAAGCACATGGGAAATAATGGCCAAGGCAAACCCTGGGGGAGGAAAATAAAACCAGTTTTAATTGGCATAATTAAATTTATAATCCTTCCTCAAGAGACAGAAAGGAAACCCTTATTGTTTATAAGTTGTACACTTACCAACAACACATTTTTGAGGTAAACCAGTAGGTTCGATTTTCAAGAAGCCTTCAGTTATTTGTTTAGAAGTCACACTGTCTTAAACGTTTGGGGGCGTCTAGCTTATCAGCATGATTTAATACATGAGCTTGTTTTGTGAGTCTGTTATAAAAAGCTATTTAGATCTTGCCATTTTTATTTGCAAAAACTACAAAACTGAAGGAACAACTGACTGAAGTGAAACCTTTGGGAATTTTTGTGATATCAGGACTCAAATCTTTCAGCTGTAAAACATCTTTTATTGATGATGTGCTTTTAATAATAGTTTGGAGAAGAAAACTATTGCATCAATGTTTGGGCAAAACCTGCTCTTTATGTCAAATAAGACACTTTAATGAACATGAAGCAGAGTGCTGCTAAATACAGGCAAAGCATTAGCATGTATACAAAGAAACAAACATTAATATGACAATTTTCTGCAAATTTTAGTGGATATTTTCTACTAATTTGCTAAGTTGAAGATTTGGTTTGATTGATGCAGATAGATGCAGGATCTGACCTGAGATGCAGATGAAGCCGGCAGCGTAGAAGGCCTCGTTGTATGAGGACAGTGCATCTGTCTCAGCGTATGCTGTGTAGATGGACAGATGTGTACAGGCGCACTCCACAAAGTTCTCGCTGTCGTCCACCACACGGCAGAACTGACCATCAGACAGCCAGCTAGACAAGAGAAACCATTTGTTATTATGAAATATCAGCAAAAGAACAGTTCAATAAGTTCAATAATATTTAAGTTGAATGCACAAAATTTTCAAATCCATCGGTTCTGCAGTCAAAATGTACTTCGAGTCTTCTCGGCTTGGGTCTGACCATTGCATGGCGTTCTAAACGTCAAATACTCAATCACAAAAGAACAAGATAAAATTTGAAATCAAACCAATAGAAACTAAACTGTGTTCAGTTTTGGCTGGTGGTTCATCTCATGACTTCACTTGTTAAATGACATCACTCTTACCTATCCAACACTGTTCAAATGAAGACCAGATATCTGTATGTTTAAATACACTGAAAAAGTTGTTTACTTCTTCAAGTGACTGTATGTCATTTTAAGATTGTAACTTTCGTGGTTTTACTTCAGTCTCTCTCGAATGACACTGTCAGAAATGGTGTTTAGTGGCTTCCAAGCTTGCAATAAGACATTCAGGTGGATTAAAAGGTTAAATGTTCCCCTTTATTAAGGAAAAACATCAAGAATATTATTATCAAACTACCTTATCTGAGTCACAACTTTGAGGCTGCAGTGTCCTGCCAAACCAAACTCAGGGGAAGCTGGATACAGTCTGTTCAGCCAAAATGTTTCGAATGTCCTTTAACGGAGCTTGCTGAACACACCGAACTCTCTTGTGAACTCACACGTACGTATAGAACCGGAGAAGGACACGCCAGTGCGTGTCTGCATGGAGTGTGTGCAGGTGCATGCCTTTAAAAGGAGTATGTCAGGATGGGTCATGAACGCCAGGGCCTAACTGTACTTATTAAGTGTGTCATAAATTCTTATATTGGGTAGATGAGATCAACACAGTCATTGCTCTTGCAGATGATAACAAAAGCATTGTGTAATTTTATATTAATTATTTCTCACTCATATCTCATTGAAACAAGCGTCTCAATGTCTACAGTCTTGTTTGGTGGACAGAAAACCCATTTTTTGGAAAAATCCTTGAAACAAAGACAAACTTTCAATGTAAATGCAATTGAATATGTAACTATGAAAGTATGAAATTAATGATGTCGTCATAGAACTGGATGTGAATAATTATTTGTGGTAAAAACTATGACTGCATTTGTTGCCATATTAAAAACTGCTCTGCTAGTCTGCAAATGTACTTGCATGTACTATTTGGATTGTAAACAGAGTTAGTTATAGCAGTAGAGCCAAACTTGAGCTGCAACCGAGTGATGAACTGCAAAGTGTTCTTGACTATCAATGACTGAGTGGACTTTTTAAACTGTAACACTTCCTGTGGCTTATGACAATATTTGTAGATGAAGTTTAAACGTGCGTGCGTGTGCGTGTGTGTGTGTGTGTGTGTGTGTGTGTTTCTGCGTGTGTGCATACAGCACTGTGCAAAAGTCTAAGACCTAATTTCCAGTCAAAAAAAGTTAAAATGTTATTCAGTTTTAGGACATATTTATGAAGGAGATTAGTTATAAAATAATCCACCTGCATATTGAAGGTAAAATAAGTGAAAAAAAAAACAGAAGTTCCCAAAATTGAAGTTAAAAAATTAAAAAAAGGTTATAGAGAAATTCTAAGACCTGGTAGGCCAACAGAACTGTCCTCACCAGATAAACAGTACTTAAAGTTTTCGTCTTTGAGAGAGAGGAGAAAATCAAGCTCCACTCGTGATTCAGATCTGAAAAAATTCACAGGTGTTTCTGTCCAAACATCCACTGTGAGAAGCACTATGAGTCTGAAAGGGTTAGTTTAGCTGTCAAGAAGCCGTTACTGAGGAAAGGAAATAGATCAATACAAAGAACATCTGCATATCAAACCAAGAAGCTGCTGGTGTTTCCTGAACAATGGACTGGACACCCCAGAGTCCAGAACTAAACAACACTTAATGTGTTTGGAATTATTTGGATTGTGAGAAGCAAAAAACGTTACCAACTTCTAAGACTGAACTTTGGAGGTGTGGAAAAATATCTCTTCAAATTTCTTTAAATAACTGAAAGCAAGTCTCCTGAAAAGAATGGAATTAATAAAGGCAAAAGTGGACACACTAAATACTGAAAAGGTTGATATTGTATTTAGTTGTTGCGGCTTCTGTGTAATTCCTTGTTAAATACATTTTCTGTTATCTTTCCTGATGCTGAAAACAAATGACTTGTATGTAATGATCATTTTGACTGGGACTAAATAAAAGGGTGGCCACAGTTCTGTATATGTATATGTGGATAGAGTCAGGTAAGCTACCTCTCAGCGGCCTGGTTCCACAGAAGGCACAGAGACTGGCGTGGTTTGACTCGGCGGTCTGGTGTGTGTATGCGGTACACCACCTCTTTACCATCTGTGAGAGGCCTCGACCCTCTGCCCTGTATACTAACAGAGAACACCTGAACAAACACACAGAAGTGGTTAAAATTCATAAACTAGCTAAGTTATAATTTATGACTAAACACCCACAAACGCAAACACTCTGGCTGCTTCTGGGAAATTATACCTCACTATAATAGATTACTGATTTGTCAACCACTTCCACATATGACACATGCAAATCTCAGTTAGGAGGGAAAATGGAACAGCCATGGCCTGAGTGACCATACACTGTAAAAATAAAAAGTCAGCTCAACATAAAATTTTAATTCTTATTAGAGTTTTTCTTGAGTTAACTCCATTTGAAACCCCAACTCAAACTTCTTAGTTTAGTCAAACATTCTCCTAACTCACACTGCTTTAGTTCTGCATTTCAGTTAGGTAAACAATATACAGTCACGTGCAAAAGTTTGGGCACCCCTGGTTGAATTATGTTTGGCTGATTTTCTAAGTAAGTACAGATCCTCTGCAGAGAGCACATTTCTGTAAGTATTCATTTACAATTACTGTTTATTTGCTGAATTTAACAAATTGGGGAAAAAACATAACAAAAGTCAGCTCAATTTAAAATTTTAAAGTAAGAAAAACTGTGTCAAATTTTAAGTTAACTCAACTTGAACCCTCAACTCAAATCTTTTAGCTTGGTCAAAAGTACTCTTTACATCACAGGCATTTCTCTTGTTGGTCTCACACTAACAGACAGCTGTAGCATTGCTGAGGTCCATAAATATTTAATACAATTTAAAAACACTTTGAAGAGGATCATGTATGTGGTGCAAGTGTTGCAAGCAATGCCACATCTGTCCAAAACTGGGAGCCCAAAAGTGGAAAATACCTGGTAGAACTGTGTGATGGAAAGAGTTTCAGCTGGTGGAGACCCCGAGTCGGTGGTCATATTACATTTTTTGCTGATTATATGTGAAAATAAGTACACTACATAGAACAAACTTAAATACGGCACTTTCTGCTAATTCTAGCACACAGTTCCCATTTGCTGAGTTTACATTGGAAAAAATAAAGCACAAAATATAAAAAGTGCCATTTTGTACAAGCCATAAGTTATGTTTTATTCTCAATATGTTAAATTCAGCAAATAAAGAGTAACTGTGCATTACAACATGCAGAAGTGTGTTTTCTGTAGAGGATGTTTAATTACTTTGAAGATCATCAAGACATGTAATTTAAACTGGGTACTCAAACTTTTGCATGTGACTATGTTCTTTCTCTAACTAAAATGCAGAAGTAAAAAATGTGATTCAGAAGAACTAAAAAGTCTGAGTTGGGTGAACTCTAGTGCCCTCAAGTTGAGACAACCCAAGAAAAGCTGCGTTATAAGTTGCCTTATAACTTTAAGTTAAGCTGACTTTTCACTTTTGACCAAATGATAGAGCAACAGTGCCATCAGCAGGACAGTTGCTAAGGCCACTGGGACCATACTTGTCTCAAAATTGGGACCATACTTCTCTCCCTTTAAGAATTATTCAGGTGTATTGTGCTTATACTCAGTGAACACTTTCTCATGTACACCTACCATACAGATGTCCTTGGTAGGTTTAGAATTACATGCCACTAGCATGCTGGTATCAATGCTGAGCTAAGACTGCTCCATGCCTCAAGTAATATCTGGTCAGAAATAAACACCTAGGCCTAGAAGCTTCTAAAGAATCAATTTCTGGTTCAGTCAATCTAGGATTCAGATCACAATCATTTGGAAATCTAAAACATCTTATAGCATTGTGGTTCTCAATTCCACTGCCCTGTACTTTGTAGAGCTTCTCTTTCCCCAACACAACTGATGCGATTATCGAATCAGCTCTTAACAACCCTTCCTGAGTACTCACGGACATGACTGAGAATCAATGTCTTAGCGGACTCATGATCTGAATATCTCTGAAAGTGAGCTCCCTGACTTTGAACTGGAAAAGTGAATCAGAGCTTCAGTCCTGCTCACCTTGTCATTGAGAGCGCTGGCTTTGTTGGTGAGGAACCAGTGCTCAGTGCTGTACTCTGTGAAGTGCACCTTCTGGCAGGCAGAGGGCACCATGTCGCCCCCTGGCAGAGCAGGCACCTCCAGCAAGGTCTCGGGCAGGGTGAAGGTGTCTCCATTCTTGCCTGTAAAGGTGTGGCCATTGATCTGTGTTGGGTACCAGTGGTGAGCGGCAATGGTAAGGTAAGGACACGAGTCCAGGATGTTTTGTCCCCTGTAGAAGAGACAGTGTACAGTGTTTTGGAGTGGGGACACTTTTCAACATTCAACAAGCAGTATTTCAGTTGAAAATAATAAAATGGCTCAAAATGGATCACAATGGCTCATACCGAGAGCTAATGGTGCATAGTTAGCATTATGAGAGTTTTTGCATATGATGACACTTAACTGAGCCCCATTATGTTTCAGTCATTGTTGGTCAAACTGAGCATAATATTAAGCTTCAGACTAAAACAAACTTTAGTTTTTGAATGTTTGCCTGCTGGAAAAAAAACACGTAGAAACCAAGTGTTTCTTTTGGTTTCTGATGGTTTTGTAATGTGTTTTGGCTTATGGTTTAACTGGTTGCCAATGGTTATTTGTATACTGGCAACGGTATCCCTTGCTGAATGGTAATATGCATGGCGACACATACAGCCAGCACAAACAGTTGCTGTTTACATCAGAGACGTCACAAATGAGGAGACCGGCCACTGGTTGAAATACGAATGGAAACGCTCAACTTTCCTATAAGGACTCTGTTTACATGGCACAGTCACGCTGACCTGCTGCGCATGCATTCCACTGGCCTGAAACCGCTGGAGTGAAACTGCGGGTGTAAATCTACGGCTCTGTGGCTCTGCAGTCAGACCCTTCTCAAAAAACCTCCACTCCTGCTTCAGCTCTGAAAAAATCCACAGGTATTTCTGTTCATCCTTCCACCGTGAGAAGACAACTCAACACTATGGATCTGAAAGGATGTGTAGCTGTCAAGAAGCCATTACTGAGAGAAGAAAATAAAAAAGAAGAACATTGGCAAATCAAACTAAGATGCCGCTGGTGTTCTCAGAACAATAGACTGACCACTCCAGAGTCCAGACCTCAACGTCACTAAATGTGTTTGGGATTATTTGGATCATGAGAAACAGAAAATGCAACCAACATCTAAGACGGAACTAAGTTAAACACAGTCTCTGCTTTGACATCAGGAGTTCATGAGTTTGAATCCCAGGGATGCTCTGCTACTGGTCGTTGATATTGGCCAATACATATATTATTTAATTTTAGATAATACAGTTATAAAAACAACAACAACAAAAAAAAAAAAAAAAAAACAAAAAAAACAAACAAACATTGTTTGCAGTACCACTGTGGCCTTGAGTGTGTAAAACACTTCAAAGCAAAATTAAACTTCTCCTATTTCAAATTGTGTTAAGCAGACAGACTGGCTAGGTCCAGCATGTGTGACTAGACTTTAGACTCTTACCTCCGACCCTCAGCCCCACATGGCATGCTGGTGACCAGTGAGAAAGCAAAACGCTCTGCCACCTCGGATAGGTGGCTTAGTCCACGTGTGTCTGTCCGAGTAGGTTTGGCCAAGGCGCAGAGAAGATCATAAGTCAAGCCACGGCTGCTGGCCTCCAGAGGGGTCTGCTCGGCCTTTGTCAAGGTCTAGTTCAAGTGAAAGAGAAAGAGTATAGTCATTTAGAGTTAAAGTGGCAGTATGGTGCACAAAACTAAAGATTTGATGCATCAGTGCATCATGGTGCATCGTGATGCATCACTAGTCATGTTTCTTTTATCATTCATAATGCTTTATATAATGTCATCTTTCCCCCCCCAAGAAAACTGTTGCTGCATAAGTTCTGGTTTGTGAAATTTTTTCCATGTCATGTACAGTTCTATACGAAAGTTCGAACACTCCTCGTCAAATTATATGCTATGTTGATTTTCTAAGTGAAAATAAGTACATATATTTTCCACAAGGAACAAACTTAAATATGGCATTTTCTCCACATTTTACTACACAATTACTTCACAATGTATTGGAAAAATAAAACTAAATATAAAATGTGCAGTACCTTTTGCATAGGCCATGTATTTTGTTTTATTAGGTCCCTTTTTCCCCTGTTAAATTCAGCAAACAAACAGTAATTGTGCAGAAGTGTTTCCTCCGCAGATGATGTGTACTTACTTTCACAAAAATGTCATTTAACCAGGGGCGACCAAACTACTGCAGACGACTGTGTATTGCACTGTTTTTTTAGTGTTAGGACTGATTATGATTGAAATATGTAAAGCTTGGTGAGTTGATTGTAATGTCTATAATCCACTACTGTACTAATAGTTCCCCCAGTCATGTTTGTATTCAGCATATTTCTAAAAATAATTCTGAATTGCACCAAAATAAATGAATTAAACAGAATCATAGTGAAATTTAAGATTTAATATGATTCAAGATCCACCAACTGAATCAAAACATTATAAGGTCAAAGATTTACATGTCAATTAATTACACTCTCACACGCACCTGGTCCACTGCGCCCAGCACTGCGGTCAGCTGCTCGTGTGTGATTTCCACACTGACTTTGTTAATCAGCCCCTGCAGCACTCGGTTAATGACTGTTTCATCTAGAGGCTGTTGGAGCTGCTCCAGCAGGGTCCAGACTGCCTGCGTCTCTGTGTCTGAAACCAGAGTGATGTTGGCCACGCCGTACACAGGATGCACTCTTGCTCCCCCAGTGGCGTCAGAGAGAATTACACGGAAACGCTTCGGTGTAGGGTTGGAGGATCCAATGTTTGGTGTGAGGGCGACGTCTAGAGCAGCACTGTGCTGTCCCAACGTCAAAAGTGAGGATGCCTTCAGCCATGACAAAGTCCATGCCAGCCACAGCAGGCCAGATCAAAGTGGGGACCAACGGACTCGGCCTTGGGCAGCTCCTGTGGCAAATATAAGACAAAGAAATTAAAAAAATAAAGACAGTTGAGTTAACAGTGTCAGTATGGACTGGTTGCACTGTACTGTATGATGGAACGTGCTGAGAGATTGTTTGATTTATTTGATTATTTGATTTATTTAACTTTGGAAATGTAACTTGAGTTGTAAGAATATTACAATAGTTCAGCTTTATTTCTTGTTAAGTTAAATTGTCTTATTCCATTGGCAGATAATTTGGCTTGTTTTAAGAATTACTCTTCAAACAAGTCAAATGGATTGATTTCACTGGATAAAACTATTTAAAACAAGTAAGAAAGTCTAAGGTTGCGTAGGTGAAATAAGGGTTGCATAACTTTTAAATGTTTTTATAACACTCTCATAATGAGACATATTAGAAATAGATGTCCAGGCTTAAGATGATTTAACTTGCCAAGATGTCATTTTGCAATATATTCCAAAGCAGTGCAGTATCCTCGCCATAGCTGATTTATAGCAAGGTCATCGAAATGCTTTTTACTATGGTTACGTTTTGCATGTTTTATTTCAGAGGGCATGGAAAACAAAATGTAAAACAGGCAATTAAACAAATTACAGTTAACAGAGGAAATCAAACATACAGTCAATCAAAATCAGTTTTATTGTTCAGTAACTACACTGAAACTGATAGGTATGAAAAGCTTTCAGTTTTTTTGGCAGGAAAATTGTTTTGCTTTGCCAGCGTTCTTATTCACAGCAAGGTAACCAAAAGAAACTGAGCTCCCCTTCTGTATTTGAACAGTTTCTTCAATAAAAAAGTAATAATATTATAATGTCTTCTCTGCAAATTTTACTCAGTGCAGTTGTTTTACGTTGTTTTAATTCTTATTATTCAATAATTACAAGGACTACTTTCTGTGGCATTTTTCAGTGCGTTTTTTCTTATTGTACTAAACTTAGTTGTTGGACATGAATGACTTTGCCACCACATATTAAAGGTTTATTTACAGTTAATATTATAGTTGCTATTAAAGGTACACACAGACACAGACTTGTGGCATTTCCAATCATTAAAGCCAATAAAACTGTAAATGACTTCTGTATACTTAACCCAGTTTAACCAGCCACATGGCACAGAAAGGAAAGTGATAAAAAATAATATTCCACAATGATGCATTTACTATGACAACAGTGCTGTAAGTTACATATCAGGATTACAGTCTTTGCCAGAGTCAATAAAATTCAAACTGGGATGACACACTTTTTCAGTAGATCAGAACATAAAATTTGATCAAACTTTTAGATTGTTGGCTTTCATATCACTAATTTCAAAGGTTCTAGCAAAGCAAGATCAATAACAGCCCTGAGCTAATGTCCTGATCAAACGTGCATTATGATAATATACCACAGGTGAGCTAGCATATGTGAGGGGTGGAGAACAAGTGAAAGAAAGAAAGAGTGAGAGAGATCAAGGGTAACAGAGAGAGATAAGTATAAAGGGAGATAAGTATAAAGGGAGTGAGAGAGCGTGAGAAAGCTAACATAGTAGCTCTCTGTACCTCCAGCTTGTCAAATCCTGCTTTTCAGCTGTAGCACACATCTATACGTACAGGCTTTGAAGTGGCAGTTTGAGACTAAGTGGCCTAATCTGGTCTGAGATCAGAGTCTGTCCCACATTCTTCAGCTCTATTCATAACTCTTATATCACCTGAGCACTGTCACAGCGAATAAGGTCATATTATATAATCTTGTCAACCAGCAAGACACTGGGATGTGACCAAGCTGGACCCTAGTACTGGCTCTAAGCTCTGCTCTGTGGCTACCAGGGGGTCCCCCAACAATTTCTGGGTTATTACTTTATCATTATGTTGTCTAAGATGCTAGAAAAAGGCAACTGGTTAATCATTTCAAAAACGAACATACAGATTTTATGTAAAGGCATGATTTGTTTTTCTGACATTTGTAGTTGGACAACAAGTAGTAGTGGCTCTGGGGTCTGTATAACAAAGCAGGTACAACTTAGACAGGCTTTATGATTAAGTTTCAGCTTCACAAAACCTATCAAGCATAACGTTTAACAACTTTCTCTGTTAACTTTAGATAAACAGGCTGTGATTAATCCTTTTGTGTCCTCACCTGAAAGTGTCAAACATGAAAAAGAGTTGCCAAAGAAGGAAAAAGAAATATTACATAATTAGAAAGTAAAGTATTTATAAAGGTAAAAGAAAGCAACACTGACACCACAGCCACTGGGGTCAAACATAGCCTTAAAGTTTGCTGGACAAGCAAGAAATGCTGCATTGTGAGACAGAGCCCCAGATTGAGAATACTGAGAAAGTCATCTGTTTATTTAAACTGTAATTGTTTTGAAACCCCCAACGAACATCCATCATCAGCAATACACAAATTATTTAACTATAAATTTATATAACTAGGACAGCTTGTGTTAGTCATTGTTATAAGTTGTTGGCAAATTTTACATCAGCTAGCAAAATGGGCCCCCCCAAAAAAATCCTGCTTAGGACCCCCAGTAGGCTAGAGCGGCCCCTGCTGGACACATTATCATGCTGTGTAATGAGACTTTGGAGAAGGTTTTCCTAATTTTTTAATTATAAAAAAATATATTTATAAATAGTTTTTATTGGTGACCACTTTTCTTGATCTGCTGTAGCCAAATATGGGGTTCCCCAGGGATCTACTTTGGGCCCTATTTTGTCCTCCCTGCATGTTATCACTGAGGCAAATTATTAGCAAGCATAACATATAATTAAATTACATCTAATTACTTGTTTAGAACCAATATACAAACCCGTTGCCATGGAAATGCTTTGTTGACTTTTTCTATGGAAAAAATATTCAGTGCAGAAGAGAATGATGTGTACAAGTTGAATTAAGTAAAAGTGAATACCTGCAGCCACTGTTCTTTAATCTTTCCTTGTGACAACTGAATATGTACCCATCATTTTTAAACAAGGATTTCTGGCTAACCACCTCAACAGTAACACATTTAAGTAAGGCATTTTCTGTAGTGGATTGGGGAATTAAAAAAAAAAACATAAAATATAAAATGTGCTATAACTTTTGCACAGGCCATGTGTTATGTTATTTCTACCAACATATTAAACAAACTGTAACTGTGCATTAAATTGTGCAGAAGTGTGTTCTCAGTAGACAATATGTTAATTTATTTTCACTTAGAAAATCAACAATATTTCCTTGTCCCCATATTTGCTTGTGTGTGTGTGATACAGTGTTTATGCGGAAATGTTAATGGACCTCACCTGCATGGTGTACTTTACTGAGATAGCTGATGTCACACTGGCGTCCCTGTAGACTTGAAGACTGACAGTGGTCGCTCGGAGCGTAGCCACAGGCAACCTGGAGCCCACGGCGAAGTACACCAGCCCGCGTGGGTCATCGCTCTCCAGAATGGTGACGTTGGCGAAGCGGGCGGTCTGGTTGATGGCAGCTCCCTCTCCCACCTCATAGATCTCCACCAGAAACCACACCGCAAACTCTGGGTCCTACAGCCACACACACAAGAAGATACTGGCTTAAATAAAAGAAACTGAGCCATAACTGAACCTCTTAATAAATTACATGCAATCTTTTTATTAAGAGCTTTATTAACAGCTTTGCAACAAAACCACCTTTTCTATTTAATTCTGCAAAATAACAAGTTATAAAACATAATAAAATATCTCCTCTTCTGTCTACAAGCACAAATGTGGTCATAGATGGAAAAAATCTGAATTTCTCTGTTTGTTTTAACGAGCTACAACAGAGCTGCTGCACAGTTTAATACAAATCCAATGCTTTTATCTCCCTTAAAGGGGAAGTCCACTGATTTCTCAAAATTTCTGCATAATTTAATTGTTAATATGTAAACAAAGTCATTCAGAGTAGGAACCAGACATTCGAGCATTTAAAAAGCTCTGTAAAAGCTAAAGTTATTTCACAAAATGGTTATTAATGTACTGTCTGATGTTTGAGACATTTTTTATGATAGTTCTGCGACAACATTTTGGTTTATAACATTTTTATTTAATCCATCCATGGCAGAGAGGTACATGCAAGATACTGTAAGGCAACAGAGTCGCCAAAGAAAACATTTTATTGTGTTTACCACTATTTTACCATTATTAACATTACATATAAAAACTCAGAAGATGTGTGTAGGTTCACTGGTAGTTTTGAGTGGTAAATAAAATGGCTATATTTGCATTGTTGACATTGTGACCCCTCCCTGGTTCCTATCACCACCACTGTAAATAAATTTGAGTCACTAAGTTTCTCTACAATTAACCATTTTATATCAAACCTCAAATATTGAATTATGTAGAATTTGGTGGAATTCCCTGTTAAATGGCCAAGATTTGGTGGCAGGTCCAAACTTTTATTACACACTTCTATATCTTAAGAATAACTAAGCTAATTTGCCTTGTAATCTATGTAGTTACTGAATAACACGCATTAGGATGTAATAAGCATTCAATTTTAAGGGGTTAAAACTTTTTAAGACCATAGTCAGGTAAAATAACATTGCATCCACCCCATGACATTGCAAACAAACACATTTTAATGCCTTACTCTTATCTCAATTTTCCCACATAAGACTCTTTTCACTGTGTCTGACCTTATCACTTTTGGCAAGCTCAGGTAAAAAATTATTAAACGTTTAAAAAATTGTAAAACGTAAATAAACTGGTTGCCTTAAAATGTTGAGTTCACTAAACTTCCAATAGTAAGTTAACAGAACAATAATATGCGTTTTACTTTCTGTTAACTTACTATTTGAATTTCGTTTAACTCAATTTTAACACAACCAGGTTACTTACTTTTTAAGTTAAAACATTTCATCATCATTTTTACAGTGCTCTAACTCTTGACCAGTGGTCAGTTTTTACCACAGGACCCGTGTCAGAGGGATGTTTTTGTTTGCAGGACTACTCTGAATTATTTTAATATACACTCTTTTCTATCTGGTCTTAGACATCATATTAGTATTTATTACTTCTAATAGTAAAATATAACGCATTTTTTATAGAAAGACAGTATTTTCATATCTCTCTTACACTGTGATTAGATGACCTAGATAGCTATAATTCGACTTTGTATGAAAAAACATTGATAGCATGTGTCTGTTGCTTTTTGCCATCGTATCAAGCAGTGATAAAAAATATAGCCACTGAATACTGAGCTTAAATGTCCCATATCGTACTTCAATATTTCTTCAATATCTTCTTTTATAATGTTTATGGGAGTTTTTGTACCAAAAATAACATATTTTCAGTTTTATAAGACCCTTTTCTCTCTTATTTCTTAGAATTAAACAGAGTGTTAGTATGCCTTTAAGACTATTAAAGACTAATATATCGCTGCTGTTGGATCAAAACCTTGTATCTCCAAAATGATAACTTTACAAGAGAAGGAAAAAACATACTTTACTTTTAATGCAAGTCAATGGAACCAGAACTTTTTCCAAGTAATTTTGGGCCATTTCTTTTGGTCCGTTCATCAAGACATTTAAACACAATGTAAAGGGCAGGCATTTTCAAATTATGTCAAAAAACTGAAAATGGACAAAAATGGAGATACAAGGTTTTGTTCTAACAACAGCGATATTTAAAAGAGCTCTATTCTGATTGGTTGCCCTGTATTGAGCAGTCTGGACTGAAACATTCGCCGTCACTTGAACCACATCATAAATGGATGTAGCTAAACCGGTCTAGTCTGAATAGGTGGCTTTTTTTCCACCATTTTTAAATGTTCTCTTTCTTTGTTACACCACAAAAACAATGAATACAACTAGGCTGCTTAGTTTACATACGTATACAGACTGTACAGACTGGGAAGCACATTTTAAAACTTTTTTTCAGTAAATTTTCATGATACGGGTTCTTTAATGTCAAAGAAAAGCAGTTATACCTCTGTGACATTCAGTTATTTGTGCTGAAAGGTTGCTGTGCTTAGACGAGGAAGTAGAGAAAGTGCTGAAGCCAGGCTGGAAAGAGATTAAGAGGCACAGTGGTGAGCCAGATCAAAGCGTGAAGAGAGCAGAGTGCTCAGCAAGAGAGCTAAAAAGAGCCACAGGCTCCTGCAGAGAGAGAGAGAAAAAGGGAAAGGGACAGAGAGAGAAAAGGAAGAACACCGGGTGGGGAAAAAGAAAGACCAGTGGAAGGCTTGCATTAGGTTTCCTCATAGCCACTGCTGACTGTGCGTACCTGATCAGGCCGGACCTCCAGATGGAGGAGGCAGAGCATCTCCCCTCCCCTGCACAGCGCTCTGCCTGAGGTCTGCTGCAGCTCTCGCGTGAGATTCACCCCCTGACTGACCAGTGTGGGAGCCGTGGGGCTGAACGTGGCCCTCCAGTACACAAAAACGTCCTCAAATGCTCTGTCAAACAAAAGCATCATATAAATACCATCCAGAATGTAAACTGTGGCCAGTAGGAAGAGTTCACTTAGTAGAAATAGTCAAGTTCATCAAAAAAATTAATTAACAAGTTTTCCTTTACACCAAATGTAGTGGCTCAGTCTAGATATTTCTCCGAAGTTTCCTTCTTTACCTTTGTCTTAAAGCTACAAAGCTAATGTAGCTAACCAACTTAACTAACTAACTTGCACTCAGCTATTAGCATAATGCAAAATCACCTCACACTTGTCTCACAGTTGTAAAGTATTCTCAAACAGACTTGCTTACGTGGTTTCTGATACTGTGTATCTATAAAAACAGGAAAAATACAGTGACCCCAAAAAGTTCACTGTGTTAGGAAACAAAATGTCAAACCAAGTGGCATTTATTTTAAAAAGATTGATCCAAGACTGTAATTTTCTTTGGAAAATTATTCTTTTACAAGGCAGGTGGTTCGTGTTAGGTCTTTATCGTTTGAACAGTTTTCTGCAGACTTCTGCAGGTTTGCATCCAAAATTCCTTTGTAGACTTCTGAGTTTGTGATCCCATCGATGAACACAAGCTCACTAACACCAGCACTTTACGGTACTCTTCTCCAGGCTTTCTCCACACAGAGTGATCATCAGTTTGATGTTGTGCTGAAAGTGTTTTTCTCTGAAAGACTTTATGAAGTAACCTAAAGATCTTCATTAATGTTAAACAGTAAAATGGTTAAAGTGTCTAAATACTTTTTGTGACCACTGTATGTGTAAGCTTTTACACAGAACTATTCTATCTGAGCCTCTGAAAAGATGTGGAGTATACTTATTTTTAGGTAAAATTCTGGTGCGCACCACATACTAACGTGTTCTCCAGATACCATCAGGTGAACACTTGATACCATCAAGTAAGCATAAGATATTACAAGGTGAGCATCTAATACAATCAGGTAAGCATCAGAAACTATCAGGTGAGCACCAGATACAATCAGGTGAGCACCAGATACAATCAGGTGAGCACCAGATACTATCAGGTGAACGCCAACACTATCAGGTGAATATCAGCTAAATATCATGAGCATCAGATATTATCAGGTAAACATCAGATATTAGGGGAACACCAGATACTATCAGGTGAACGTCACATATTATGAGGTGAACACATGATAGTATGAGGTGCGCATCAGAAAATACATCACATCCTTTCAGAGGCTCCATATACAACAATGGGTCATCTGATGCAGTCTGGCTAAAGCATCTTAGCAGTACAGTATTAAATAAGAGGCAGAGGGCTTTTACCTGTTTTCCTGCCTTTGGAGGATGAGTATGGCAGTCCTGTTGTCAGAGTCTTCATCCAGGGCCTGACCTGACTGAGAACTCAAACTGAAACCCACAATTCCATTATGAAGATCACTCCCTGAGAGGGATAAACACATTAGAGAAATGAGTCAGATACGGTCAGCACACAGAAATGATGACCACACATCTCCAGAACCTCTTTATGCTAGAACAACTAGTTTGTCAATCACCCAAGAAACATTTGGCATCTGAAGTTTGCCTCTTTAGTACTGAATGAACAAAAGTATGCTATATGGCTAAAACAGTAGCACCAATTTTGTTGGTACTTTTATCCATTTTCAACCACATCAGCATTACTTAACAACCTGACATGGCCTGAGGCTCGTATGATTAACACCCTGAACACACTGGCCTTGTAGTACCAGTACAGAATTAAAGAAGCAAATTGGGCACCAGGCTTGTCTTGGCTAATGCACTACATTTGGGGTAAGAGAGTTAACAGTCCTAAAAATGTGACTGCCCCTACAGGATGAACAGAATACTTACCAAGGATAACAATTTTGGCAAAGGAAGTGAAGCCAATCTCGTCTGGCAAGCTGACTATCTGCGCTCCCCCTTCTGCCTCACTGAGATAGATGAAGAACACCTCTTGACCCTCTGGCTCCTGGTCATCTAGGATGAAAAGGCTGACCTCTGCCTCTCTCTGCCCCTCCAACAGAGTCACTATCTGGGAATCCAGTGCAAAGTCCTCTCCTTCTCTAGCCCAGGTCAGGTTGCGTTCCTGGAGGAATGGAGCCATGTCCAGCCCCGGTGCCACAAGGCCTCCAGCATAAGCCCGAATTCTGACGCTGACCACTCCCGTCTGCCCCACTGTCCTACGCACCCTCAGCACCACTTTTTGAGGTGGCGCTCCCTCCTGGCCATCTTCAGAAGCACGGACCAGTGCTGGACCAATGCTCAAAAATCCACTGACTGCATCATTAGAAAGAATGGTGATGGTAGAAATGCTGTTTTCGGGGATGATTCGTGGACGAGCACTGGGCGAGGGGTAGCTAGCGCTAAGAACACGAACATCGGTCAGGTTCACGTAAAACGTCTCATTCAGCTCTGTCAGTGAATCGTCCAGAATCGATACGTGAATGGCAGCAGATGTTTGCCGGCCTTCAAACAGCAGCTGACCGTCAGGCACTGGAGTAAAATCTTCACTAGGACTGGCGCTGCCTGGCCACGTCTTATAGAACAGCTGGGTGCGGTTGCTACGGAAACCATAAAGCCGCTGGACATAAAGTGTAATGGTCTGGACGTCCTCCTCGATGACCAGGTGCTGAGATTCAGGTGAGAATCGATAAACACCCAACGGCTCCACCTCCGCTACCGTGTAACCAGACCTGAGCACAAAAAATCATGGGTATCTTGAAGAGAAGAGACATTTCATAAACATGTAGATGTCACAGGTTAGATAACAAGGCAAGTGGGAACTCCATGATAGGATTTATTATATTATTCATATTACAATGTTTAGGATGTGATATGCATTAGAAAAATAATTTCTTTGATTGAAACAAGTTAAATCTTTGAGCAACACTTCAATACCACTGTAGAATTTACAGCACTATGCAACCTCTGTGCCTTCAGTGGAACCGGGACGCTAAGGGGTAGTTTACCTAATGCTACACACATATACACATACAGAACTGTGCAAATAACAGAGACCACACATCATTCATATAATTTTTAGTCAAAACGACCATTAAGTACAAGTTATTTATTTTTTCAGCATCAGGGAAAAAACAGACAGCATATATTTAACAATAAATTACAAAGACAGCTCAACAACAAATAATAATAATACCATATTTTTCTGCATTTAGTGTGTTCTACCTTTGTCTTCATTTCATTTTTTGCTCTTTTTGGGAGACTTACTGTCAGTACTTCAAAGAAATCAGCAGGGATATTGTTCCAAACCTCCAAAGTTCAGTCTTAGAAATTGGTTGCATTTTCTGCTTCTCACAATCCAAGTATTCCCAAACACATTCAATGATACTGATGTCTGGACTCTGGGATGGTCAGTCCATTGTTCTAATAACACCAGCAGCTTCTTTGCTTGATTTGCAAAGTTTCTTTATTTTTTTGTTTATTTTCTTTTCTTAGTAAAAGCTTCATGACAGCTACACATCCTTTCAGATCTTTTAACCCCATAAAATCACAGGCTTATTACATACAAAGGCTTTTTATTCACTAACTACAGCAAATTCAATGCAAACTGGCTGAGCTATTCTTAGGATATAGAAGTGTGTAATAAAACTTTGGGACTGCCGGTGGGCCCTGGCCATGTAAGCGGTTAAATTTTTTCAGATATGAAGCAAGAGAGGAGCTTGATTTTAAATGAAAGCGTTAAGTACTGTTTATCTGATGGTGATAGTTTTGGTGGTCTACCAGGTCTTGTACCTTTGTTAGGATCCCCATTTTCTCTATATCTTCTAATCATTTTTGAACTCCAGTTTTGGAAACTCTTTTGACTTTCCTCTTCCTTATGAAAGCTGATAATCTTACATATAATCTCCTCAGAAATATCTCCTGAAAATGAATAACTTGTACTCAGTGGCTGTTTTGACAGGAAATTAAATAAATGAAGGGTGGTCTCTGACCTTTGCACAGTAATTAGAAGTATTGTAACTCTAGAACCGACATTACAAAAAAACTTATGTATACACAAACTTGTTGCATAAGAATATTAATGTAATTGGGAAGTCTGAAACGTTGTTAAAGATATTTTGAGCATCGCCCAATTTTCATTTTTATTGCATTTTACAGAGAAATAGAAAAAAAAAAACATTTACTAACTCAATGATTGAATTCAATTAAAGAAAGCTAGTATGACAAAAATCAGATACTTGAAGGAATTTTCATGTTACACAATACGTATCATCATATATAGTTGATCTGAGGTTTACAACCAAGTTGGAATGAACAGCATGCATTACTAAATAGGCATTTAAGAAATGGTTATGAAAAACTGGGAGTGCAGTTTAATAGTGGAAAAACCAAACAGTTGGTGAAAATAAATAAGATGATGCCATAACTGACTAACACCAAATCAGCAACTTATTACTAGTTGAAAATGACACTAACACCACTGGTTAAATTTTTATGTACAGCATTGTTTAATGTTCTAGAACTATATCTGCCACCCAGGAAGGCATATTGTAAAGTAAGTTAATGTATGGTAATGTTATGTAGTGCAACAATATTATATTGTCAATCATTAAACACACTTATCACAACAGTCATTACCTGAGTCTGGCTCCCCCTGCTGATTTGGACTCTGCGCTGGTCAGGTGAACAGCATGTGCGACAGGCTCTGATATGTTATACGCAGCCGACAGGGGTATGATCTTACTCCTCTGGCCATGAGACAGTGTCACAGTGCCTACAGACAAAGCCAAACAGCAAAGACGCTGAAGAAAGAACTGGACATTTTTCAAAACTCTCTTTACTGAACAATTAAATTAAATGCAAAGATTTTTACGACATCACAAAATAATCAATTCAAAATTGCCTGTTTTTGCAGCTCAGTTTCCATATATGGCCTGCATGGAGAGCGGAGTGAATTGTATGCTTTGAAGCTTTGTTTATATAGTATATGGGACGCTTTCCTTATAAAAAGCAAAGGAAATTTATTTTTCTATAATACAGGCCCTTTAAAGTTATGCCAAAGGGAACCTTACACAGTAAACATTAACCGTGGAGAAATCACATTTACAGAAAAAAACTTCTTGCTTATTTAGCTTGTATGTAATTTGAACATGTACTTTGTGGTCTCAAAACAAACTGAAGTATATACATTGTAGTTATTATCAGGTAGTGGATATGATGAGTTAAGTCCACAAAAAAGAGAACTGGCTTCACGGACACCTCCTAGACATAAAGTTCATTATCAAATATATCGTTAAAATATCACTGAAAAACAAACAATATCACAGTATGTCAATATCACAACATTCCACTCTAAGTAATTTTGCACCATTGCCATTTGTCCACATTAATACTTTGTGTGCCTCTTTGTACAACATTCTCAGCCTCTGGTTTATTTGGATTAGATTGTGTATAAATGTGTGTGTGTGTGTGTGTGTGTGTGTGTGTGTATGATGGTGGCTAACCTGAGCTGGGGGTGACCACTCCTGGCTGGTAGCCTGATGGAGTCTGGCCAGGAGGGAATCCAGCTCTCCACTGCACATCCACATCTCCATACAAGCCTGTTCTGCTCACTATTGCCTCACACTGACCACTCACCACATCAGACACCTGCAGAGCCAAGGAGGCAAATCCGACCTACAAACAAAGCGTTCAGCATATTCACTGCATAGAATTTGATACAAATATACAGACAGGAAACATAGTTTGCACTTAATAATAAGAACAAAGAATCTAGATGATATGTTTTGTGGATTTTAGTGAAAATAAGTTAACAAATGCTCTACAGGTAACAAACTTAAATATGGCATTTTTTCAGCAAATTTGACAGAAGTGCAGAAGAGCAGAAGCGTGTTGTCTGTAGAGGTTGTGTTAACTTATTTTCACTTAGAAAATCACCAGGGGCACCCAAACTGCATATGACTGTATGTATTGTATTGTTGCTGTTGGAACTAAACTTCATATCTCCAAAAAGGTAACTGTACAGTAGAAGAATATCTTTAACTTTTAATGGAATTTAAGGTAACAATGATTTATTGTAAGACATTTTGGACCATTTCTATTAGTCAGTTCATCATGTTCATTTGACACTGTGTACAGGGCAACTGGCACTTTAAAAATATGTGGAAAAAAAGAAAGAAGATACAAGGTTTTGTTCCAATAGTGACTTTATATATATATAAATGAGTGTATAAATAAGTGTAGTATGTATAATCATCTATCTATCCATCCATCCATCCATCATATGTGAATGTGGTGCCCTCTGGTGGTTATTTGTCAAATCCAAGGCAGACACTCACCTCAGCATTGGCGGCCTCCTCAGGCACAGACACGATTGCAATCCTTGCCTCAAGCTGTACACGAGGAGGGGAACTGAGAAGAGGTCCTATCAGAGTCGCATTCGTCAGCTCCACTGTGATATTAAAGCCAGTTACAAAGAACACCTGCAAAGGAAAAGTGAAAAATTTTAAGGGAAAATCAATAAGTACACAAAATGCAAACAGAAACAGAAAAAGGTGATCAGTAAAATTTGTTTCATCTCTGTTACACAAAAGCATATCATCTGATGTTTTTCCCTATGACCCTTATTGGAGTTGTACATTTTTTGTAAATATGTGCTTATCCAAACAGCATACGTGTAGGTAAATCTCCAAAATGTGTGTTTCATTGCGTGCACAGGCATGCAAGTTACCCATGCTGCGGTCACTAATACAGCCTCAGACTACAGACCTTGGCTTTTGAACTTTACACTGGTAACAATTTGGATGATCCTGTTCTACTTTGGCCCAGAGAACACAGGGAACATGCTGCAGGCATCAATTTCAGGATGAACGTAAATTTACAAAATAATAATAATAATAATAATAATAATAACGAATAAGGTATAACATTCAATATCTTCTCTTTGTGCCATTTTTTTTTGTTTGAAATGAATATATAAAATTACCCCTTTCTGTTCTTGTTTTTATTTGTATCTCACATACTATCCCAGCTTTTTTTGAATTGATGTTTGTGCAAATTTGTCTAGAAAAGAGGGAAAACTGCTAAATGAAGAGTTCTGTGTAAAAAACAAAATTACACAGTCTTCCACTTTATGTAGCACATTGTTTACTCACCAGGCTAAACACAACCAAATAAGCAAATTTCAAACATGTCTGAGTACATTTGGGGTAAGGAAAAAATGTGTAGTTAGATGTTTATACTGACTGAAATATTCCTTTAAATGTTCATTTGAAAGTAAGCACATTAAAATAACAACAGACATACTGTATGTTGTACTAACCTGTGTGCTGACTGGAACTGTGACACTAGCAGAATTCACTCCATCCCTCACCAGGATACTCCCAGTAGATCTATCCTCAGTGAAGCTCTGTCCAGGTGTGGGGTAGCTGATCCTATACCCCACACTGACATTACCAAACGTTCCAGCCAACCTGCTGATGTTTAGAGCCAGATGCCTGCTGCGGTCAGTGGCATTAATGACCAGTGCCTGCCACTGTGGTGGAAGGGCAAAGACACCATGTGGCTCATCATTGGCACGGACACGGAGACGAGTGCTGCTGCGGTCAGCGTCAAGTTCAGCTCCGCCCTCCACTGCAATCAGCCGGATGGTGTAGGTCTCCTCCAGCTCTGGGACAGAATCAGGCAGCAGGCTGAGGGTGATCTCCCCAACACGCTGACCAGCCAGGATGGTGGTGAAGCCATGGAGGGCAGCAAAGTCACCTGACATGTCTGAGTCACTCAGGATCTCCCAGAACACCTGAGGAATAAAGACAGAACTGAGCGCACTGAGTACTTCTTTGTCCACCTCTTTTAAGGCAGGTATTCTACTACTGAAGCTGCTGCAGACACAAATCACAGATTGTCAAAGAGTTCTCTAAAATTTGTGGTCTCATATCATTTATCATGTTAGTGCAGTTTTATGTAACCAAAACAGCTACAATTCATTTTTAGATTAATATTTTAACCTCTCTTTACCCTTAAAAACCAGTCTGTTTTTGTTACTATGCTTTCAAGACTGATGATTGGCTAAATAGCTCCCAAGTGAAATGAGGCACTTCATGTTCAAAGAGCAGTTCAGGCTAAAATGTACAGAACAAACTGTTTAGACTGAAATCCTCAGTCTCAGCCACTCCTTTCAGACATCTGGATCTTACGGAAGCCTAAAAAATCGCCCATGAATTTTTCTACTTCCCTGTTTCCGTTAGAAGTGTTGACTGAACAATGTTGAAATAATTTTCTTGAAATATTCACTCTATAAACTCAAAATAATTACTAATTTCCTTAAAATATTGACTTGATCTCTTAAAATAATGCATTATTATTTGTTGAAATAATAAGTTATTTGTGTTTAAATTATAAGTTATTCAATTTTAAGAAAGTAAATATTGTTTGGGGATAATAAGTCATTACTATCTGACACTAAGTCAATAGTTTGACACATTAAGTCAATATTTTGAGAAAACCAATCATTATTTTGACATAAGTCAATATTTTGAGAAAACAAGTAATTTTTTGACATTGCAAATCATTATTCTGACATACAGCTGCCAAAAACAGAAGCAGAGAAAGGTGATTTTTTTCTCTTCTACCTGGGGAGAAATGGCTTCCATTGGATCCTTCAGAAGGCTGCAATGATTATTTGCTTCCTGACAGCCAGGAACAGCACAACGTTTAACAGTTAACAGTTTTCCCCACATCTTCCACTGTAATAACTCTACAGCTACAGACTGTCTGTGTCACGCCTCGGGCGGATTCGGACTACGTTTCCCAGAAGGACCTGGGAGATCACATGGATGAGCAACTTCTCTCAGACTCGGAGTCCAGAGCGGACTCCATTGCCCATAATCCCTTGGGTGATCACATGACCCATGACAATCGTTCACGCACCTGTCAGCGTTCCCAATCACCTGAATATTGACTAAGAACACCTGTGTTTTGAATCATATGACTCTCTTAGAATAGTATATCAGCCCGGGCTTTAGTTAAGCCTTTAGTAAGTTCTCCGGAACTCGACCCACGTTTGTTATATCGACCTTTATTTTTGCCTACTCCTTTTGTACCTTTGCTGATTCTGTATTGGATTTGTGTTGTTGACCTTTCTGCCTGCCTTTTTGACGACGATTTTGACTTTCACCCTTGGTTTTGTCTGCCCAGTGTTATGATCACTTCGGTGATCTTCTGCTGCCTTTTGATCAAGACACACGCTTGTTTTTCAACCCCGCTTGTGTCACCTGATAATAAAACATTGTTTTTTGCATTTTTTCATCCGCGAGCTTCTGAATTCTGTTGCTGCGTCACAGTCTGTACTAACAGCACTCCACACTTCAGCGTTAATGGGCTTCCACACTGCTGCAGGCTGAACGTTTACATACAACACATTAACTGAAAAAAATGCCTGTCTCTTGGACTGAGTCTCTGTTTATTGAGTATGAGGTGTAAAAGAAGCAGCGGTGTGAACGTGTGTCCTTACAGTGATGTTGCCCATGACCCCCTCTCTGCGTGTTATGAGGAGGGAGATGTTGAGTGGACCTTCACTGTCTGCAGGCTCGCTGTGCACACGCTCTCTCAGATCCTGCTCTGTGAACTGCACTATACCATTCGGGTCACCAAACTTCGCAATCTGTAAAGAAATATATTAATTTCATGACAAGATTTAGTTTTTTTCTTTCATTTTGTTTTTGGTTTGCATTTTGAATGAAAGATCAGAAGAATAAGCAATAAAGGCTTTTTTGCAGTCCAATTAGCTCATGTCTACCAGGGGTGCTAATATTTGTGGAGGCACTGTAATTCATTATAATAGTTAATGATGTAAGTATGTAACTACATGTAAACAGTACAGCAAACACATCACAACAACATGACTGCTAAAGCTTAAATTGTTACTTGTGCCTAATAATTACAACTATGCACTGTATGTACTGTATTAGCAACCTACCCTGAGTGTGACAGAGCCTGCCCTGGGGTCAATGTCCATTTCTCCAGACAGGATGCTGAGTCTGACCACAAATGTTTCCTCCACCTCCACCTCCCCATGGGGCAGAATCCGCAGCTCGATGATGCGCACGCCCTCCTCGCCATCTCTGAAATGGAACGATCCGTTCACGGGTTCACCAATATCTGTGTTTACAGATGGTAAAACCTCGTTTGAATTGGGACCTAGTATGTTCCATGTTATCTGAGGGAGAACAACCATATTCCACAATTAGCAGGCTTTACATTAGCGCATGAAGAGACACATCAAAAGGTTCTGATGACACAATGAGGGATTATTCAAGTTATGTAAGGTTAGCGTCTTTGTATTTCCAACTGTTGTTTTTGTTTGCATCAAAGGCTCAATAATCGTCGTTAATGCAACAACTTTAATACAGCAACAGCTTCATTAGTGCTGCATGGCTCCAAATGTTTCTAGGATAATTAAAGCATTTTCACTTTGTTCATCTGAAATCTCTGATTGTGACTTCCAAAAGTATCTCAAAGTAAAAATGACACATAGTTATTACTTTTTCCTGGATTATAATAAGAATATATTGTTATATGTGTACTGTTCATAAAATTTTTATATATAACTTTAATATGTTCTGTTATATTATAAATATTTTTCACCTAAAATTCAAAATCTAATTTTCTATGTAAGTAACTAGAAACATTACGAGAGGGACACTCTGACCAAAATGAAAAATTTGACCATCACTACATCTGTTACTACATCTGTCTCTTACAGCAGTGCCACAATCTCTCTAAAGTGAGATTTCCTGGTTTAAATCCCCTTCTGATGATGTATGTTGAAGGTAGAAGCACATTCTGAAAGCCTATAAGTGCTTTGGCTGAGTAATTAGGAGCAGGCTGATTTTTTACCCAGCTGCTTAATTCTTCAAATCAAATATTCCCTTAGAAAAAGTAGTTTTGTTTGATGACTGATTCAGGTCAATGCTATATCACTAATGCTAGCTAGCACCACAGGTTTATTTATTAGACTCTTAATCAGTGACTAGTGACCAGTCGGGACTTGCAGAGTACTATAAAGATTTCCAATGGTTATACACTTGAGAAATGCATGCTAGCTATTGTAGTGAAAGAACTCTAATGGGTATAAAACACAAAAATGACAAAAAATTGTGCATTCTGTTGAACCAATGAGAACAAGAGATAGAATGCTGAGCTACAAAATATTGCATAACATTACAAATAATATATTAAATTGTAATATTAGGCTAGAAGGCCATTTAACCCATTCATTTCATGGGTTACAGCGTGAATGAACCTAACAGCACCAATTAGAATTTTTATTTGATTGTCATTATCATTCTTTTATTCATAATCACATAGGGATTTCTTAATGTTTTGTTAAAAAGTACTTACTGTGCAATATAATAGTGTTGTTAATAAAAGCCTCTGTAGTTGTAGTATTGAAAACTAGCCTGTGAGATGCAGTGAGTCATAACTGGGACTTTAAATCAGTCAATACTTTTTCCAAATGAACCCCGCAGTATGCTGTTCCCTCTCATTAAAATCACGGGCCGTCCTTACAGTCTTGGTCAGCTGACCAATTCTTGACCCCTATTATTACATTACTAAACGTACAAAGACTGGGGAACATCCAATGGAAGTTTGTTTTTTTTCCAAATGTTTTCCCCATATGCGCAATACTTATGTGGCGCATAGTGTGAGGTTGCAGAGGCTGCAGTGTGAGGTCAGCGTCTAGACGGGGCTCACCATGGCATCTCCCACCAGCCCCCCGACGCGCTCCAGCACCAGACTGAGTCTCATGGTGCTGTTGGGGTTGGGGATGGTGATAAGACTCTGGTTGACAAAGCGGACCACTCCGCTGGGTGAGTCGCTCTTAGCAATGGTGATCTGGGCAATAAGCTGAGCCCCTAGTACAGCGCCCCCAGTGGCTGCAGTGAGCTGGATCTCAAACATCTCATTATACTCCCTGTGAACGTGAATGGAAACAAGAACAGATTTTAATTCTAACATGTAAACTCATGAGGTTTGGAAAAGATGACCACCATTTGTGTTCTATCTGCTGACTCATAGGTCTCCATATTGGTGCATCATTCTTGGCCCCCGCTGATCGCTGCTTCTGGCTATATTTGTGGACGGTCCCTTAGCAGCTCATAAGGGTTTCAACAGTTCATAGAAACCCATATGTTCTATTTAAACTGTAACAATTTCAGATGAAAACTCTCCTTCTTTATTTAAAATCTCTCAGACTTCATGCAAGCATGCAGGACGCTGAATTAACCTTTTTTAATTTGAACAATTTACAGTAAATTTACAAAGACAAAAAACAAAAATTGTTAAAAAAATCTCCTAATATTGTTAATATCCTATTTTATAGAAAAAAGTTACAGGCCGGCTAATGAATGCTAATGGCCCAAGATATATATAACGTATATACACACACCGGCCACTGAATTAAGTACACCTCCTTTTATCTACACTCATTATCTATTTGATCAGATCCAATTACCATTTAGATGTATTTTGTAGTTCTACAATTATTTATTGTAGGTCATCTGTTTCTCTGCATACTTTGTTAGCCCCCTTTTATACTGTTCTACAGTGGTCAGGACCCCCACAGGATCACCAAAGAGCAGGCATTATTTGGATGGTGGATCATTCTCAGCACTGCAGTGACACTGACGTGGTGGTGTGTGTTGCACTGGTATGAGTGGATCAGACACAACAGTGCTGCTGGAGTTCGTTTGAGGTGTTTAAAAACTCAAATAGTACCTGCTTTGTGATGGTCCTGTGGGGGTCTTGACCATTAAAGAACAGGGTAAAGGGGGGTAACAAAGCATGCATAGAAACAAATGACCTACAGTCTATTATTGTAGAACTACAAAGTGCACCTATAAGGTAAGTGGAGCCAGTAAAATGGACAATGAGTGTAGTAGTCTACTGTGGTGTACTTAATGTAGTGGACAATCAGTGTGTATATACATACATATATTTATATATATATATATATATATATATATAATTTGAATCTTTAAACTATTGCATTGCTTACCTGTCTAGATCATCCACAATGGAGATGTTGATGTGGCTGCGGTTCTGGCCATGTCTGAATGTAATGGTGCCATTAGGCAGAATGTAGTCTGAGCCAGGCTGGGCTGTAATGCCCCTGGTGATGAAATCAGCAGTGACCTGTCCATACGTACCCACTCTCCTCAGGACAGGGATAGACAGAGTGCCAATGTCCTCCTCAACTGAGAGTACGAACGAAGAAAAACAGACAATGTTATCAGTAATATATATAATAGCAATATATATTTGTGAGCTAGTGTGTCTGTGTACCAGTAATATTTGTGTAGGAGGGGTGAATTTCCAGGATGCCCTCAACATTGTCATTCTTCTGTATGATGATCATGATGGAAGAGAGGTTGCCAATGGCTGGAGGCTGATCTATCTGTAAACCCTGTTCCCTTATGGTAAAGTCCAGAGCACTGGGGACAGCAGGAAGAATGAAGTAATGATGATGCATAGCAAAAAGAAAAAACACCATCATTCACACAGAAATATGACACAAAGCTAACAACATCAAACAGCAGCGATCTTATAGCCTCAATCTTCCATATTTATAGATAACAGTGTTTCATACAGTGTCAAAACCACTTAAGCAAGTCTATTTGAGACAGATGCTAATTGGTGAGATATGCAGTACTGTGCTGAAGTCAGAGACCACAGACCATTTCTTTAATTCGAGTCAATACAGTCAATAAGTACAAGTTAATATTTTTCAGGAGATCTTTCTGATTACATATAAGATAACCAATCCACTTGCAGAAGGAAGGGTTTACAAAACTAGAGTTCAAAAAAGTATTTAAAGACACTGAGAAAATGGGACCCCTAACAACTGTACAAGACATGGTAGACCAAAATTGTCACCATCAGAATGTGTTTGGGATTATTTGGATAGGGTTCAGGAGAAAATGCAACCAACTTCTAAGACTGAACTAGAGGCAGCCCTGCAGATTTTTTGAAAAATTGAAACCAGGTCTCCTGAAAAAAATAAAAAAGTGTAATAAAGACATGCTAGAGAGTGGACAAAATACCAAGAAATGATATTATGTTTAGTTGTTAAGACTGTAATTTTCTGTTTTTGCTTTTTTTCTGACACTGAAAAATGAATAGTGGTCTGAATAGAACTTAAATAAATGAAGGGTCACTGACTTTTGCACAGTACTGTAAATATCCATTATTTGTTTGTTTTGTAGCTCCAGGGCAAAAGTAAAGAAACAAATTTTAGTCACCAAACATGCTGAACTAGATTTTGTGTAAGAGGCAAATTGTGTAAGAGGTTTTTTCACTATCACTGTACTGAATGGATGATAAGGCTCTTGGTGCTTTACTTGTCATTGAGGAGCTGCACTTGGGTGATGTTGAGATAGAACTCTTCGGGTCCCTCAGCAAGAGAATCATCCAGGATCTTCAGAGTGATGACTCTGAAGGTGTCTCCTGGACTGAATAGCAGTCTGCCTGAGGACTGTTCAAAGTCCAGTCCACTCACTGCACTTCGACCCTCTGTGTGGTAGCTGACCCAGACACTGCCCAGCAGCCCCATGGAGCGCACCACTGTAACGTTCACCTTTGGTGGAACAAAACACAGAACACTGATAAGCTAGATCATCTGTAGAGATCTATATGTATTTGACCTATTCCTGTGGTCTGAATGTTATTTTTTACAACGGGAACAGCCTCTGGTCAACAATTTATCAATAATTGATATTATCTATAAAATAACTTATAATCTATTAGATTTATCTAACACAAATTCAATGTTTATAGTGGTCTGACATGCATTTGATAGAGAGGAGAAGTTATGGGGAAAAAATAAAGCTCCTCCACTGTGGCTAGCCTAAACCTAATGGCATGTTGCCTTTATTTAGCCCTATCAGCATACAGTTATGTAGGGGAATTTCACCCTTTTTATTTTTATTTCCGTAGAATTAAATCATTAAAATGCAAACAAAGTCATTGAGTCATTCTCAACAGAGTCATTTTAGAAAAGCTTGCTGAGAAATGTTCACAGTGGTAGTGATAGGAACCAGACGTCTGAAGTGTTTAATGCCTCTAAAAGCTGGCTCACAGAAAGTTAGAACATGGAATGGTTACAGATATTATGCCTGAGACTTTTTTGTTTTACGAAATGTTTTTGGACTAAAATGTATTTTTAAAATACATTCATGGTGGAGAGGAACAGGCAAGGTATTGTAAAACAAATAGTATTTTTTTTTTAGATTTACCACATTTACAATGAACAACTGCACTTTAAAAAAACTCAATTACTTTGTTTATCTCAATTATTTAATTATGCAGATTTTTTTAAAATAATGGTGGAATTTTCCATTAACTAACTACTTTAACTTAACAGGTGTGTTTTCTGTTTCAGTTATTTAAACAGTATTCTTATGTTTGTTATTTAAAAATATTAACTGATGCTGCAAAAACAGCTCATGTTGAAGTCATTGTTTTTGTGATATCATGAAGTCCAGCACATTTACATAGATCTGAATATTCTGCCTAGAGCAGTATGAGTGGTTGGGACTGAAGTCATGAGATGTGTTTTAGCTAGACTGTTTTTTGAATGAGGTATAATACAGGGCAGGCTTAAAGGCACAGTACCTAAAAGAGCCTGTTTGATTCTAAAGGACAAAGAGAGATTGCAAAATGATCTTGTAAAAATTAATTATGACTGTTTTCAGTATAAACCTCAAACACTGTAAACTGAAGAGAAAAAAAGAAAAAAAAATGTAGGATCTGGGCTCTATAATTTTTAACTGTACCTGGCATATGTTATAAGCATATGTCTTGCTCTTGAGCTGTTCATTGAATAAAAGTAAATGACTGACATCTAATACAGTCATATGCAAATGTTTGAACATCCTAGTCAAACTGCATGTTTCCCACTATGTTAAATTGAGCAAATAAACAGTAACTGTAGATTAAATTGTGCAGAGGAGTGTTCTACATATGACTGTATAGTCATAAATGACCAGAAGGCATATATAGAGAGCGTTTCATAACTAAGATACATCCATTTCTTTGACATAACTTTTTGTCAGGGTCAGATCTACGGTTGCTAAAGAGTTTACACAAATATACTCATGTCATGTGTTGGTGTTTTCGAAACTGTTACTATGATCCCTTACTGTGAAATAAGCACAGTAACACAAAGTTACAGTCTTTGGCTTTGAAGTTTTTCTCCAGTCCACTCTACATCAACACCACACAGAACAGTTTTATGTGCAGTAGATGCAGCATTATAGGTAAAGGGTAGACTCTCACTGATCTATCCTCCTCTGAGGCACTGAGGGACGACTGGGAGAAGGAAAATAGGCCATAGGGCACGTCACTGGCTGCCATGGTGATGGTGGCATGCTGTCTGCTGGGGCTGATCTCTGAGCCGGGAGTCAGGGACATGAGGCTCAGCTCATACACCCTCCGCTCCTCCGGAACATCATCATCCAGAGCCTGCAAGAGGAAAGACATTTATAACTGTAGATGGAAAAGTACAAATTTGGCAAAAAATAGGATAGTATATCTAATTCACATAATTTCCTTTTACCACAAATGTAGTCAGTTTAGAGTCTTAGATATGCTTCTTTAGTTTTGCACTTTTTCCAAAACAGGAGTCGTTTGGAAAAAAAAGTTTATCATTTTCCTTTTACATGTTTGGTGTTTTTATTCTTCAGTTTAGTCTATAATGATGCTAGCAAACACTACAAGTCAATGGTCACCTAAATCTCCGAAATGGTCACCCGTTTCAGTCACACCAGGGTCCTCATTAAGGTTGTGCAGACTTTTTGATGTGGTTTAGTACATAGTATAAGTTACTGTGAGCTATCAAAAATTCAATAAAACACCATTTCAGACCACTGTGTTCAGCTAAACTGTGAAGTTTTCTTCATTTTAACAGTTCACACTGCTGTGTTCTAAACTACATCAACAGGTCTGTGTAACTTTAACAAAGACACATTGTGAGCAGGTGATTTACGAACAAAATCTGGGTGACTACTGACTTGTAGTGTTTGTTGGCTGTAAGCCTCATAGCTCCAATGCAAAATTAAGGAATCTGGACTGCAAACATGTCTTGGCTAATTGACTATATCTAGAGTAAGTGAAAAACTGTAAATTTGCTTTTAAACTAATCCTTTAAGGTTACGCAGCTAACAGGTAACCAAGGCCTATACTGCTCCAACTAGCATTGTGCTCAGAGGAAAATATGTTCTTAAATCATTACACAGCATATAACTTAACAAAGCTGTTAAGTAATCTCAACAAGACTTGCAAATGTGACTTCTTACACTGTAAGACATACTGTAACCTATAAAAATGGGCAAAATTAGCAATATTAGCTTTGCAGCACCATTGCAAAACTAAAGAAGCAAATTCCAGACACTAAACATGTCTTAGCTGATTGAGGAGGAAAGAGGAAAGTTAGATTTTTTATTAAACTGTCGCTTTAATCATAGAAATGTGCTTCAGAATAGAACTGAGGTTACTGCAAATGGGCTAACCATGCTATTATGCTAATTTGTTAATATGCACTTCTTGAATTCTGGTCATCACTGAACATCATTGATCACGTTCCACTGAAACCTCGCTTTAATCTTAGAAATGTGCCTCAGAGCAGAACTGAGGTTACTGCAAATGGGCTAACCATGCAATTATGTTAACTTGTTAAATGCACTTCTTGAATTCAGGTCAACAACATCTCCGAAACACAATGTAAGCAAATGTCACATTCTAAAAACTGACGGTGGTTTTACTTAAAAATAATACACAAATTAACAGTAAAATCTTCATTATTAAAACTTCTTCATTACTAAAACCATATGAGGAAACAATTAAAGGCGGCTTTATTGCTCAGACAGTCTAGGTTTACCTTCAGCTGAATGGTGGCAGCAGACTGGCGGTCTCTCATGATAACCTTGCCTGAGATCTCCAAAAACTCAGAGGATACGGCTGGGGTGATGTTCCAGTATATCTCAATCTCACCAAAAATGCCTGGCCCCCTGACAAGACTGCAATAAACACCATACAGAGACCTCACAAAAATGAGTGGGTGCTTACCTGAGTTACGAATCAACAAAAACACAACAAAAAACAGAAAATAAAGCTGTACCTGATCAGAGCTGTGCCATTGTAAGTACCCTGAGGTTCTCCAATAAGGACATTCCTGGAGGAGTCAGCTATGCCAACAATTCCTAGGGCTCCACGGTCTGCCCTAATCACAACTGTGGCAATGTCTAATGTAGAGAAGCAGACAAAAAACTTAATGTAGGCCTGGGTGATGAAACAATGATTATCAAAGTCCAACATCCTTTTAATATTGATAAAAAAGTTTGTTTGAGCTGTTTTCAATGTCGATAATCATGCCGTTCTGTTCCACAATCTGGTATTAGCAATAAAAGACTGAACTATGAACAATTACTACTTCAGTACACTAGGGGGTGATGTGCACCTTTTACTGGCAAAAACAAAGCTGTTCAGCTCCTAACAGCCCATGCCAGCATGAGTTAGCTAATTATTTTCATATACATTCTTTAGCATATTCCATACAGAACTGTGCAAAAGTCAGGGATCATCTTCTATTTATTTATTTTATTTCAGTCATTAAGTGCTAGCTATTTATTTTTCAGCCTCAGGAAAACAACAGAAAATATGTATTTAACAGAAAACTACAAAGGTTTCAGTATTTAGTATGTCCATCTTTCACCTTTCTTACAGCTTCTTTCAACTTTTTATGCTTTTTGTAAACACCTCAAAAGTTTAGTCTTAGAAGTTGGTCATGGGCATGAATTATTTTTAATTATACTCCATGTCACCAGCAGGGCTCCGTAGTACTGGCTTCTTGATAGCTACAATGTCTTTCAGACCTACAGTGTTGAGTTGTCTTCTCGCAGTGGAAGAACTGACAGAAACAATTTTTGATTTTCTCCTCTCTCTCAAAGACGAAAGCTTTAAGTACTGTTTGTCTGATGGTGACAGGTTTAGGGGGCTACCAGGTCTTCCACACATGCGAGGAAAACCACACCTCCTCCAAATAAACAGGTACTGTGTCTGTCCACAGCTGACGTGCAGAGAACTCTACTCAGAGTCAACCCACGGAAAGCACCGGGATCCGACAGATCCCACCACACACACACACACCACACACACACACTCATACACACCTCTTTTGAGGCTCTACTTGCACTATCTATCTGGAACATTGCTGCCAATACTGTGTTACACTGTTTACTACCTCACTAACTGTTTTACTACCCCAGTAACTGCTGTGTATATGTATGTTATCTGACATAACTCACAGATCACATCACGTTAAATATGTCTGCACCTTATTACACTACCTCATGTCCAGAAATCTGTGCTGTGTCGGTGCTACACTGTCCGGTCTGTTTACTGTGTCAAATTTCTGTTTAATTTATTGTATTTATTATATTGTTTCTAGCTTAATTTTTGTTTGCACACTGTCTGAACATTCGCACGTAAATTTTGTACTTTTGTACTTTTTGTTCCTTGTTGCACCTTGTTGTTTCTGGAGGAACGTAATTTCGCTCCACTGTGTACTTGTACATAGATGGAATGACAAAAGCCTCCTGACTTGGCTTGAATAACTCGTACTTAATGGCTAATTTAACTGGAAATTAAATAAATAAAAGGGTCTCTGATTTTTGAAAAGTGCTACAAAACTGAGATAAAACGATACAAATGAAATTTACAGAAAAGTGTGTAATGTGTGTAAAAGTGTAATGACTGACTTCTTGTTGGATCGATGACGGCCTCATTCTCTGCAGACATAAGCTGGACAGTGAATCTCTCCTCGCCCTCCAGGTCAGCATCAGCCAAAGCCTGGATCACCAGAGTCTTCCTTGACTCAGTCTAAACAGAGCACAGAGATTTGTATTGCAGTTACAATTTTAACTCTGGGTGCTGTTGATTTATGCAATGGATCGTAGTTTGAGCCTAGAAAGGCCATATTAGTATGCAGTGATGCTGATGTAGTCCATCTAGATTTGTTTCAGATTATTACCTGAATCTACCTCACTTACGATTGTCCTTAGAAGTTGCAGATATTGTCACTAATAACAAAAAGCATTTTATATTAGCTATTTCTCCCTCATAGCTCATTGAAAGAGCAGACAAATTCTGTGGAAAGTGCAGATTCTAAACCTTCAATCAACACCACATTTATGTTTGTAAGTAGAAGATGTGATATTGCATTATGACTCGAATTTGATGACTTTATTGCGTATTGTGCCGAGAGTAAAAACATCTTTTGTATCTTCTGCCATGTTTTTCATTATATGACATCCAAACAGAAATGGAAAGGAAGGAAAGCTGAAAGTTGAGAATCTGATGATACTGAATGTAACTTGAATTTAAATTATTGAATGTAATTAAATAAATATGTTCAAATAGTAAGAAAACAACAGTAATGGTTAACCAGCGGATTGCATTGGTAGACCCTCAACATACCCCATTAAAGACAAGAGTTCCGTTATGAGGTTGTAGGTCATCTCTTCCCTTCTGTTCAAGAAGCCAGATCAGATAGACCGTTCCTACACCCCCTGAACTCCGCACTACTGTTAGATTTGCCATGGAAGCAGGATCATCAGCAAACTGTGGCTCAGAGATAGTAACCTGGAGAACAAGATTATCATTTAAAAGCAAATGGTTGGGCAGGAAGCTTGAAAGGATCTTCAAAGGGTGTTATATTTTACTATATGTATTTTAGATTTACTGTTAGCTCCTGGAATCCGAAGCGACCCAGCGGTGAATCGTTGGCAGGGATGTTGATCACAACAGAAGTGTCAGCTCCCAGTCTCGCCCCTCCAATCACTCGAGTGAGCTTTACAAGAAACGATTCCATGGGCTCCACAATGGTGTCATCAACAATGGTGATCTCAATTACGGCACTTGCCTATAAAAGCAGAAGAAATGTATTAATTAGCACAAGCACCAATTTCATGCACATAAGAAACAACCATTGTCTACATGCAGACCAATAATTCGTACTGTCATAAAAAAAAATCAATTTTTTGCACATTTTTATTTGTTTACACTCTACTTTTACCTTCCTTGACATTATGTTGATATTTTATTAAAAGTAGCTAGTCCAAAAACACCTAGGAAACATCTCGTTACATTAATGTACATGAAACTTAGAAAATATTTTCCAGCTCCTGTAAAATTACAGTTTCAGATTACAAATGTGAAAAATTTGTGGCTGGCCCGAACAGCACTTTACAGGTTTTACATATTGGATAGTATTTTCAAACAAGTAACCAAATACTCATTCTCAACAATTATGATTGTTACTGTAGATCAAAATACACCAGGCAGAAATTTCCTGATATGGTTACCCACTTCTAATTCAAATCAACATTTCAGTCTACACCAGCTGCGCTAAATGCATATTGCATCTGTCAAAACGCAAGCCCTAGTGTCCTCCCAATTTTTAATGCATCGAGACTATTTTCTAGCATTCTAAACTATATTCAAAATAATCTACTAAAATTACTGTTGCTCTGCAGCTGCTGCACTGTACTAATGGAGTGTGGACGGTTCTCTTCTGACATAAATGCATAACTGTCAAGGTTAACAATGAGATTTTATCAAACCTACAGGTTTTCAATCACAATCTGCCATACTTATATTAGGATTAAGTTGACAGGTATGTAAACAGCAGTAAAAACATGTAATTTTGTCACAATAAACAGATGTGATGTTTGTTTTAAACCTGTTTTAAACCTGTCTAATTTATAAAAGAAAAGGAGAGTTGATGTGTGCGCCTGAAGTAGTTACATGATAAAGCCGAGTCACCTGCTTACTCACTTGAGATGATTCATCAACCTTGTCATGCCTTCATGGTACACAGTCTCTTACATTTTGCACTGAGTATTTTTTCTCATCATCTGACCATTTAAAATGCTCCCAAATGTGTGATTTCCGAGGCATCTTTGCTATTTCAGTTTAAAAGGCCACGTGGAAAGTGACAGTTTGTTGTTGTGTGAGGCGAGGCGATCAGCTTACCTGCCATGAATTTACAAAGCATTCCACTATTGCCACATATAATACATTTATTTTTTACATCACACCTAATTATACCAATCACTGCTCTATCTAAAGGCCTTTGCTGATTAAATTTAGTGTCATTTTCAGCTACATTTTTTTGTGAATTAAAAAAGTATAAATACTAAATAGAGAAATTAATCCCAACATAATGAACAAATTCTCTAGTATTTGAAATGATTTAGGCCAGCTCTAGTAAAACAGTTCAAATCTTTACCTGTCCATCTTGAAAAGTGAGGTTGCCTGAAGATGGGGTGAAATCCTCAGCGGTAGCGATGACTGGTTGAGCTTCCCAGAACAACACTATTCTGTCAGTCCTACCAGCCTGCCTCACCACCGGTAGATAAAGGACATTACCAGGTGGAGGAACCTCATGGGCAAACACTACTCCAGAAGCATCCTGTAAAATATGGACATCTTTCATTATCTATGGGAGAAAACAAATGACCTAATAACCTGTTGGATTTCTAGAATCATTTTCTTCAGTTCTACATTAATTGAATTGAATTGAATTCAGACCCATTGGCCAACCGTGTTGTGCACACAGAGGAATTAGACCTCCGCATTTAACCCATCCGTGCAGTGAAACACCCACATATATGCACACTATTGAACACACACACTAGGGGGCAGTGAGCACACTTGCCCGGAGCGGTGGGCGGCCCTATCCACGGCACACAGGGAGCAGTTGGGGGTTAGGTGCCTTACTCAAAAGCACTTCAGTCATGCACTGTTAGCCAAGGGGATCAAACCGGCAACCTTCCGGTCACAATGCTGGTTCCCTAACCTCCAGCCCATGACTCCAGCCCATGACCCCATTAAAGTGATGACTTGGAACAGATGGTACATTGTGATACAGCAGATGTTTGATTTTCTTGTGTAAATAAAGGTATAAATAAAGTCAACGATTAGCCCATAGGTTCTCCTGAACCCGTTGATACAGAATCTAAATCTATTACAACTAACTATACAATTATGTAGCTACATATTAGATTAAGTGACCCTTATTAGTCCCACAATGGGGAAATTTCACCTCAGCATTTAACCCATCCATGCAGTGAAACACCGCATACACACTAGTGAGCAAACACTTCAGGGAGCAGTGAGCAGCCCTATTTGCAGCGCCCGGGGAGCAGCTGGGGGTTAAGTGCCTTGCTCAAGGGCACTTTGGTCACGTACTGTCGGCTCAGGGGATCGAACCAGAGACCTTCCGGTCACAAGGCTGGTTCCCTAACCTCCAGCCCATGACTGCCCCGATTAAATGATTATGTAATATAAAATAAAAAACAATTATATTGAAAATGACAGCAATACCCTTAAGAGCGAAAGAACTTCTCACCTTGGAGATGTTGAACTGAAGGACCCCTCTTGGGTCATCATTTTCTTGAATGGTGATCTCCGCTATCTCCATACCGGGCCTTCTGATGCTCGGCTGTCCCGCCCCAGTCTGACCTCCCAGCAACTCCACATGAGTGATATTCACCAGAAAAGTCTCAGCCAATTCTGGAATGTCATCCTATGAAGACAAATGTAAACATAACATTTGCTTATATTCACATACAGTCCACAGAGCATTTGACTCCAAACCCACGTCTAATTGACAACTTACCCAATCCGTTTTTCAGCAGTGTGCGTAAATAGCTTAGCGTTAAACCAGAACTGAATTATGTGTTATGCAGTTCTTCTCACAGAACGTGTTGATGTTTGCCAGCACTTTGAGACGCAACCAAGTACTTTCAGCCCAAACAAAACTCAGCATGAGGCTACAGAGGGCGAAAATACCCGGACCACTGCAATTTGCAGGAGCATGAGCTATTTGAGGGGGAAACTGAGGAAAAAAAAGGCAGGGTTTTAGTGGTCGTGGTGGTAGCCATGTGTTGTTGGCCTTCGCTGTAGGCAGCATGCAGGCAAAAAGCCAGCTTGTCTGCTTAACAACTCAAACAGAGCTTTGGTTACTGCCTCTGCTTAGCTTAGGTGGCCTGAGATGAACTGTGACACAGAGGATGGAGTAATGGAGGTCTAGAACAAGTACTCTCTGACTTACACTCAAAAGGAATTAATGCAGTTTCAAGTTACATCTGGCCACAGCAAACTTAAAGACAAATATACCACCGTTCAGAGGCGCGGAAGTAGGTGGATATACTCTGATAGACCCAGTATTAGTGACTGTTTTTGTGTCTGAAGCATTTGCCACTAAAGGTTAACTCACATAAGGTCACAATACGACATAGTTATGAATACACTACCCAAAGCCTGAGATACTGACCTATGATCATTTTAAGAAAAGGTTTTGGCTTAAAACTTTTTTTTTTAATCTATTCATGGTGTAGCAGTACATGCAGGGTGTTGTAAGGTAAAATAGTCCCATAGAAAGCTCAAAAAATAAATAAAAACTCAAAAGATAAGTGTACGTTCATTGTTGTGGATAGTAAATAAATTGTCTACATTTACTGTGGTGCACAGCAACAAATTACATTTAGTCATTTAAGTCTTTTTAGTTACAGTATTTGAGTACTTTTTCCCTGTAATGGTACTTTTTTGTGTATAATTACATCACAGTACTTTTACTTTTACTCAAGTTAATTTGTAATAAAGTACTTTTCCTTCACTACTTTCATTTTTAATATCGGTTACAAAGTAAAAATACATGTGCATATTAGCTTATTAACCAATTAAAAGAAAGCCCAGTTAAATTTAAAAGATTCAGTTCTGAAAGCCAATCAAAACAGAGCAGCTCCGAAAAACACTTCAGCCATTATAAGTTTAGAGAAGTTTAGTGGATAAAGAAAGAGGAGAATGTTACCAGCATACACAAGGAACATACTGTATCCATTTTTATTAGTTCAAACTAGCTAAGGAAAAATGCATTATCATCCTCTGCCAAACATGTCGAGATCTCTGCTTTTCACAACTAAACTCCCACCCTGGAAGAGCAGCAGTTTGCTGACTGGAGAGCTAAATGGGTGCTGTGTCCTTTTACTATTTTCGTCTTACTTTACTGCTTTAGAATAACATGGTGGCTATGTATTAAACTTAAAATCTGTGGTGTATGTTTTATTGCAAGTGTCTGTCAGCCAGCTACATGTATTGTCCCTGTCAACCCATATAGTTTAACCATATAAATATGGTTTTGTCATAGTTTTGGAGGTTTACAGCTATATAAGGCTGTGATAAAGGAAATTTAGTCTAATATAGGTTCCCCAAAAACTGTCGCGCTCAGATTTGCTGTTCACTTTACCCACCAAACACAATGAGTAAACATCACTAAACTGTGCTGGACACCAGCCCTCTTTAACTGGAGCTGAATAGCCCTGTAATTTGTTGGTGAAACTAATACTTTACAGCTGGTTAACTATAAGACGTATTACAGTATTAGGACACCTTACAGGCATCTGATGTGAACTGCACAGTTGAAGAGCACTGAGATCACATAAAGGGGGAGAAAAAACATCTTCTATAAAATGATTATTATGTTTACAGCCAAGAATAAGTCCTAAATTGAAATGGCAGCACTAGATAAAGGCTTCAAGCACCATGTACCGCTCATGAAGCATGTAGCAAGCGCCCCAGTAATGTCTCCCCTACTGACTTCCTGACATAGCCATCAAATATTCCTTGTTATTAAAAGTTAATATGCCTATTCTTATCATTTCTGAAGGAGTATCACTATAAGAGTGTAAACAGAACCAGACCTTGAACCTGAAGTGCTATTTATACACGATTACACACAATTATATACGATGCGTCTTGCAGAGTAAAAGTAATGTACTTTTAAACACAATGCCTCAGAGACAGGCCTAATAACATTTTTTGGAAACTCTCATTATAGTTTTGGCAAGCTAAGCTGGAGGAAATGAATACAGAAGGGTGTTGGGTTATGGCCCAAGGAGGGTACTGTGAAGTGTCAGGGATAAAAACCGAGACCAATGTCTGTTTTTTCTGGATGAGAAGAGATCAACGTTGCCCTTGCCAAATTGACTCCAGATGAGTGTCCTCACGTAGGTGTCCCGCTTTCAACCAGTGACCATCCTAGAGAGAAGATGTGCCCTAGGATATGCATTGTTTAAAGCAGCAATATGTGGAGACACATAAGAAAGGAAGGGACCGTTTTGAAAGAAGGAAAGAAAGAAGGATTGTGTCCCAGTCAAATCTGTGCAAGGCACCCTGTGATATGTTTAACTGAAAGGCAGCATATTTACAACCCCAGAAAAGATGGTTTGGAACACCTTTTCAGAGAAATCTGACAGCTGCAGGTGTTACAGTAATACAAACTCCACTAGTACATCTGAACACAATCATGGTGTATAACAAAAACATGTCACATGTGTCCAGACCTAATATTTAGCATGTGAATTACATACTATTTACAATACATTATTTAAAGGAGAATTCCATTGATTTTTCAAAATTTCTGTATTATTCTGTTGTTGAGATGGAAACAAAGACATTTTGAGTGGTTTCATGTGTGCAATGGCTCATTGCAAATAGTCATTTGGTTTACTATCCAAAATGACCAATGACTTTCAAACACCTTGCATATACCTCTCCACCATGAATAGACTGTAAAAAAATGCAAGAATTCTTAAAACTATCATAAAACAATATCTCAATAATAACTTTGAGAGGGAGCTTTTAGAGGCATTAAACTCTATGGTTCTATCATTACCATTGTGAACAACTGAGACTCTAAGTTTCTCTAGATTGGAGCATTTTGTATCAAAATACTCTGAACGACTTTGTTTACATCTTAACCATTTAATTATGTAGAATTCTTTTTTTAATCGATGGAATTTCCCTTTTAAGACTGTGAGTTTGAGAAATGTGATAATTGAAACCTGACAGTCATATCAGTCAGTAATTTGCACTGTTTAACTAAAATTAGAGTATAAAATCTAAATTAGAAACATGAAATTATATCAGCCAATATTATCTGTTATCAGAATTTTTAGCCCCTTTAAAATTGGTATTGGGCAAAAAACTTTATATCGGTTGGGCCCAAGTTCTTAGTGACGTGAAGAATGTTAAAACTGAGACTAGATACTTGTGACAAGGGATTTTAAGTGATGAACATATCATTATGCACCAACTGCCTTGCAATCCTCAATGAAGTAAATGGTGTGATATCCCTTTCGATATATATTTAACTGAGGGAATCCACTGAAAGAGAACTAGTCCTCAATACCTTATTTGTTCCATGCAAACTGGCTACTATTAGTATTTTTAACAACAAGAAGAATTGTTGCAGGGTTTTTCTGTAATATAAATACTCACCGGTAAGATAGTAATGGTTACCAGGGCAACAGTAGCCTTCTCCATCATGACGACTGTAGCTTGTTTAGCTACAAAGTCCTGACCCTCACTGGCTTGATTAACAGGTGGCAATGACAGTGCTGGTCTGGTTGTATAGTAGACCACCACGTCCCCAGATGCCCCCTGGTCTCTCACAATGCTCAGTGTGATATTGCTTGGGCTTCCTGAAAGCAGATTGAGAAAAAAAAGCAAATTAGAATTTACACATTCTCCACAAGCATAAACATTATCATACTGTAATAAAAAGCAGCTATGTGTAGAAACCGATGATTTATTGGCCAATCATAACGCTTTCCTCGAGTTGGAGGGGAGCATTAAGCAAGCATCTGTACAACCTATTTACATATTTCTCAGCAATCAATTCATACAAATCGCAGAAAAACCAGGGCTTTGAGTTTCAGCGGTGAACCACAGTAATGTAGACCGATTATATGTCATTTAGACGCCTTTTATTGTACTGGTTTGGCTGAAATGCTCAGTCTTTGCAAACAGATGAATTACTTTGAGGTTCGGCTGTGATGAAGTACTGGGAGTCCAGGTGCCATCCAATCACTCCGTAAGGAGATCCATTAGCTTTAATGGTGAGCTCAGCTCTGGCTCGCTGTGGGTCTATCAGAGCTCTCCTGGATGGATCGATGACGCCGACTGTGGTAACGCCTGTTAGGATGATGGTCACTTTCTCTGCCATTTCTGGGATGCTGTCAGCTAACACGCTTAGCGAGATGGTGGCCACAGCCTGACCCTCTGAGAAAGTCACCTAAGGAAAGAAATGAGAGGGGAAAGTAAAATTACGGTTCTAAAATCTGAGCTGTTCAAAACTGGTGTACTCAATATACAAACACACTGTATAGCCACACAGATCTACTGAATTCTGTACTAATGCACCAAGTTATTAAAACAATGTCATTGTGCTGCTAAGCTTTGATCAGTATGTTGCTTGGCACAGCCTGCTGTTAATGAACTACTTGTCAGAGAAATTGCTTACTGCAATTATTTAAAAATAATAAATGAATTTTTTACTGAATGATGGTTTTTCATTTTGTATTTTGTCACTGTTTTAAAAAACTTCACTATCACAATGGGCAATATCAGATGTTATTATTTTCATTATAAATTACACTGCAATGCACTTTTCTGAGTATGTCATGGGTTTCACCAGTACTTTATACTAAAAAACTGCATGTATCATAAACAAAAGAAATTATGTAGTAACTGCATAAACCGTACAGTAACAAGTAACTGATTGGATATCAGACCATTAAGCCATTCTTTTGTTCATTTAATTTTATAGTTTATTTGTGCAAACATTTTTAGATTATTTAAAAAAAAAAATCCATAATAATAATACGTTTATCACAGGTGTTTTTTAAATGTGGCACTACAATTTTGTGGTTTATTCTGTCCAAAAGACCCTAAAAAATATAAATTTATGATAGATATCACGCATCACAAAAATGTTGAAAAAGTATTGTGATATCTGTGGCCAGGAGTACAAGAGGGTATAACTGTGTTTACTGCCCCCTAACCCCAAGCAGAAAAAAGTACTGTGATATTTTTGCTAAGTTGTCCATTACTTGTCGTTGTGCCTAACAATACCCTTTAACTGTGGTAACAAATGTAATGGACAGCTTCTCATGGCAGATTCCTTTATTAACTAGCGTCAGCATTGACCTTCAACAGTTTTAGCACATAAAAAAGATGTAAAAGCCACACTCAAAAGCAGTATTGGCATTGTCAACTGTGACAAGCATTGTACAATTTAACTGAAAAGTATAAACTATTACTGTAGTATTATAAGGCATAATAAATAGCATGCAGTTGGATTTTCTAACCAGAGGCACCTATCATGTGTGTTTTCAGTTCTAGCTATATGAGCTCTCACCACTCCTGATGTAGGGAAAATGTCCTCCAGACTTCCATTGGTTGTCCAGCGCACGGTTAGCCTACCAAACGTGCCCCTCCTCCTCTCCACACTCAGAGTGACAGGATTATCCCTTTCCAGCTCATCCACCTCCCGAGATAACGAGTTCTGGAACAAACGGAGGAAGGTTAAGCGTTCCAAAACGTGCAGACTGAAGATTTATCTAATAATTGTCTAGAAATTTACAGCAAACTTTAGGCCCGTTTTTGGAGCACAGAGTTTAATGACAGTCACATCAATGAACATATATTGGCAAATATCTGGAGAACAAAATAATACTGCGATCACTGGAAAGCTGAGAATGTTTAAAGCAATGTATAGAACTTGAGTAGAAGTTCTGGTTCAAATTATCATAAAGCGATGAAGCAGGTAACGTAATCTAAAATTACAGTGTAAGCTAAGCTTACACTTGTTCAAACAAATGATTTAGACATAGCATAACGGTAAAATGACTGAAACATAAGTGACTGTGCAGCATAAGTAATTTCCAGATGGTTGGTAGGGTGTTGCTAGTTGGTTGCTAGTTGGTTGCTATGGTTGGTATGGTATCTCTGGTGGTTGCTAGGGTGTTGCTAGGTGGCTGCTATTGTATCTTTGGCAAGTTGCTAAGGTTCTCGTAGGCGCTTCCTTCAGTACTCAAGGTGGTTGCTAAGGTGTTGCTAGGTCATTGTTATGGTGTTCCAAGAGGTTGCAAGGATGTTTATAGGTGGCTGCTATTGCATCTCCAGTGGTTGCTAGGGTGTTGCTAGGTGGCTGCTATGGTATTCTTGGTTGTTGCTAGGGTGTTGATATGTAACTCTATAACTACTGCAGAGAACCTCATCTTCGTTAACCGATGAATGTTCACTTTCATGGATTTAAAACAATAAGATTTTTATGTAAGTAACACTTCAGCATTTATCTGATTTATTTGATCTAAGAATGTAATACCTGTGCAAAGCCAATAATGCCATAGGCATCGTCATTAGCTGGAATGACCACAGCCACTTGACCACGGAAGCCAATCTCTGCCCCGCCTTTAGGATTCTTCAGGCTCAGGCGGAAACGCTCTTCCTCTTCTGGAGCATCGTCATTGATTATGTTCACCGCTATCTCTAATTCGCTAACTCCTGGCTGAAAGAACAGCTCACCAGAACTAAACAGGAACAAAACACGTCATTTTTTATATCATATTATCAAAGAAAAAAAAAAAACTTCTAACATCTTCTATTCTAAATAAAATTACAATAGAACTGCCAAATATATCAACACAGTGGAACGCGCTAATGCTTCATATACTGAAATAACAATATCTCATTAGCAATACATGCATCATGATAACACAGAATACTGTTAAATTATAATAACACATTCTAGTGTCACACATACATATTACTGTCATATATAACACAAAACAGTGTTTTGATGTACTCTACCGAGGGATGAAGTCAGACTGATTGGACACTGAAGTCAGCTCATGTATGACGGAGCCTGATCCTCCTGTGGCTATGATCAGACTCTTTGTTGCATTGAGTGATTGGACAGGCAGGTAGAGGAATTGCTGAGCTGGAAAGGAGCTCAGGACCTTTGTGAACTGGCTGATATCGGACTTCCAGGAATACAGAGCAGATTCATTCGTCCCGGCAAGTAAGAGGTGCGCTAAACAATGGAGACAATTTTGGCATACAACATAATTCATCATTATAACTAACTGCAAAGGTATACTACTAGATTTTTCAATGTTTCCAAAAAATAAAAGTGACTGTGTTGCAGATACATGCATTAAATAATTTTAATATATTTTACTCTACTCTAATAACACTCTACAAACTCATGTTTACATGTTTACAGAATGATAAACAGAGCCATTGATGGCTCCAAACTACTTGTGAAATCTGGTTAACATTAAGACTTAATCTATAATAAAATTAACATTCAGAATTTCTCATATTTAAAAAGTAGTGATCAAATCTTGGTGGAGATGACCTGACTAATAAATAAATTACTATATATTGGTATATTTACAATGTATTATTTATAAATTAATACTTCACTGTTGTTTCCAAAACTAGAAATACTGAACAGAACATCTAAAATGACTTTTGGTTTCTAGTTGAAAGTATGTAAATTTACAATGTACTATTGTTTAAGTTAACACTGAAAAACATAAAAAAAATAATATGACAAGACATTCCAAACTTTTGAACAATAGTGTAATTCCACAGACAAAAGGCAGACTAATAAGCATCAAGTTAGCTCAACGACAATTATTTGCATCTGATTGTGATAATCTGTGTTAACGTACGTATGCCAGATGTAGGGGTGAATGCGTGGACTGAAGATAGTCCGGGGAACAAAATGGACTGGGTGTGCTGGAAGAAGGTCTGCTGGGAACCCCATAAAAACACCTCACACACAGGACTTCGGCCTTTGGAAGACAGTGAAATAACATGCAAAATGAGACAAAGATAGAGCAGCAGTGGAGTACTATATATGTGTGTGTGTGTGTGTGTGTGTGTGTGTGTGTGTGTGTGCGCGTGTGTGCGTGTGTGTGTGTGTGTGCGTGTGTGCGTGTGTGCGTGTGTGTGTGTGTGTGTGTTGTGGCTTCTGTGTAATACAGTATTCCAGCTTGTTTTTAAGGCATTGTTTGATCGTTGTGTGGAGATTGCTTAAGTGTTGATAGTCTGTTATGGTATCTGAGGTGGTTGCCCAATAATAATAATAATAATAATAATAATAATAATAATGTTTCATATGTATCATGTGTATGTGCCCATATATGCCAACCTATAAAATATATTTAAGTACCCTATGTAATAACTTTCTAAGACTAATCCAAAAGCGAAAAATAATCTCTGCCTTAGTGTTCAAAAAGAAGTGGTTATGCTTTTTCAGTTTTAAACAGTAAAATGTAGATTTCTGAAAAAAAAAAAAAAAGTAAGGAGTATTTTTTTCCTAATGACATTCTACACTAGCTCTGTTTTCTCTGGTATTTCTACAAGGTACATTTCTGACCTCGAATCAAACAAAAACAAACACACACACACACACACACACACACACACACACACACACACACACTCCCCAAGTCTGAAGTGATGGTGTGGTTCAGACCAGTGCTGTGCTGACACTCCTACTAGGATAAAACCCGGCATAAAATTATAAACCTCTAGACTGGCTGTGGTCTTAGAAACAGGCCTGGCAGAAAAGCAGTCGTTTACCACACTTACGATCCACAGGCGCATGTTTTGGCTTTGGTTCCTCACTATAGTTCAGTGTAGCCTAAATATGCATCGGAGTCTTCATGTCTGCTGTTGTCTGAGAACACAGTGCTTGTTGTGTCCACATAATATTTGTACACTATAGTTTGTACACCATGCAGACTATAAACATAGAAAATTCAGCTGGTCAACAAAACATAGCCTACCATTAGCCTAGCCTTGTTAGCTCTGGGTTCAATTGGCCATTAAATTACAGAGAAGATACTAACTTCTGCATTTAACCCTTTAATGTTGAGGCAAAATAGCATCTATTTCTGCCTTTTCATCAACTCCTCTCTATTAATAATCTGATTGTTCAATGCTGTCGACATATGTCTTTCGATACGTAAAGAACATGATCTAACAAAGCTGAGAATTTGCAGATTTTATCCAACAATAAAAGCTCCAATTCCACTTACTTTTTCTTTTTACTATGGCCAACATGGCCATGCACATGTCCCATCTATTCTGGAGATTTTCTCTGACTCACTGAAAACAGATAAGGTTAAAACCAGAATTACCTTCAGTGACTACTAGCAGGAACGTATCTCCTCCCATGTGAATGGACTCCATTTGTTTGACTTTAGCACTGACTGGCAGTGGCTGGGGGTTCTGGAAGCTTCCATTGCTCCACTGGTAGATAAAGCAGGTGGATGAAGCTTGGTTCCTGCAGGCAGCGAGGTACTGTCCGTTTCCACTGGCCCGGATGAAGGGCGAGAGAGCGGTGATGTTCTGCAGCTCCAGAGTGTGAAAGAGGGAGAGAGAACTTCCAGCCCACACAAACACCTGCACAGAGAGAACGCAATGTAAAAGCTTTACCAGCAGTGAACACTGTCACTGTCATAAAATTCCCTCATAACCCCTGAAAGGGTCACTTTACTGGAGACAGCAAAAAAGTTCTCCTGACAGCAATTATTATTATTGTAAGTATTAACTAATTACTAATTGTAATTATTGTAGTAATTATTCACTACAATAATAATTATTATTATTGTAATTATTGTATTATTATTAACAGGATTGTTCTAACTTTAATACATGTATGAATATGTACAAACTGGGTTTACTTGAACCCTGAAACATTACATTGACACAAACATGCCACAAACATGTCATGACCGACATCATATAAAGTCATGAGTTGTTATGACAGATTATGTCCAGTAATATAACAGTCTCATGTTACATTTACTGGTAATTGTCATCAGACAGACAATGTTTGATGTTATGATGGCTAACTAGAATATACTTAGCAAACATACATATATCATAAACTATCATGACATCAAACATTCCAGCATCTGTCATGACAATTACTGGTAATAGTAACATGCCACAGATATGTTAATAATCATACTCTCAGAAAAAAAGGTAGTAAACTGTCACTGGGGCAGTACCCCTCTTGTCACTTGGGTGGTACCCTCAAGGGTACATCTCAGTACCTTTTGACTCAACTCACCCCGTCTCGTCTCCAGGCTTTTTATTTTATTGTTCTGTTTAAAATGTTCGGTTATGAAAAGGTACAAATACACACTTTTCACCTGAAAAAAATTATTTAAGGTTCACAATTGGACCTTAAAACCACTGTTGTACCTTTGAGGGAACATTTACATTGTTTGTACCTTGATGATAGAAAAATGTACCTGCACAGAACCTTTATTTCTAACAGTGCAAGGTACAAAACCAATTATCTGGCATCAGTTGAAAGATTAAAGTTACACACACAGTTGGCTAGATTCCCCTAACCTGGTTCGAAGCTATGAAATACTGCTGAGACTTCACTGAGAAATGTTTAACATCGCTGCTTCCCACAGCCAAAGTCTGCTCCTAGAAAAGAAACAGAATTGTGACCACATTAAAAAACAGAGACATCTATACACGAAGACAGAAAGCTACTGTGAGATGTATTACCAGCTTTCACAAAAACATTCAGTGAATCATGAGTAAAAATGGAGAGGAAGCTATTGTTGGTGTACGGCAGTGAGAGAACACAGACATGGCGACACTGATGGACTCACTAGAGTAAGATTGAGGTCAGGCTGGAGGCGGAACAGGCTGACATTGGCAGCAGGCGACTCTGTGGTGTCTCCATGGGACACTGCCACATAGGCGGTACCATTTACGGTAAAACCCACACAAGAGGAGGGCCTCTGGATGCTCACGGACTACGACAGCAGAAGAGAAGAGTGGCATGGAGTTTTCTCATGTTTCTTTAAAACATTTATACTGGCTCCTCATACTATCATCTACATTTCATTTCTATGAATTATTGATTAAGTAATAAGGAAAAAGTAAGAAAGACATCTGGACTTGTCTTCCTAAAAGTGCAGCGTTGAAATCATCACATCTATGAGAGCAAATGTGCTCAAATTGATACTGACACTACTATCTCAGCAGGATCTTTGTACTAAATCTGCATTTAGGAAACATATTGCTTATTGCTGCTTTAACCCTTAAACACTTGGGTGTTTTGCCAATTGTTGTTTCTGGCTAAGGGGCTTATTCATCTAGCACTTATATCTTAATTTATACTACTAATTGATCTACAAATGGCAATGATAGTCTAGAAGTGTCAAAATGTTTTATTAACAAAAAAAAGTTATATTTTAACATTTTGTTTATCAAAAATGGGTAACATTTTATTTAAACTCTACATTAACATAACACTGTCATGACAGTATGTCACATGCTAAGTTTTGCTGCATATTATAATTAGCCATCTTAACAAACAATATTCATACACAATATACATCTATCATGACAATCCGTCATGGCAGCATATTAGATCTAGTGTTCAAATAATGTATTACCAAATACATTACCAAAAATGGATAAAAAATGGAAACAGGCTGCTAGCAACACTAGACTGAGCCCCTGATAATCATTGTCAATTAAATCTTTTATTTCAAGCTCATTCCCATTAGCTACAGTACAATGGGTTACAGCTTGATAATCGGCTGGTGGGTCGATCTACCACAACTGAAGACGACCTGGCAGGTCATATTGCAGATCTCACATTCAAGCTTTTATTTAAACCATGCAGAGCTTGCAAAACTTTTATGCAACTCATGACACTATGCCAATTTCAAAGCTGTGTTGCAAATATTTCTAGTTATAATTCTAGTTATAAATAAAAGCCCTGGCAAGTTTAACTGCTTACAGAATGTCTCAAAGAAAAATGCCACACAACTTGCTCTCACTGGTCTAAAGTGGTCAGATTGCATAGTGTTAAGGCTTGAATGTAAATTTAAAAATGCACATTTTTTATGCACAACTTTTAATGTCATTTTCACACTTTTATTCATAATCAGATCTGGATTTTCTATTATTTTGTTAAATTCAGTAGTATAATGTGACCAAAAGACTGAATTATATGTAATATTGAGCGATAAAAACTCACATTTTAGCCAAATAGTTTGATCAATGAAAAATATTCTTCAGATTTGTGCTCAGGCAGGCCAGGAGATGACATACAAATGATATTCAAATACAGTACTAAGCATAATCTTTAAATTAATTAGTTTCATGGTAATGAATTCCCTTGACAGGTTAATTTTTATTAACTTCTATTTTTAACTTTATTCATTTATTTATTAAATAAATTTTATTTTTGTTTAGAACCTGATAAGGCAAAAATTAAAAATGTATAACTAAATGACTATCAGGCACATTAATTGCATGATTGCTTAAATAAAATAGCAGTATCTGCTTCATGGAAAGCCATGACTCGACCTGTCAGGCTCTTGGTGAGTCAGTGTGGAATGACTCTGATGAGTCTCATACCTCAACAGGCACAAACACTCCCTGCCACATGTAGAGGGTGACCTGGTCCTGGACTAGGCTGCTGTTTAAGCCCCCGAGCCTCAAGAGCATTGAAGAGTCTCCACTGGGCACAGAACACCAGCCGACAGGCAGAGCGTCTCTGAAGCGCTGATACACAGCCAGATATGGATAATCGCCCTCTAACAAAGCAATGCAAAGTTCATTTCAGTACAAACTGACACAGGTAATATATCTATAGACACACAGCTGTGGTGCACAGTTTGCTATAAGAACATTAAACAGTTACAGCATAAACTTTACGTGGTACACAAGAGGCTGTTGGTGTAATGTTCTTACTCATGCCAAAGGCTGTGTCTGACTGCGTCTCAAACTCCACACTGACTGCAGAATCCAGCCCATTGCTGCGAGATACTGTCAAATACACCGTCTCTGCAGTCTCCTCTACTGTCAAAGAGCCCAGAGTTCTGCACAAAACACATGCACACACATAATAGGACAACTGAGCTGACACCAGCGCATACAAATTTGATGAACTCCAAAGTACTAGATAATTATTTTGGGTAAAATGACAATAAGCTTCAAGACAGTTTACCTAGATTATACTGAAATGCTGAACAGGATCCAAGTATTAACTGGGTATGTGGTGCACACTTCACAATACTATGTCATTATTTCGGGATAAAACTGCACCAAGCAGTTATATGACAGAAAAAGTTATAATTATCACCTTCCTAAATATCTCATAAATATTTATGAGATATTTCACTGCATCCTTTCCCAGTTTAATAGCTAGAAACCTGTCATTTCATTGTAATTTAGTTCGACTGACATGGTATTTACCATGCAAGTAATCCCATAACTGAAAAGGTCTTAGGCAGCCAAGAAAAGTTTAAACTCACTCTTAAAAGGGACTGTTCTTCAAGAGTGCTTTAGTAAATAAAATGGTTCTACATAGAACCATGAACACTCAAAGAACCTGACTGCATGATTAAAGGGTTCTCTGCATCATGAAAACGTTCTTCAGATTGAGGGAAAATGAGCATGAACATGCTATAGATGGTTCTATATAGAACCATTTGAAAAGGGTTCTATATGGCACCCATAATAGTTAAGCTTCACATCGTAACTACAGAAAAAACCATTTGGGGTGCTATATAGAACCATTTTCAAAAAGGTTCTATATAGAACGATTTACAGCACATTCTTCATCAATCTAAAGCATAAAACCCTTTAATTATGCAAACGGTTTTTTGAGTGTTCATGGTTCTATATAGAACCATTATCTTTACTAAAGAACCCTTGAAAAAACACCTTTTTTAAGAGTGTATTTATCTGGGCAGTAAGCATGATTTTATCTGTAATCACACTACATAACGTGAGAATATATGCAAATAAACTTAATGTAAAAAATAAGAATTTCTTGTTTTGATTTAAGTTATTAATATGTTGGTTAGAATATAAGAGCATAGATTTTGTTCCTGACTTCTTGGCCACTGTATGGATAAGTTAAACTGCACCAGCAGCACACCTGATTTGATTTAAACCATGATTATGTGCAATTTTTTTTTGTTGAAAATGAAAAAAGTAATATTACTGAGTCAGGAGACAATAAAAACATGCTGAATGGTGTCCGTGCACTGCCGCGAAAAGTAAAGTAAACCCTCAAAAAGTATTTAAAAGTCAGAGGCATCAGGTCGGATTACACAGGAGATTTTCAGGCCACATCATACGTCTTTACATATTAACGTTACATGCAGACACAAAAAGAAGATCCTGCTCGATGTTTAGCTCTCAAATACTAAACCAACATTATACTGATGAATATATGATGACAGATAACTCAGTTCTCCTTGAATACGTGCTTGCAATAATCAGATTCATCCGCTTGGTGTTCATGTTCTCCGCATGTGTTCTTCTGTGTGCAATTACACACTTCCACCAGAGAGGCCTCCAAATCCCCAAATCTTAAATAGTGTAGTTTTAATAAGGATTGATTAGATGAAGCAGGTACAGGATGGTAACTGTAAATACTGGGCTTCCTTGAGGAGAGATCTGGAAATGGCTGAGCTAAGACATTGACAAACAAATCACAATGTATTGCTTCTTTTTTTGAAGCACTATTTCATATAATGTTAGTGTGTTTTTATAGAATTGCTTACTGCTTAGATCAAAACATTTTCTCAGATGTCTAAGACCTTTTCACAGTACTATATATGTAGACGTGTACCTGTTGCTGGAAGGAGCTATTCTGAAAAGTCCGAGAGGAGCCTGGTTCTGGAGCACAGTGATGAGCGTCTGAGTGGGCTCTCCCAGTCGTGCTCCTCCAGTAGGGCTGAACAGAGTCACTGTAAAGGTCTCATTCATTTCCGGTTCTGCATCTAAAACTGCCCAGATCTCCAGAGTCTACAAGCCAGGACATCATTCAATAAACATAACAGGCATTAGTTATACTTTCAAGTAAGCACCTCTTTGTCAAGAAACATACAGGGCAAGGTGCTCAGATTGACCCACTGATCCCTCAGTTATTGATAGTAGATGATAAAGTGATATTTCTCCAGAAAAATAAATACATAAAAATAAATACATAAAATAAACCACATAGAAAATAGTATGAACTCCATTTTTTCACTGGACCATGTCTTATGACTACTTATTCTAACAAAGACACACAGTGTCACAGATGAGAAGCACTGCTCTTATAAAGGACCAATGCCTTGAGTAGTACTGGGGACTTTTTTTAGCCTGCTAAATGAGAGTGAGTGAGTTACTAGCCAGGTCTATAAGGTGCTACTGGTATAAAAACAAAAACTAAATGAATTTTCAAAAGTAACCCATAACTGCTTAGTCAGATCTCTTTTTCTTACCTTATACCTAACCCCATCCTCCAGAACAACAAAGCCCTCTGATGGTGTGAGGTCATCGGTGTAGAGCGTGCCGTTGGCATCAGTAATGGAGAACTGCACAGTGACTGTGCCGAATATGCCCTGCGGCGGATTCCGTACAATGTAGAGAGTGGCCACACTCTGGCCAAGACCGGACACTGAAGTGGGCTCCCTCAGCAAGAAGTGCTCACTGTTGTTGAAGGAAATAATGCCATGGCCATCGTCATTGGCCAGAATGGTCACAGTTGCTATGGAAAATGAGTACAGGGGAAAATTTAGTGGACTTGATGGATTTATGTTGGATGTAAAGGTGCAGATAGAATTGCTGGGCAGCTAATAGTTATCTACTAATCAAATTTATGCTTATATAAATTACTAACCAGTAGTGTTTTCTCCAAGCTCGAGCCCTGATGACGGGTTTGTCAGAATGAGCTGAAACTTCTCATCTCCTTCTGGAATGGGGTCATCCAAAATCAGCACCTCTACAAACTTATACCTCTCTCCGTTCACAAAGTGCAGCATCTGCAAGGGAATCATATTTGAATTCAACATTTTTTTTATGCATAATTGAAACAAAATCATTCAGACTGGACTGATGTGAAATGTTCATTCTAGAAAAAAATATTTACAGTAGTGGTTTTTAAGGTCTCACAGAAAGTTATTATGTGAAATGGTTAAGATTACACTGCCTGATGCCTGAAACCTTTTTTTACGTTACTTTTGAAATAAAGTTTTTGCCAACAACTTATTATTTAAATAAGGAAAACATATTTCTTCAAATTAACTACTAATTCCTCTTTAACTCTTTGATGGCTCTTCTTATATTTTGTTTCATTATTTTTCACTTGAGGTGGAGAAATTCTCGTGAAAGTGCAGATTTGAAACTTTTAATGTGTTTGTAAGCAGAAGAAAAGATTTGTTTTATTATGAACTTGATAAAGGTGTGGTTAGCACAGCTTTGTTTTGGGTGTAAAAATTATTTGTGGTTATTTTTTGACATTGAAGCTTATGGATAGAAATGCAGTCAAAAAGTGCAGACTAGAATATAAATTCAATGTGAATTTCAATGTGAATGTCATTCATTATGTAACTACACTGAAGAAAAAGTGCACAGACTTTACTCGATTCAAATTTGTACACTGGTTCTACAAGGATAAAATCTGTTACATTATCATATTTTTTCTCATTTTTGGCAAGAATTGGTTGATGTCAATTTATTTATGTGGAACATTTGAATCAAGCAAAGTCAACCTTCTCTTTTTCAAAATACCTACATAATTATAGCTTATTTTATAGTTGTATTTCAGTGTTTATAAATGAATACTTAATGTAAACAGAATAAATAATACAATGGCAATGTTAACTGTAGACTCCTAAGGTTAATATTCCAAACAAATCATGACAATTGCATGAAGTGTACAGTAGACAGTAATAAAAGTATTTATAACTCACCAATGCTGTAGCATTGAAGTCCAGGCCCAACTGAGCCTCTAGATTTTGTGCATAGAAGAAGACAGAGACATTTCCATATGTCCCAGCATGTCGATATGCCACCAAAGTTAACACTCCAATTGTCTCATTCACTTCATAACTGCAGGGAAACAATAAAACCACATTACTGCTGACCGGAGGACAGCTCCATGGCATATGAGAAGAAATGTTACAGTAGTTTGTGCATTACTATATTACAGGTGTGCTCTTACTCTATGCTTTGCCAGCCAATGATGCCCCGGATCCCATCGTTAGCATTAATCCTAACTTCTGCTACCAAGCCTTGAGTATCTGTTAACATATTTAGTCCACAGCAGCAACCAATTACACTTCATTACAGAACATAATGTAGCATTTCAATATAGAATGCAAGATTACAGACAAAAGTTAAAGTGACAGCCGAATAACCAGTTTGATTCTTTCATGCTATACAGGAACTACAGAGCTAGATCCATACTTTTGACCATTTTTATAGATAATACAGATAATCAACTACAGTACTGTGCACAAGTCAGAGATCACCCTTCACTTTTTATATTCTGGTCAAAACAGCCATTAATTACAAGTTATTCATTTTTCAGGAGATTCATTTTTTAAGGAGATTAGATATAAAATAATGCACTTGCCTAAGGAAGGTTATATTCAAAGGACAATAAAAAATGAGTTTCCAAAACTGGAGCTTAAAATAGGATTAAAACATTAGAGGAAATGGAACTCCTAACAACCACGCAAGAACTGTTTGGCCACCAAAACTGTCACCATCAGATAAACAGTACTGAAAGCTTTCACTTTTAAGAGAGAGAAGAAGGTCAAGCTCCACTCTTGTTTCAGATCCGAAAAAATCCACAGGTGTTTCTGTCCATCCTTCCACTGTGGGAAGACAACTCAATATTATGAGTATGAAAGGATGTGTAGCCATCAAGAAGCCAATACTGAGAAAAGGAAATCGACAAAAAAGAAGAAAAACTGAAAATCGAACAAAAAGCTGCTGGTCTTCTCAGAACAATGGACTGACTACCCCAGAGTCCAGACCTCACTAAAGGTGTTTGGGATTACTTGGACTGCAAGAAGCAGAAAATGCAACCAACTTCTAAGACTAAACTTTGGAGGTGTTGAAAAACTGAAAGCAGCTCTCTCAAAAGAAAGAAATAATGGAAGTTGTAATAAAGATCAAGGCTGGACACTAAATACAAACAAAAATGTAGTTTGCTGATGTGTGTTCTTTGTACTTTGCTGTTAAGCAATGTAAATGTTTTCTGTTTTTGTTTTTTTTTTCTTACACTGAAATATCAGTAACTTGTATTTGATGGCTGCTTTAACTAAAAACAAAATAAACAAAATGCTGCTTTTTTTATACTTTTGCACAGTACTGTAGATGATCAGCTACATTTGGGGTAAGAAAAAAATATATAGATTTGATTTTTTCCACCAAAATATTTCTTTAAATACATTTCAGACAGGTTTTGGCACTTTACACCTAGTAAAGCTTGGACACTGCGTCCACTAACAAATGTGTTCAACAACAGCAAAGCGGAGTCAGTGTAGGCAGGCTTTGCATCTACATCTCGTGATTACAGGCAAGCACAGAGAAGCAGACATCTACCATTACCTTTCAGTGTATAGTGCACCTCTAGTGAAGGGTGAAGAATGAAGAAATGAAAGAATGAAGGAACAAAAGAACAGAGCTGTTCAACAGTGGTTCAGAGTATTAAGAGAAAGATGACAACAAAATGTCACTGTATGAAACTGTATGGAGGTTTAATAACATGGAATCGTGGATATTGTCATTTGGATGTACCTAGCTTAGGCGCAGTTGGAAGTGTGCTTATCAGAACTGCTGATGTGATGTTGATCAGAAAAAATTCCTGCAGCTCAGGAATACTGTCCTGTTAAAAAGCAGAAATCAACATTTCAGGACAATTGGAAGCAAAACCACAACCTCATTGTAAGAAAATCTCTCTAGAGTGGTAACTTTTCCCTACAGAAGGAGAAAAAACATTCCTAACAGCTGTTAAAGGGCCCATATCCCACATTTTTCCTGCGTTTATTTTTCCCCTGATACCCACTTATGACACTGTGTGCGTTTATGTACACTCCTTATAACTTCAGTGTAAAAAATTTTTAAACTGCCGTAGGCTGAGCAACCAGATATATCTAAATGCACTGCTTTTTGTGACATCACAAAAACAACAGTTGAAACTGATCTGTTTTGCTAGTTCATGTACCATATTTACTGGGGAGTCAACAGCATGTTTTGAGGCTTTGAGCTTAAGGACCAGTATTTTCCCTTGAGGTCCTTGTATAATGTTTGTGTTTTTTTTTCTCAGAAACAGTCATAACATGTTTACATGACTATTTTTCAGCCTCTCTTTATGCCTTAGAATTGAACAGGCTGTTTTTGTTGCTGTGTCTTTAAGACTGATATATGTAAACAAGCTCTTCTCTGATTGGCTGACCTGTATTATGCCTCATACAAAGAGTCCAGGCTGAAACGCTCCTTATAACTTCAGGGTAAGTGGGCAAGGCTAAACAACTGGCTGTTTTTTGTGACATCACAGAATAAACGAGTTTAAAACAGGCTGTTTTTAGAGTATAGTTTTCACATATGGACTGTGTGGACTTGTAAGAGAATGGCATGTCTTGAAACAGTTACATCAAACAGTTTTAGTACTAAAAAGTGAAGGAAATTCAGTTTTCCATCATATGGGCCCTTTAACAACATTTATGTCACTCTTTTTCTAAAGTGATGATACAATAAAAGGCAACACTTAAGTAAAATTAAATATCCTAAATTCTACATTAATGTGTCAAGAGAACTTGCCAATACAGACTTACATCTATAATAGTGATTGGGATGGACACAGAAGTCTGGCCATCCTGCATGACCACGGAGCCAGAGACATACAGGAAGTCCTGACCAGGTTCTGCTAAAGCCCCCTCAGTCTGCCTCAGGTCCTGCAGAGACCCTTTCACTGTCTCATAGCTGATATTTACTGCTCCTATAGAGAGAATCACAACACTGATCAACCTCAACAATCATAAGATCTGCTTCTTAGTGATGTAAGAATACACTGACAGTGCCGATTCAGATGCATCAATTTTTTAATGTTAGAATCAAATGAAATTCAACAATATTCAGTAAAGTATGCACTCATTTTTGGACCAAGATATTGTTTTCTGACAATTTTCAAATGTATTTGATTTCATGATGTTTTTATGAGGTCGTCTACAAAAACAAACAAAAAAAGTAGAAAAAAACATGGTCACACTGCCTAAAAGTCAAAAGTTTGAACAGATTTGATTAAAAGTATATTTTCATTTTGGATCTAAAAGCTTACGCTAAAATACTTCTGAGACAAACATAAATCATGAAGATGAAGCTCACAAAAATGAAATAAATAAACCAGTCAAAAGTGCTAATCAGACAGAATAAGTTTTATATGGGAAGGTGGGGTAATGCCAGTTTACCACCCAATAATATTTATGAGGAATCTGCAAGGGATCCAAGTAATCTTGGTATAAAAAAACAGAAACAGAGATGGCTTCAATTTACACACTGCTTTTACTCCTGAAAAGAAAAGAACATTTAATTTAGCTGTTATTTGGTTTACCCTGTCTAGCTGTCTTAAGTGAATTGTGTCATTAGCATTGTGTCAGTGTTATCAGCTGGGGAATACAGCTAATACAGGTAAAACAATACATATCAGCTGGATTTTAGGCTTAGAAAAGAATTTCTCCAAGTCTGTTGGAAAAACCTGTGGAAGCACTGTTTTTACTTGTTGGTCACTGTCGAATTCCACGTGTTATTTCACAGGCTCAATATCTATATGATTTTATTATTGTCATGAAAACTTAAAAAAGTAAAAAAAAAAAGAACACATAAATAAAAATAACCCTTGTCAGAGTGAAGAATTCAACCCTGATGTGAGGTTGTCATCCACTACACCATCAAACCTCCCCGTGTCTATGAGTAGGTGTATCCAAATGCTTCACAGGTACTATATGCATTTAATATACCTCAAAAAATCTTCTTGTTGACTTTAAGCAATATTATTTATTCCATGGGCATTTTAAACATTTTACCCACATACTTTGTGTAGAGCATCTATTTTACATCAACATTTTCTGCAGTATGTCTTTTTATTCATGCTTTTATAAAAACAAACCTGAGGCTCCAAATTCTCTGTTAATGTAAATCCTGATTGTAGTGTTTTTCTCCTCAGTGGATACGCTGCAAGAGGATGGAGCAATACTGAGCATTCCAAATGGCTCATCACTGGCCTGTACACTGACCACTGCCTCTCGGCCTTGAACATCCAGAGCCGCTACACCTGTGGCTGTTACACCTGTCAGACAGAGAAAGGAGTTAATCAGCTATGACAGACATAAATTCTCAATGTAATACACTTTTGGGCCTGAAAAAACTAATGCTGATGCTAATCCTGAAGAAATGCTCACTATGACCAAATATTACCATCAACAATCAGGTGGATGTTTTCAACTATTAAATTAATGTTAACAGAATATTTCAAATTGTAATAAACTGTTACTATTCCTAGGTAGTGAAACCATGTGTAAAGCATGGACAATGGGCTAGCGAATGTTGAATGTTATTACTGGGGTGGGAATCACTATAGGCCCCACAATACAATATCATCAAAGTATTTGAGCCATGATAAAATTCTATTGTGATTTTTTAAGATTTGTGTTAAGTATAACACAATACACAATACTGTGAATGATGCAAATTATTCCTGCCCAAAAAAACCTTTGCTTTATCCATTAAAGTTTACATTTTGTTCATATCACTTCATATTCAATCCAAACAGAACTGTGCAACAGATATTTCAATATTTAAAACATCCAATTATCTAATTATTCAAATGCATTTGGATAATCTATTAGTCTATGGGCTTATCACACGTTCAACATAATAAAATATTGATAGTATTTTTAAACTCAAACCCTATTATTAAACTGCATACATTTCTTTCTCACAACCCTAGTTATTACACTTGTTAATACTACGCTAATATTTAAAAAAGCAAAGCCTGTTTTATCACAAAAAAAAAAAAACTGTTAACCCTCAAATACATGCAAAACATGTAACAAAATACTAGAGCCCAGAGAGACTGTGAATTACAGTGTTTTTACCACAGTTCAGGGCTGCTGTTAGGCACAACACAAAAGCACAATACAACAAAATATGTTCAACAAATAATGTAATTTAGTTTTAATCATAGAGAATCACAAAATGTCTTCCTACAAGCAGTATAGTTCATTAGCAGTCGGCTATTGTTGCGCTGATTTTAGTGACTGTATGTGGGCAAATGTGTGAGTTTTGTTTTTTGTTGTTTTTTTTTACAACAGTTTAAAACATAGCTCATCAAATTAGACTTTAGAACTACAACATTATGGTGTTATTTTGTTGCTGTCAATAAAATCTATTTAAAATTAAAATTGTTGTGTAGCAAAAAGAAAAACTTTGCATACCCTTAGTTTGAATGTTAGAGAGGACAACTCTGTACTCTTCTCTCTCCTCAGGAGTGCCATCATCCAACAGTTGCAGCACTATAGAGTCATTCAGCATCCCCTTTGGCCCAGAAGACAGCAGAATACAGCACATGACAAAAACCAGCCTTTATTAAAGCACTTATTAGTGTCCTAGTGTTTTTAACACAAAGCATTCTTACGGCTTACAGCCTCTATGAATTGTACAGAATTAGTTCAAACTGCAGTCCAAAAGTAAGTAAGTAAGTAAGTAAGTAAGTAAGTAAATAAATAAATAAATAAATAAATAAATACCCAAAGCACAAAAAAAAGTCAGTTAAAAGTCTGAAACATGGTTTGACTTTGAACCAATTCGGTTCAATAATCCATATATACATATTTGTACCTCACTGAAGAACAGAACTCCAGAGATATCCACAAACGTCAGTGAAGGTCGAGGGCCTTCGATTCTCCACTCCACTGTGACGTTTCCTATTGCAGGAGGAGTTCTTTCCACCAGCAACGGCAGCCTCTCACCTGCCACATACAACAGAGCACTGATCATTTCACTGTTAATCATGGAATGGATGGCACCTTCTAAATGATATACCTCGCTTTGCTCAGAAACATGGAAATGTCAAGCACTGGAACAAAACTAAGCTCATAAAATGAACCATCAGTAAATGTTTCTTAATCCTTATAAGTTGCAATTATCATCTGCAACAACAAAAGCATGGTGCCATTTCATGTGAATTTCTCACTCATGACTCATTAATAAAAACAGAGAAATTCTGTTAAACTTTTAATTAATGTCACATCTTAAATTTGCAGGAAGAAAATAAAAATGGCTTTTACTTTTTTTGCCATGTTTTTGTTATTTTGTAACACAAACAGAAAAAGTCAGATACAGAATGTAAACAATGTAAATGTAGTTCATTATGTAACTATGCTTTACTAAGGCTTACTAAAGCTTAAACTACTTTTCATAAAGGCTGCTCAGTACTGTATTACACAAGGATAATGGAATTCACAAAGTAAAGTATCCAGGCGCTTTGTCATGCATGTATAACAGCTCCAGCCTTTCTTTCAGTGTACCAGCTGTTCTGACATGCCTGCAGGTCTCTCTCTTTGTCTCACTGTAACAGTGCATCACTGGTTACTACGGAGTGAAACCTGATCTTTCAATTACACAGGTGGGTTTCAAATGCCTATACACACATACCTACAGGATAGACACCATTAATAATTAATCCCAACAGAATGTGCGATGCAAGATCAAGGGGGAGATGCATGTAGCTGTTGTAGAGGAAGACAAAGAAGCAGAAGAAGCAGCAGAGGAAGCAATGATGCAATCCTCCTGGTTTCTAGTCCCGATACCAATCCGAGTCAATTAATATTCATTGAATATTTGCCTTTTTGTAGACAACACAGCCACACAGTGCACACTTCAAGCATATTACGGTTAGTACAAACGATTAAGTACAGGTAACATCCTTTCAGAACAAAATATTGTATCTGCATTTTTCATTTTTTTACATAATTTGAAAAAAACCAGCTGCCTTTTACGACATGCAAAAAAAATCATTATGAATGAACCGGTAGATCAAAATTGCTTGGAATAAAACCTCTTTACGTTGACTTCCATTGAAAGCTATGAAAGTTTTTTTCCTTCTCCTGTACAAGTACCATTTTTGAGACACAGCAACAATCACTCTTTAATCACTTAGGTTTATTTTATCCATCTGCACTTTCTGTACCCCCTATCGCGCATCTTCAACATCTGGACACTCCACACCTAGACATATTTATTCAGTATTGTCATTACATACTGTTACCTGTGCCTCCTTGTACAGTCATTATTGCACTGCCTTTAACATCTCAGGTTATAGATATTATTCCCATTTTTTGTATTTTTCTATTTGTATATATGCCTGTAGATATGATTTTTTATATTTATTCTTCCTGTTATATTGTTTTCTATCTACTCTCACTTTCTGAAATGATCATTTTATGGTGTGTTAAACATGTCACGTTCATATGTAAGGTTGCTCTAACACATTACGTACTCCTATTTCTTGGCTTTGAATGTGATGTCGCTGCTAAGTGTGTAACAGCAGTCCACTCCAAATTTATGTGCAGCGAGTTTAACCATGTTTTGAAGAAAAGCGGCCAGCTCAGCCACAGTCAAAACAGTGCCGCTGCAGATATTAGTGGCTGAGTTTCCCCTTTAAAATAGTCCCCTACTGCTGATATTTAGACCACTTGATAACTCCTGAAAACATGCCTCACTCCCACAAGTTGTGGATAAGGTCCACTTAAGTCACCACTTTGGCATTAGGTAGAGCGCAATGGAGAAAAACAGCTGGTAATGCTTTACTTAAACCTTGCTTAGTTTAGTAATATAACAGTGTTCTGTTCCCATTATCGTTGTCATGATATATATCATAATGTTTGATGTCATTACAGCACTTGACATCTGAAATGACATGTTTATAGCAAGGTTATGTCAATGTCTATGTGGGCAGCATTCAAGAAAACTGTTATCAGAATTGGATCAGATTTCACACAGTCAATCCCAATTAATTAAGATATGCCTTATTTGGCTCAATATCAATCTTTCAGGACAGATTTTAATGCAAGCGCATGCTGGCAGGGGCAGCATTAGTGTACTCACCTTCTCTAACTATGACTGATCTTGAGGCTGGGTTGAAGCCCACCAGGCCAGCTGCATGGTCGTTGGCGAGGATGAGGATGGTGACAGTATCTGAGCTAGGAAGAATACGGCTGCCACCCTCAGTCCTCACCAAGCCGATCCGTATGGTCTCATTATCCTCCGCCTCAGTGTCATCGGTGATGAAGAAGTCAATGGTCTTCCTCACGTCCCCTTTGAGTAGATAAAACACCAGAGATGCACTGAAGACTGTCTAGCGCTCTCTGTAATGTTCATAACATCAACCATATCTGCATTACTGTAGATGGCACTGTGGTAAAACAGGCCAAAAGTATGGAAGCAAGTTGTGAGTATTTTAAAGTTTCAGATGTATGTCCAACATGCAGCATGTTTACTGAGATTCAGTTTAATTAAAGACGGTTTTCCAAAAATATTGTATTTGTTTGTAGTAAAATGCTCTTACGTATTATATTGTGGCAGCTGCCACATGTTCTGTATTTTAAGAAGGAGCTTTGGAGGTGTGGTGTGCAGAGCTGAGCCGCATGCCCCGTCCCCTCTCCGCAAAAGGAACTTTAATGTTGTTGTTTAATGTTGCTGTTCCTTAGTTTAAAGTATGTGTGTGATTTGTTTTTTGTGTTGGGCTGTTGGGGTAGTAAGTGTCATTGTGTGCTAACTGTGAAGCAAAGGTGTATGGCTACAAATGACCTTCTTGCTAACGTGCTGTTTTTCATGTGCCTTTTCTTAATCAATGTGTAATTAAAATCAAATTAATATGTAACTAAATAATTACTTTTGAATCACATAAAAAAATGAAAGTAATAACTGCTAATGTTGCATTTACATTATGATTGTAGATAAACAAGAGCAAATCAGATGTTCTATAAATTTAATGACACCATCAGCGTTCTGTCGAGAGTTAAAGTTTCACCAGTTGTTGATTGTTCTGGAAACATGGATGCTGTACACTTGCAGTTTAAATCCAGGTGTGCTCACTTATGTACAACAAAACCCGAACTTTGAACAAAACACACAATTTGATATATTAAGAAACATTTGAGTGGAATTACTACTATATCAGCAATGCTATCACCATGGCAACATTTACATGGCTACATGCTGCCACTGGTCATGCACTGTCCCTGTTTACAGCAAATCTGTTGTGTGGCACAGAATTATTATTATTTTTTTTTCTGCAATGCCAACACGTAAATAAAGCATAAAGGTTAAGTCAGTTTTGCTTCCAAACTTTCGGCCTGTAGTGCACAGTGTGCAAGTGTAGGTACAAATACATTTTTGGCCCTACCTTCTGCAAAGATGAGCGTCTCTCCTGTGCCATTAAAGTCAGCATTGGGTTTTGCGCTCCCACCTACATACATCCACTCCACCATAACCTGGCCTAGACTGCCTCCGGTCCTTTCAATGACCAGTGGCACTCGGGTGCGAGGCTCCTCTCTCACCTCCAGATACAAGCCTTTCTCAGTAGCATTAGGACTAATGCTATACAGTATGAAGACTCCAAACGCATCACCGTTCATCCCTATAGTCACCCTGGCTGTGTCTGGTTGCCCAATGGTGGGTAAGTGTTTCGCAACCACAGTCATATTAATCAGGCTAACCTTCAAGATTTGAATCATAAAACTTTCATCCACCTCTGGTAAAGAATCAGTCAGGATCGGCACAGTGAGGTTGGCAATACTCGACCCATCAAGCATGGTCGCTGTCTGTGCTGTCATGGTAACATAATCGCTCCCGGCAACTGCCTGCGAGCTGAAGAGAAAAGCGGCAGCTGTGGTGTTTTTCATATAGGTGAGCATTTGGATGGTAGGAGAAAGTTGGTTAGCCCCAGAGGTTACCCAGAAGCATGTTGCAGTGGAGGCGTTAGTGAAAGAAAAGGCTTGACAGGCTCGTTCTCGAAGACAGAAAGCTGCACAAAAGTTCAAGGGGTCTCTGGTTGATGTAATGTTGATGGGCCTTTGGATGGCACTAGTGGGTGCCCCAGCCCGGGGTGAATTGTAGTAGATGAGGAAGTTATGGCCGTCTCTCTGGGCATTACTCACCACGTCAAACTCAAAGGTGCTATATAAGATCTCTAGAAGACCAAAATTACCTCCACTGGAAGGACAAAAAGAAATTAGTAACATAAAAAAGTTACTGTTTACATTCAATATATATATTTAATATGAAACCTATCATAAAATTAGGCCAGATACGATAGCAAACCTTCTTCGAACGGTAATGTTGGCTGTGTACATTCCTTCCAAAGGCTCCTGCACTCGATATACTGCCTGTTCGAAGTACACTGTTCCATATGGATTGTCATTAGCAGGGACAATGATGTTCACCACCTTCTCAGCACCAATGCTCCCTCCATTTGTGGCACCAATGAGCTCTACCTTGATGATCTGAAACATACAGATTACTAAGACATTAACCTATTGCAACATTTTAAGTGATAGTTCAGCCAAATACATATATATATATATATATATATATATATATATATATATAAAATGGAGGGTTATACTTATATACCCTGTTAGGACATCCTACTGCTATTAACTATAAAGCATCTCATTTTCATAATGATGAACTAAAAAAATTAGAACAAATATAAGATTCTTTTCAAAACATATATTTTTGCTATAAATAATAGAAACTCAAAAAAATATAAAATATAATCCATCAGCCAAGACATGTTAAGAGTCTGAAGTTTGCTTCTTTTGTTTTGTACTGAATTGGCTATGTGGCTAATGTAGCTAACCAGCACCAGAAACATACCCCAAAAATTAGCATCACGCAAACTGCACAGCTAAATGATCACGCTTTACCTCAAAACACATCAAGCTGTTCAGTAATCTCAGATGAACTTGCTTATGTTGTTTCTGACACTGTATAACATCCTGTTATCTATAAAAATGGACACAAGTATGTGAGGGTTTAAAACAGCAGTACTTCCCACGAAGCCTGAATTTTGTCTGTACTTGTGTTCAGAATAACAGTGTCAATGTCCTACACTATCACAAACCACATAAAGAAGTGAATCTCAGATTACTTAACAACTCGACACAGTTTGCAGCAAGTGTGTGATGATTTAGGAATGCAGCTGGCACAGTGTTAACTGGGTATGGTGAATACTGGTAAAGTGGCACACTTAAGCTAGATCCTCTATATCTTCATGCGTCTGTACTTCAGTCATCAAAAAACATTACTGCTGTAGGTGGTAAACTGTTGGGGTTCTATGTTTGTGATTTCACTTCTGAGACAAACCAGGATCAAGGAAAATCAATAGTACATGAAGTGACATAGTAGGATAGAAAATCATAAGTTTACAAAAAGTAAAACTTTTTGAAAAAATAAAATAAGATGTGTAAATGTTACACATACGGAAGCAGATTCAAATACAGAGTGTCCCAAAAAAATCATTTCATAGTCTAATAACAGCCAATTCTCCCTCAAATGATCTCAAATTTTAACAACATGTTTAATATTTAATGTTTTTCAGGTTGAAGAATGGCATTCACTAGAAATGAAAAGGCATATTACAATATCCTCGAACAGTCAAACAAGAGTGTGCAGCGTGCATTTTCGAGAAAATTCAATAAAAATGCCTCAACTGGAAAACAGATTTGGACATGAAATCGGTTATAAAATCTATATCCTTCTGAATTTCTTGTTTGAATTTTGAGAAATAAATCTTGTATTGTTCCACATGAAGCCTATTTAATTTCGTTTGCCTAGGACATGTAGTTACTCAGATACTCACATCTCAAATGATGTCAATTTTTTTTGACACATGGTACATTTTACTCACTTTTTTAAAAATAAAGGAGCTAATATTGTCAAAGTTTCAAAACGTACCATTCACTACCCAGTGCATACAGTCCAAACATGAAAACTAAGCTGCAAAAACAGCCTGTTTTGAATTTATTGTTTCTGTGATGTCACAAGAATTAACTCATTTACATATATCCACCTATACAGCCTATAGCGTATAAGCCCTGCCCATTCACACTGAAGTTCTAGGGAGAGTTTTGGCTCTGGCTGCTTTTTGAATAAAACACATTTAAAAAAGAAAGCAAATCAGAAAATGGAAAATGGTCACATAAGAATAAATTAGACCATTTCTGGTACATAAAACTACATCAATGTTATAAGTGGACCTGAGAGGAAAAATAGGATATAGGCTATATGGGCCATTTAATGCCTTTACTGTTTCCTCTGTCCCACTTTACACTGATACAGCCACTGGGGAGACTTATGGGTGAATGCAGTTTTATTATAGTCATTATTTTATTTCATTATTTATTTATATGTCAATAGTAACGATTACAAATATCAACAGTAAGTACTGACCATTAGAGGTTTTCACCTCATTAGAAGAAGATTCAGAGGCTTGTGTTTGATTTTTCTAGAACAAAAACCTTTTGAAAACCTTTTTAAAACTTTTGAAAGAAAAAAAACAGAAAATCTGGACAGTTTTGCAGTGAAAAAACATCGAATTATTACTATTATTATTATTATTATTATTAATAATAATAATAATAATAATTTTAAATTAATCATTAAAGTAATCATTAAAATATGTTCATCATCAGTCTGTCCAGATTTTTTCGAGAGTAAAGAAATGACAGTCTCATTTTGACAGTAAAGGTTTCCTACTTGAAGTGAAGAAATGTAGGGTTCTTTCAGCGGGTTCTAATAAGTATAATTTCGTGTTTAGCATTTTCACTGCACTTTAGCAATATTCGCCCTATATTTAATTTTCCATTACTTCTTAGCTACACTAGCCTTATAGCCCCAGCGCAAAACTAAATAAATAAAATTCAGACACTGGATATGTCTTATCTGATTGACTAAACTGGGCATTAAACATTTGTTTAAACCAATGCTTAATAAAGCAATAAAACAATAAAGCAAAAAAAAATATATAACATTATTTAGTACAGCTCACATCAATGCCCACCTCTTCAATTTCAGGTACATCATCAGCCAAAACCTCCACTTTTAGGGTCTGCACGGTTTCACCTGGTGCGAAGCTAACCTCACCGGACAGGGGTCGAAGGTCACCAGTTGCAGGTCTTCCATTGACGGTTGCCTGCCATCGCACAGCCACGTAACCTATCGTCCCAGCATTCCTCACAATGGGCAAGGAGACTTCAAATGCGTTCACTCCTGGCTCCTCTACAGTGATGGGCTCGGCCTGGAAAACTGGGCAACACAAACAAGACCTACACGTCAGACTTGAACTTCATAAGAAATTAGTCTAACTAATGGCGAAATGCCTATGGATAATTAATCTACCAAAGGACCCATATGGGTCATCAGAGGGCAGGATAGTGATGATGGCCTGTGTGAGGTCCCCCAGGAATGCTCCTCCTGTGGTCTGGTTGAGAAGTTCAATGCGGAAGGTTTCCTCCAGTTCAGGCACCATGTCGTTGATAATTAGGATGGGGACGGGTTTACTGCTCTCTCCCTCCAGAAGAACCACATCAGAGGAGGCCACACTGTAGTCCTCACCTACACACACAGTCACAGTCCAATGCTGAGGAGATTTTGTGTGGATAAAGTGATGAATTAATTATGAATTCCTTTAATCAAGCTAGTCCTCAATAACTTAATAAAGAAAGAGCAGTGATTTGACGAAATACAGGTTGACCTTAATAGTGTAAAAATCTCATTCTCTATTTTTCCATAGTTTTGTCTATATTCATACATAACACTACATCCTACAGTATCAGAAACAACATAAACAAGTCTGTTTGAGATGACTTGATAACTAGATGGGGCCTGACTGATTTTGTGGCTAATACTGATTATAATGGCCTGAAAAATACTAGTTGGTGCGTACATTTTCATTATCTGTTAGCTATTGTTAGCTATATTAGCCTTATACATCCAGTGCCAAAGTAGCAAATTTCATTAGGTTTTGGTACTACATTCGGGGGATGGTGGAGAACTGCGATATTTTTTTTTCTGCAAATTACCACTTAAACCTTCTTCCTTTAGCCGTGTTCCTGACTTTGAGAGGAGCAAAATGAGAATAAAAGATTATGCATGCAAAGGTGTGCAGTCTTCAGTTCTACTTACCAACCCGTGCAGTCAGGGGTACAGCACGGAACTTGACAGACACATCAGCAAAAATCCCTCCAGTGCGTGTCACATTGATGATGGGTCCCACATAATACTCAGGCACACTCACTGCTGAGGTGGAGAGCTGAAGCACCCCAAACGCATCATCACTGGCCTCTATAATCACCTGAGCCACTGAGACATTTCTGAGGCCGAGTCGAGGTGACAGAGCGACTAGAGGAACACATTATAAAATGTTACAGTTCGTCTGCATGCTGTAAAATACTCAACATGTTAGAGTGAAGGGCCAATATTGCACATTGAATTTTTTCCAGTTTATGTATAAAAGCACGTAGTATTTAATATCTTCTTCTATTTATTTCTTTAGATTCAGAAGTCTGCAATGATTCATTTGCTTGGCAAAGGCAGAAATACCTCCACTTCCATCTTTCAATAACTGCTACAGGCCGTCTGCAGTAACAACACTTACCACCTCAACATGAATGGGCTAGATTGCTATGAGTAAAGAGATTTGTGCTGCACTAAATCCAATTAAGCAGGACTAATTATCATCTCTTGTAGTGAAGCATGGAGTTGGTCAGTGTTCTAGAAGTGCTTACATTATCCACAATATACTCAGTAAAGCGTATTGTGACATACTGGGGCATAATTTATGATAATACTCATAAATACTGTCATACATCGATGAACCAAAACAATATGCTGTAATATGCTGCGTGTTGCCAGAACAGCTCTGACCCATCAAGACCTGCACTCTACAAGATCTCTAAAGGTGCCCTGTGGTATCTGGCTACAAGACGTGGAAGAAGCAGATCTTTAAAGTAAGTTGCGAAGTGGAGCTTCCAGCACATCCCACAGATGCTCAGTCAGATTTGGGGAATTTGGAGGCCAGGGACACCTTGAACTCTTCGTCATGTTCCTCAAACAATTCCCAAACAATGTGTGCAATGTGAAAAGACACATTATCCTGCTAAATGAAGCCAATGCCAGGGGGGATACTATTGCCATGAAGGTATGTACCTGGTGACATGTATCAAACTGAGGCCCACATTAAGGCCTGGACTTTAGGTTTCCAGCAGAAAACTGCACAGAACATTACACTCCCTCCTTCATACACAATAGGTGGTGATGTACTGTGTGTTGTGAAACATTCCTACCATAACCATCACTATAAATTTCAGAGCCTGCCACAGTAGCCCTTCTGTCGGTTTGGACCAGACAGGATAGCCTTCATTGCTATCGGGCGTCAATGAGCATTGGGCACTCAATATCCTGTTGCCAGTTTGTGGATTGTCCCTCTTTAGAGCACTGCTGGTAGGTACTCACTACAAGCCTTGCTGTTTTGGAGATGCTTTGACCCAGTTGTCTGGCCATAATGATTTGGCCCTCGTTAAAGTCACTCAGGTCTTCATGACTGCCCATTTCTCCCACACCCAACACGTTAACTACGAAAACTGTTCACTTGGAGTCTTATATGTCCCAGACCTTTACATTTGTCTGCGTTACAAGTTATTCAATGTTCTTCACTTCATCTGTGAGTGGCCATAGTGTTTTGGCTCATTGGTGTATTGCCCACCTCTAACACAAAATCAAACACTTTACTTTCTAAAAAGCAAGTCAAATACAGTGATTTTGGCCCTTTAAAACACAATTCATCAAAAGCTGTAAATGGTTCTTACCTGGTCTTGCCTGTACACCCTCCACCAGTATGACACCGCTGAGCTCCACAAACACAGACTCCGCCCTCTCTGGATCTTGGTCATCCAGAATCCTGACAGTAACATTTGCTTCACTCTGATTGGCTGAGAACGTCACCGACTCCAAAAGGGGTATAAAGTCGTTACCAGCACTTGCCCTGCCCACACCTGGAGTGCTGAAGGGCACTGAGTCTGTATCCCTTAGCGTCCTGTATGTCACCTGTACCCTTCCCATCAACCCTTTCCTCCTCTGTATCGTCAAGGTGACGAGTGTATTGGCTTCTGCCACACGAACTGGCCTGCTGCTTTCTGCAAACACAAACTGCCCATAGGGGTCGTCACTAGCTAGCACAGTCACTGTGGCAACCGTCTGGTTCCCAAGTCGTCCATAAGAAACATTAGACAAACGGACTCTGAAGCTCTTGTCCAGTTCAGGGACATCATCCTGGGAGATCAGCAGATAAATGCTTCCAACAGTCTGCCCCACACTGAAGGTCAGGTTGCCAGACCTGTAGATAAGCTCTCCTTCTGAGTCTGCATCTGCCTCCCAGTATACGGTCACATTAGATAGAGCTCCAAACGTACGAATAACCTGAGACGAAAAGCAAGCAGATGTATCATCAATATCACTGCTCTGTGGACACAAAGGAATGCTCAAATGTTTTTACCCCTAATTTCCTAAAAACTTATCTGTAGTGAATGGGTGATTACCAAAGAACAATAATGTTGACAAGAGAAAACCCATCAAAACACACTCATAATATAAGTTGATGGACAGTTGCTGAATTCCACCAGTAGGCATTTACGTCAAAGTTTTTCAGTCAAAAGATTGTAACTTAAGTGAAGAATTTTTTAGTAATAGAGCTCTGAAGTTGTGTCATTGTTCTGTAGTTGGGATCAAGACCATATTAGGCACTCCAGGTCTAAGCTGAACTCTCTATGGGAAAAATTAATGGTGTTTTCAAAAGTCAATGCTATCTCACCCTTTGGTAAACAAAAATGTTCTGAAGTCAAGAAGTTCTGTCCTGTGTTCATTTTTCCATCTAAAAGTCACTGGATCCACTGAATTATGGGGTCATTAAGAAGTAAAAACACAAATCATGCTACATGCAAGCTAACACATTAGACTGGCAACCTAACTAAACTAAAACACCCAAAACAAACCAGAAAGCTGAAATGTGGTATTTAAGTTGCTCTGGCAGTAGTAATCTACAGTTTGAGTAGTTCGTATTGAAATATAATAGTGTTGAACTTTAATACAGGACTTATTTTAGTGCAATGGCAATTCTTTGCACAGGAGTATAAGCTTGCTTGTTTTTTCAAAATGTTTTGAAAATTATTTTTCAAGTCATTCAAAATTTGTTCATTGTTCACAGTGGTGGTGATCAGACATCTAGAGAGTTGAATGCCTCTTAAACTACCTCACAAAGTTATTATATAAAATGGTAATTGTTTGTTTAAATCCATTCATGGTGGAGACGTACATGCAGGGTGTTGTGAGGCAAAATAGTCTATTTTACAATCTTCAACATTACATATAACGGAAGGTGTATGTAGCCTCATTGGTTGCCTTGGACAATAAAAATTTATGTTGTGTACATTGTGACCCCTGGTATCTATCACCATCACTGTAAAGAAATCAGAGTCTGTCCACTGCTCTACAATGAAGTATTTCATATTAAACCACTCTGAATGACCTTGTTTACATCTCAACAAATACAGAAATTTCCCTTTATTGACTTTGTATTTCAGGGGATCCAGTGACGTCTGGGGGAGAAATGTACAGAGGACAAAACATATCAGCTTTGTTTACTACATTTTTTCAAAAATGGCATAGTTTTTTTTCCATAGGCAAAACTAGCTTAGACTCAGAGCTCTTCAACATCGGTATGACACCAACTACAGAATTACAGAAGGCTTCAGAGATCTATACCTTCCCAAATATGTGGAGAAGGGGGAGTTTTCATAGGTTCATGTCTGATTGCACATGGATACCAGACAACCATGGGCAGAACTTCTTTTTTTTACATTTTTGCTTCAGTGTTCGAAAGCAGGATAAAACTTCATAAAAAACTTTCTCTGATGTCTCCCTCAACTTAATAACTTAATAACTGTATTATTACAGTGTACACAGTTTAGTAGGTTTTGCATTTCATACATTTCAAATGTTTATGCATGGAATTCAGTACCTGAGCAACGGCTTAGATTATTAGTGAGATTTGAGTCGATGGCTTTTTAAGTACGAGGAAATGTATCCAAGTTACTGTCTTTGGTAATGGATGGTGTAGATATAGATGCAGCAGATCTTCTAAAGTAGCTAATTCTAGTAAAAAAAGTTTATTTTGCTAAATTGTTGAACAATTATTTTAGCACAGAGAGGACTGACCTGTAAGACCACAGTACTCCGCCCTTCCTCAGGCTCTGTCCCGTTCACTGCCAGAGAGTCAGCACTGAACTGGAAGACCCCATGAGCCTCATCGGATGCAGCGATGGTCACAGTGATGTGAGATGCAATTCCCAAGTTAGCTTCAAAAAAAAAAATAAATAAATAAAAGGAATGTTACTTTCATTCAGGTGATGTTGGTTTAGAAGAAAGTAAGTGCAGCACCTAAGATGGAAAAGGAGACACAACATCTATTTTCGAACGTTCATAAAATTATACTGTTACATGTACAAGGAAACAACTATGTGTATACATATATATATATATATATATATATATATACACCCACAATAAACAACTATATTGAACTAAATGTAGTGTTAATAACCTGGCAAACCTTGTAACTTAGCAAAAAAATGATTGGCTATGTCTACACGAAGAAGTGACTGAATTCAAATGTCTACATGATGATTATTCTTCCATTTAACAGATTATTAAACGTGTACACCACCACTTTCAATCAAATAGGCAAACCTCATTCTGGCATAAGAAAATGACACAATTTACTAAACAGGTGCAACAAGTCTTCTTAGCACATAATAATACCAAACGCGTTGTTGCTGCTATTTTATGCTTTTGTCTCATATATGCTTTTAAAGGAAGAGTATTAAAGGAATATCAGGCAACATGTAAACATAGCTTTTTGTGAAATTTTGACTAAACCAAAATCCCAAAAATAAAAAAGTGTGAGCAACAGCAAATCAGCCCAGATGTTGAACCAAGAGAATAGAATGAAATTAAACCCAAAAACAGGAACTGTAACGGTGTTAGCCAGCTCAGGACACAATAACAATATGGTAAATATGAATTTTATACCGATGACACTAAAGACTATTTCAACCGTATAAATATGTAGCAATGGCAAAAAGGTTAGCAAACGCTATTTCAGAAGATATGATCAACGACTGTGGTAAAGTTGTTAGATTTGCACAAACTAAGAACCGGCTAAGCTAAGAAGCCAACCTCAACACCAGCTCAAGCAGAGCACTCTGTATGTGTTTTAAAATGAGGCCCTATGGGAAAAGTGAACCTGCTGACATTTTCAATACGCAACTTACCGCCGCTGCTATCCTCTCAATATAGTGGCTATTTGCTTTTCCCACATTTCTCCTCTGAGTGCTCACTGGCTTTGGTGCAATGTAAATAATGTGGCAGACACTAGTCTTGGATTGCAGGAGGCCACTAAACAAGGATGTTTTACTTGGGCACTGAGGTGGACAAGGGCTCCAAACTTTTACAGCTTTTAATCTGGATCTTACCAACAAGGAGCTTTGATTTAGGAGCCAGTCTACACTGGCCAGAACAGCAACCAAAAGAAAACAAGAGTACGCAAAGCAGTGAATTAGCATTAACTCTAACTGGGTTTTAGTCAAAACACACAAAGCAGCAGCTACTGAGTGTGTCTTAGTTGGTGCCAGTGGTGGCTTAGAAGCATGAATGGCAGATACTAGGGAAATGAGTGGCTATAAAAGCGGTCACATTGTTGATTTCAAAAAACGAACAAGCTTTCATGACCCGAGAGTGAACTAAACAAGATTGAGTTCACCAGGAAAACTGTGTTCACTCTTCACCTTTCTCACTAAATGACCATCAAGTGTCCACCAAATGCTTGGAAACACCTTGCCTTCTTTTGAAATGTAAAATTTCTCACTGTTGTGGTTTGACTGCAGACATCGCAACAAAGGGATAAAACGTGGGGTTTGCCATTATCCTCAAGGTAGTACTGTCCCATTATAAAAAAAGGATTTTCACTGTTGAAGTACTGTAAAATGTACTATTTTTTAAAGTTAACTGTGTGTAAATAAACCACACATCTACACTATTTTAACAGTGCTATTTATTTTTTCAATTTACAGAAATACAATGTAAATTCACAAAAACAAACGATCACCTTTATTTCACAACATTTCTGTTTATTTTAATGGTTGTTATCGTTATTATTATGGTAAAATACTGTATGTCAGAAAAACTAGTTAAACTAGTGACACTTCAGAATGACAGTAAAAGGCTATTATTTTGTTATTGTAAGAAACTAAATAACTGTAATTTTACTTATGATCACTTTACAATTGTTACTATTACCAAGAAAACATACTTTTACTGTTAATTAATGGAACTCCTGCTGCCAGAGTGTTCATGCTTTTTTAATGTACATTAGTAGTCACATTATGGATGATGAGAGGGACATGTTGGGTTGGTGGAAAGGTCAGTTGATCTCTCCTCTTGCTCGTTATGCTTGCCCAAAGTGTGTTAAGTATTTCTGCAGTGACAGAAGGAGCAAGAGGAACTTTAGTGCAGCGGGGATAACAGGGTGAACGCTGTTCTCTGAAAAACTGTAACTGTGCATTACAGATGTGTTTATCCTAGTAGAGATTTTTAGTCGATGAACAAAAGTGCTTAGTTACAAAGCAAAGCACTGCAAAACCGCCTCTGAGTTAATCCATCACTGTTAGTGCATATGAGTGAGATCAGGTTGGGTTCTGGTTTCAAATTCAGCTGTACCAGTTGGGCCAACGTCACGAGTACGAGTCGGGTTCAGGCTTGAATTTCATGCCTGCTAGCCAATGTGGTTGTATATGAGTTGGCGCAACAGAATTGGCAGCTAGTGCTCTCCTCCAAGCACGTTGAGCTGTCCAAAGAGATTCTATTAGCAGCAGTTGGAAAAAATGAATGAATTTCCAAAAGGCAGCATTTCTCTGAAATGGAATTGAGGCTTTTAGAGGAAGATTAGACGTCAGTGAGCTTACCGTGGCGATAGTGAAAGGGTGGAAGGAGGAAATCAGTGTCACCCTCTCCACTTCCACTGCCCTCGCCCCCATAGAACAGATCCACTTAGGCACCACACAGCAACCACACAGGACAGAGGCACACAGGATCCACACAGGATGTAAAAGGGATATACAAAGGTCCAGTTTTCCATGATCATGTCCAGATCACATGAATGGAATACAGTTAAACGTACAGGGCATGCAAAAGTGACAAGGGCAACACGTAAGGAATTTTCAAGGATAAGATAAGTTGACTGAGTGCAGTGGAAAAGAGTCACTGACATATTCAAAACAGAAGGTAAGATACAGGAAGTCTACTGATGGGAAAAGGAGTCTACTATTTAATCAATAACAAATTTATGATTAGCTCGGTATATTCAGGATATTGTAAGCTATGAATCATCTATGAATTACCACAGTGAAGAAACGAGAGGTAAACGAATAAACCCTGAAGTCCCTCACCTCCCCCCTCAGGGTTGTAGAGTTCCACTCTAAACACTTTGTCCAGCTCCGGCACTGAGTTGTCTATAATAGTCACGTTGATATATTTGAGCCTCTCGCCTGGCAGAAAATCCAGCAACCCCTCGGAGTCCTGTCCAAGAGACAGAGGAAATTAAAGCATGTTTCAAGACACAAGAACGTGTCTAGGAATTTCCCAAAGATTATATATACACTGCAAAAATGGTGTTTTAACTTAAAATACTTCACTGAACTTCAAATAAGTTAAAGAAATACACAACTTACCGTGCTGTTAACTTTTACTGCATTTGACTCATAATTTTAAGGCAGCATAATTTAAGACTTATTTTTTTACATTGTATATATTTCTTTTATTATTTTTCCTTCAGCTCCACTTGACATTTGTGTGGTTTTATGTACCGAAAACAGTAATAATTCATTTTACATGACCATTTTCCAACCTCTCTTTATCTCTTAAAATTAAACAGGCTGTATTTGTAACTGTGCCTTATATATGAACAGTAACAGAAGGACTGTTATACGTAAATGAGCTGGAGTAAAAGGCTGTTATTGTGTTATTGTAAGAAACTGAATGATTGTAATTTTACTTATGACCAGCCTGCCCTGTATTGTGACTTAGTCAAAAGCAGTCCAGGCTGAATCACTTTTTTGTAACTTCAGTATGAATGTTACATTCGCTACATTACACAGGTTTGTTATCACAGTCATTTATACAACAGATCAAGCTCTTACACACTTCACCAATGGCCATTGTAACCACTAACGGCATAATATCACAACGTTTCACTCTCTACAGAGGCACCAGACAAGGATGCTCTCTCTCTCTCCACTTATTTGCTATATTTATAGAACCATTAGCTGCAGTAATGCACCAAAATCTCAATTTAACAGGAATTAAACACCCAACATAAAATTAATTTATATGCAGACAACATCCTACTCTTTTTACAAAACCCATCCTCCTCAATAAAAGAAACGATGCGAACTATTGAAAGTTATTCTAACATTTCAGACTGGTCCAAATCCTCTTTTTAACCAATAAATAAGAACCTTTGTAATACACCAATTCAGATACTTTCTATTCAGATACTGGAAAAATAAACCACTCAGAATCAAAATGACCATATTACAGAACCCACAGAGGTTTAGAAGCCCCACATTTGTACCACTATTTCCCTACAAATCAATTACAATATATTCTAAAATGGATAAATCCTGACCAGACAGATTGCACATGGATTGATGTAGAACAAACACTATGCAAAGATATCTGGACAGCAGACTTACCATTTATCACTCAAACACTGAAAAATCAGGCCTGCTTTAAAAATCCAACAATAGCAACAACTCTGACTCTTTCACAAAATCAGAAACTCTACTCTGTTTTTGAATTTTAACTGCCCCTATTTAGAAGAACCCTGACCTCAAAAATAAAATAACTTTTTGATTTGATAAAGGCATTACATACCTTAAACACATTTTCCACCACAGTACCCTGGTATCATTCTCACATCTTAACCGGAACCACGGCATTGACAGTGATCAGTTTCTCAAATTCAACCAGCTAAAATCCTTACTGTCCATTATTATACTCCATTATTAAGGTGACTGAAAGTACATTAGATCTACCCCTCGCAATCTCAGATTTTTGGAACATATTCTCTCCAAACAAACTCCTACCAAAACTATACAAAACAGTATGTAAACCAGATGCAAAAAGAGCTTTGCCAACTATACAATGGGAAGAAGATCTATCCATCACTCCCAGTGCCGAGTTCTGGTTACAAATATGCAAAAATGATCTATGTGTGATTACAAGTACTAATCCACAGCTCATACAGTATAAAATCATTCACAGAACACATTACACTGGACAAAAGATGTTCAAAGTGGGATTTACCAGCTCTAAACTCTGTTCACATTGCACACAGAATACCACTGATAATGATATCCATGCCATGTGGCACTGCACACCCATAACACATTTCTGGCAAGAAATTATCTATCAATCTAGTAGCACTCTGCTTAAATATCACTGTCCCCAGAGCTATGTCTGTTAGGAGACACATCAGCAATCAATATGACTAAGGAAACTTCCATCGCCAAGAAAACCATAATCATGAACTGGAGGTCAAAAAACACCACTACTATCACTCACTGGAAATAATCACTAATGGATCATATATCTATATATCTATGGAAAAAAAAATCTGCTTCCATAAACATAAAAACACTCAATATGACTTGATCTGTGTGCTGGTCATTAACTTTTTACAACAGTAACTGTCCCACTAAATCAACTTTACTGGAGAAGCTGGTGCACTGAGATCCAATACCCAGTTCCAAACTATTATAATATATAACAGTTTGGAACTGGGTATTGGATCTCAGTGTACCATAATATTATCAATTTTTTCTTCCTCTATTACCGTTGTTTATCTGTCTGTTTGTGTATGCTTACATGTCTTCCCTCATTAGTACATTACAAATAAAAAGTAAAGTTTTAATAGTCTATGGGGGGGGATGGGCAGGGCTAAACCACTGTAGGCTCAATAGGCAGATATAATTAAATGAGTTGGTTATTTCATTTTCAATTTCATTTTGAAATTTTAATTTTAATTTAAGTGTATTTTCATTTCAGTATATGTTACATTTCGGGATATTTTACATTATATAAGCACTTTAAGTTAAAACAACAAATATTTTTGAAGGGTATAAATTACAACGCATAATATAAACTCCCCTACTGTTACTTTTTCAGAGAGAACAAAGAGAAGCAAATTGTACTGATTATTATTTTAACGAACAATTACTGCTCAATTCCAGTGTTTACTGCAAAAAACAGCTGAGTTCTATTAGACAAAATTATTATTTTTGAAAGCAACAAAGCAACAAAGACAATAACACTGCTAAATTCAAAAGCCTGCACTTTGCAAACTAAATGAAGGCACAGATAGAAAACACATGCACTAATGTGCATGTACATTATTCAGATGCAGTTTTCATGATGTCCAGGACCAGAATTGATATCTATATATATATCTATATATATATATATATATATATATATATATATATATATATATATATATATATATATATATATATATATACACACGCACACACATACACATGTAGGGGTATCACATGGTATAAGCACTCTTAAAATCTACTAACAATTACCTGGTAATCCTTTGGACTGATGGCTGTGAATGGGATCATGCGATAAGCCACCAGCACTCTTCCCAGCAGGCCTTGTGCTCTGGCCACGGGCAGTCTGAGCACTCCAACTTCCTCTCGTACAGTGATGTGAGCCTCCTCCACAGCTGGCCTAATCATAGCCTGAGTGACGGGAGCAGTCTGGAACTGCAATAGACCTGAATCAATGGACAAAACAGGTCAGAGAAACCACACAGTGTCTTTTCCAGGTATGCAGAACTAAAATGAGAAAATACATTATTCATGAACTTTATTATACACGCTTAACTTTCTGCCTCTAACCACTGGCCACTACGAGAAGTCTGCCTGCTTTGAAGATCCACAATATAGGTATTCAAAAACAGACTGCAGCCCACCTGTTGCCATGCACAATTTATCAGCCACTCTCTATCCCATTCATCATTGGTCAGTTTCTGACCAGGACTTATACTGACCAGATATCTTGGATTCGTTTATGAGAAAATAATATCATGTGAGCAGTAAACTGTGGCAAAAAAAATTCCCTTTGCATGGCAGAAACCTTTCTTCAACTCCTTGATTATGGTGATATTTTGTATATGTATGCTTCAGCTTCTACATTCAAACTCTTGGATTCTGTTTATCAATCTGCACTCAGATGTACATCTTACATACACAACTCACAATTTAGTCATGTTACAGAGGTAAGCCGACCTAGCATTAGGAGTCTAGCCCAAGAACGCCTATTGTTTCCCATTACACCACACCACACCACAAACGTGTGCCTGCTAACAAAGTATACTGTAATACTTTACTTAAACATAATACTAATCATCGTTATCTTTAGAAAGTTCGACGGCCCTCTCTCTGTAAGGTGCGACAGACACTGGATTTTAAACATCATGTCTAGGGTGACTTATGGTCCTCATCAGACTCACTCCAGTGATGGGATTACAATGCAGGTTGCATTTATTTTATTAAGCTTGGATCCAGTTGTATTCAATCTGGAACACCTTTCAGATGGTCACCTCATTTTTATCTCCAGACCAAATTAAAATGTTGATTTCAACTTACTGTTTTAGTTGTTTTTTAGTGTTTAATTTATTTATTTTTACTGTTTTTTCATTGTATTTATTCTGTCATTTTTATTACACTAATCTTTAGCTAAAATTAACTTCAGTTTGTTTTCTATATCACTGTAGCCTTATGGTCATTTTTCACTGTTTTTCATTTGACTATATTAAAAACGAGGCTTCTCCTCAGAATCTAAATAAAGGTTGAACTGATGGTGAATGATATTCAGCACAGCTGTGACAATGATGTGGTAATAATGTGCCATGGGCACCAACTTGAGAAAAACATTGGGGGGTAAAAAGAATTTTCAATTTGGTTCCTACTCAGATGACAGCCATTTAATTTGGGGGAATGTTCATTCAGTGATGGAGTCTCTCTACCCCCACCTGCACAGTGAACTTGGAGCATGTCATTTCAGGTTCAGCTTTGGTAGGTAGTCTGATTTCTCTACTAAACACTACCATTTTAGTTTAATTCATCTCCCTCATTATTCACTATCTTAGCAAAAGGGACTTTTGCTTTGCTGGCGTTAGGGATCAGATACAGTGACCAGCAAAATCACAAGGTGTAGCAGATAATGTGGCGGCTTTGCACTGTCATCTTGTTATATTGTTGAACGTTTGCGTATAACTCACCAGGAGCCGAAACTGACCCAAAATGTGTCTGAATGTAAACTTTTGAAATTATGTGTAAAAAACACCAAATATTACAATAAGCCCTCTAGAAACCCACATTTAGAAAGAAGTCCAAACAGAGCTGCACCACACAACTATGTAATTTTTACCCACCGTGTATTTTCAAACTAGCTGGATTTGTTGGGAAAACGAACCTGGTACCCTTGCATGACCGAAACACATGCATGGCGAAAACCTATTTTTCTGGTTGCCATAGCAACTCTGCATGCTTAAAACGTCTACTGTTAAATGCAGTTTCACCAAAGCAGCCATTTTCAGACTGTTCTTTGCTGTTTCACTACCTTGGCTTTTCTCAAGCTTTGCACTAGGACTGAGGGGTGATGGTATCCTTCTTTAGTTTTGTGGGTGGCCACCATAGTTTTTGCTGATAGACATCAGCAGGTGTGTTGCTGTTACGAGTGTATCAGGCACATTAGTGTCACTGTTTGGTTAAGAATGGTCCATGCCTCAAAAATATCCAGCCAAAAGTGGTTCTGTGATCAGAAACTGACCATTGTTGACTCATGCAAACTGTGCATCAACAGATGGGCTACGGGCTACAGTCATTAACTGCACACCAGCAAGGTGGAGCTACAAGGCAGGCTGGTGAGTGTATATTTATGCACTGTGATTTAATATAACTAAAATATTTTTATATGACCATAAAATGAATTACTACAGTGTAAGGAGAAAATGTGTTTAGGCTTGGCCATGTATACCGTAGGGGTGGTCACTGGCCTTGACAGTGATGTTGTTGATGGCATTCTCAGGATCGATGCTGGCTCCACTTGTTGGAGTAGACCCTTGTTTTCCATCTCCAGACTGAGCTGAGACCAGCCTGACTTGGAAGAACTCATCAAACTCAGGGATGTCGTCATCCAGCACCAGCAGATTCAAAACCTGAGAGATCCAGCAGAATGTGGTTCATTCAAATATTAACTGATTACATCATTTGCGACATTATCTATTATTGCTATCCACAGTTTTTTACTATGTGCTATAATCTTGACCACAGTCCCAGATGAGTGTTTTGATGTATATCTGACAAAAGGAATAACATTAGTCAAATTAATGTAAGCCAATCTTTAACCATCACATTATTGATTCACCAGTGTATTTTCAAAATACCACAAGGTGAATCATAATCACAATATTTAGCAATATAATCCCTATACTAGCATTTCACCCAGATCATACAGCTCTGCTACTAGTATCTCTTTAACTTTGTCATCAAGTAATAGCAATCTATCATACAAGTAAGACTAGTAAGAGAGCCAAAATACCCACTAGATGGAGCTAAATGTTAAGAAGCTAGCTGTGACACAATATCAGTTACAAAAAAGATAAATCGTACATCATATGCTACCATTACATCATATCTACATCTTCGTCCATTCTTAAAAGCCCTCAGTGACCCCTCTGCAAGACACAGAGCTTGCTCAGCGGAGTGTGTTTCCTCAACGGGAGGTTCCCTGCTCATTAATGATGGATGACTGACAAGTTAGCCGTGTTACCTCAGAGCGCTGGGCCGGCAGGAAGAGGATGGAGCCCGTGGCGTTGGTGAAGTCTGAGCCACTGGACACCACAGCAGGGGAACCGAGCTGTGTGACAGTGTAGTTTACATACACGGAGTCAAGAGCTCCACGTGTGCGCTCCACTACACAGGACACAGTGGAGCCCTCCTCAGATATCTGATGATAAGAGAGGACACAGGGTAGATGACCATTACGCATAAGCTCAAGCTACACAAATTTACTACTATTAGAAATGATTATGTTTATTTCTATAGTATCCTACACATTTTATAGGAAAGTTAGCGAACTCCAATTAGACTGTGCAATATCTTAGTTTGTACCTAAAGTGAAGCGTTAGAAATCTAGAGTTATTACTGTCATGATGATACAATATTAAGGGTAATTAGTTAATTACATACTTATAATTAGTTAATGATATAGTTGTTACATGCGAAATATTTCTATTTAATTTACATTCTGTGTCAACAAGTTTGAATTTTTACTGTCATCTTTTTCTATTTGTTTAGATCCAAAGGGATGAGAAAATGGTGACACAAATGTAAATGATGGCTTTTCTTTCAGCAACAGAAGACTATATACAGCAATAACCTTCCATCCTCTTCTACGTACAAACACAAATGTGGCATTGATTACAAGCTTATAACTCACAACCTTGACAGAATTTCTTTGCATGTTTCAGTTAACTATGAGTGAGAACTAATTAATATCAAAATATACCACATTTTTATTATTGCTAAACTAAATTCTGAGAGTTAAGTAATGGGAACTTAATTGAATTAAGGTAATAAATGAAGGATTGGGCCAAGCTAACTACGTTGTTATGTTTCTTGTGTCATTTCAACCCGGCTCAATATAATTTACTGAAATCCTATCTTGCACTAACCTATGTAGAGAAGGATCTTGTAGTACAAGGTTATGAGCATGTATCTACAAATGGTATGGAAGTGCTCAATTATCCCACACAGACCTAGACTGCTATCTGCATTTGTATCTAGTTTGGACATTTCTCCTTTTTCGTGCCTGGTCATGATGTGATTCGCTGAAAGCATGCAGAAGGGCACATGCCATGGCGTCTCTTTTGTCAGTAAGTGAAATGTGGTCCTTCTAAAGGAATTCTCTGGCCAGGTCTGCCATCTGTTCTGTTAATCGACTCAGCCATCGGAGATGCCATGAGTCCAATCACCCTAAAGAGTCCACCGTCAACTCCTTCCAACCAGGCGTGAAGACAAATTAAATATACACAAGGACATGCGCTCACAACCAGGGGGTCGCGTTACACGCTTTCTACAGAGCCAAACCAAACACGGCTGAACCAGGAGGGACTTGTCTACTTAATCAACTAATACTCTGGAATGCTAAGTAAGGATAGCATGGATAAGAGGCTTTAGCAGAGTAGTTATGTGGGGGGAAAGTGAGAACATGTTAGGGAGATACATATCTGCACAATTCTCAATTCTAAGGAACTGTTTGTTTTGTACCAACAAAATAATACAGACAATGAACTATGAAAAATGTATATCTGCTTTAAACTTTAGAAGTCGTAGTTATCGCTGATGATGACAAAAGCATGTTATTTCATATTAAGTATTTATCATTATAGCTTTGAGAAATTCTGTCTAAAGTGCAGATTCTGAACACACCACGTGTTTGTAAGTAGCAGAGGAGATCTTTTATTTCATGCTTTCATCTGTGCAAAGAAAATCCATATTTTTGACGTTCAAAGAAACTGTTGGCTGATCCAGTAAAGCCAAATATAAAGGTAACTCGTAATAACTGTTATTAATATTGTAATTGCAATTTAATTAGTAGTCACATTTAGTATATATAATTTTTCTTTAGACTGATGTACTTTATGTTTAATTTTGCTATATATTTAAATACCATACGTACAGTAATTTCTAATTAAATATATTAAACACTTAACTTCTAAAGTTTAAAGAAATAAATATATGGTAAAACAGAGAAACTATAAGTAAAATATATGGTAAAAAAAAAAATTGTTCACAATTCATACTCTAAATTTGATTCTGCAGCAATGTTTGCTTTAAAATGCAATCTATATGTACAGATACAATAGTTCATGTATTGTACATCCTTACATCAGGAATGCAAGCTCCAGTGAATCCAAACAGGCCATTGGCATTGTCGCTCTTGGTAATCCTGAGCCTGGCAGTGGGTCGAGGTGTGGGGCAGTCGGGCTCCGCCGTGAACAGCCACCAGCTGCAGGTAAAACACCTCCTCTCCCTCCTCCTCCAGGTCATCGTGCGTTTCCACAACAAATGACTTGCGCTTTTCTTCTTGGCGGTATGCCAGGTAGCCTGACACATTCCTCAGGTCGGTCTTGGCGGGCTGTCCGTGAAGTTCGCGAATTTCTGCCTGGTTCAGCCGGCTGAAATAAAGGCGCACATCCTGCAACAGGCCAGTGAAGAGCTGCTGACCATCAGGGTCTGAGCCAATCCGCACAGGAGCTCCATCTGAGAAAAACACATCAGTGTCCTATATTACTGCTGCTGGGCAAAATGTAAACAAAAGTCAAAAACAAAAAATCAAAAGCTAAAAAACAGTAAACAAAATATTTTTAAGAAATGCTGCTGTTCAAACATTTAAATATTTTTAAAATTTAATTACAGATTTTCCCCCAGATTATCCACATGTAGCTGATCAGCCAAGAAATGTTAGAATGTTAGAAATGTCTGGTTTATTTCTTTGCATTAGCGTTTTGCACTGGTGCTATGAGGCTAATGTAACTAACAAGTAATGGAAGCTAATACATCAGCAATTAACATCACACAAACTGCCCACCTAAAATCATCACACTTGCCACAAACTGTGACATTAACTTTACAGCTCCAACGCAAAACTAATGAAACAAACTTTCGACACCATGGCTACTAATGGGAAGGGACAGTTACACAGAAAAAAAAGCAACCAGAAAAAATCCACCCAAAGCAATACAATCAAATGTCTTGGACATCATTAATCTAAACCACTAAATAAAATTTAAAAGCAGATACAGACAGACATACACCTCTAAACATAGAGGCTAAAACACAGGTCAGCTCAGGCTTTGTTTTGGCAGCCACCTGCCTTAGTGTATGTAGTAGAATCTGTCACCAGAAAGGCATTCAAAGCCACACAACTGTACAAATTGAGGAAATGCACTCGAGTGAACACTGACAAAACCCATGAACAAAGCCTGAATAACACATTCAGCCGGTTAAGCTAACAATCTGAGACAATGTCAAATACGCTAGATGTTTATATGTCTATCCAGTTGATTGAAGTTAGCACAAGAGATGTCGAGGAAGTCTCGCCCGGGAGGCTTCACTTTTATCACAAAAGCAGCATTGTTTTCAATTACTTGCGAGAAAGATTGCCGGCCGCTTTCATATGTCGCTAACAATGTCCAGCGGCAGCCCAGCGCTCGCTCAAGCATATCAGCTCTGTGAAATTTCGAACAATGGCACAGGCTTTTCACAACAGGCTCTTGCCAGATGTGGGCTGCGGGCACGGAGAGAAGCCTCCTCGAAAAAACTCTCATTAAAGGCCACAATAACGAAGTGTAATGTGGTGAGAAGAAAAATAGCCGGGATTTGCAGTGCTTACATTTGAGGACAAGTTTGCAGAGCAAATACAATATGTTGAAAGACTTTGGTTGAAAGCTTCTAATGTGGAAGAAAAAAAAATAGTAAGTCTCTTCTTCTCAGCTAATAGATGCCAATTCTGAGGAGGGTTGCACTCTATGAGCTACCTGCGTGAAGAGGAATGAAGCATTGCAACATTTACAGCTTTAATCGCCATTGAAGAGATGTGTAAACATTGGTTAGGCCTAGATCCCGACCTTAAAATAGACCTAGTTTACATACCATTCATAATGGCCTCTCCTTTCAGACTCTTAATTCCTCCAGGCATCGGGCTTCCGTCCAAATAAAACTCGATAATTCCATCTTCCACGGCAATGATGACATGAACCCATACATTATCTTCCACAAACTTCGCTGTTGTAGCTCTTGCCACCTGGGTGCTGTTGGATCCTACGGTCACGTAATGAAGCATTACACTAACATGAGATTCATTGGTCTGGACTTTCACTCCATAATACATGGTTCCATTGCCGTTGCCCTTTGAAACAATGAACCCATCCGTGTTGGGCCTGGGCATTAGCCAGGCTGAGAAGGTAAAGTTTGCCAGGCTATGAGGAATCTCCCCAGGCTGGCCTTCTGGACTGATGGTTCCATAAGCTCCAGGAAGACCAGAGAAAAAGAAGGCATCTGTTCCAGAATGGTGCCTCCTGGCATGAGGCTGAAGCATCACGGCTGGAGGAAACGTAGCCGTCAAGATCAAGTCCTCCATTGGTGGTAAACCTTGCGGGAAATTTCCAGATAGGATTTCCCACGACACACGAACGTCTCCGAAAGTGCCCTGCTGGCGGAGGATGGTGTAGGATGTGACAGAAGACATATCATCCACAGATAGGACATCTTCTGCTACCTCTTGGTCCAGGCTGTCTTTGTCAATGGCAAAAACACCAAAAGGGTCATCATTGAAAGGGATTAGAACAGATGCGTTGAGGTCCTTCATAGCCAGTTTGCCGCCTTCACCAGGATAACCACCTACAAGCAAGAACATAAAACATTAACTATTAACCTGCAGAAGGTTAATGTTTGGTATAGCATAGTGATATCACACTGCCCTCCAAGTGGCAGAGTAGGGTTCAATTCCCAGCCCAGGGGAACTGAATAAGAGTCCTTGGGCTAGACTCCTAACATTCACCTACTGGTCTGAATAAGAGTGTCTGCCAAATGGCATAAAAATTTTCACAATTTACTATACAGAATGCATTAGTGATTGTTTTTATTGTCTATAAACCAACCACTGCATGACCAGTAGTTGGTGATAGACAAAACAATACATCAAGCTGTTTATCTTTATTTCTGAAAATGGCCTAAAAAATACAATTTGAAGAAAAAGTGCATATTTGAATTGAATTTTATTATAATCACCTCTAACATTCCAAACTCAATATAGATTAATGAGGCCCGACACAACAAGGTATTTGAACACCCTTTGATTCTCTCTGACAAATCATAATATTAATAGTAGTGTCTACAAATAACAGTAGTAAACGGACTTAACTTGAAGTTCCAGCATCATGATATATTGTGAGAAAGATATGTAGTGTTTCGTTATTGACTACAATTTCCCTACAGAATCATTTTCAACAACAGATGTATTAATTTTTGAATAAAGAGGAGCAAACCTGAAATGTTTATCAAACGAAGCTCATAAAACTCGTTAAACTCTGGGATTTTGTCAGAGACTGCCTGCAGGACTACAGGCTTGGTTTTCTCTCCAGTGGTGAAGACGATGAATCCAGATGTGTTGATGAACTCCTGATGGGGTTCCAGAGGAGTGTTGTTGGCGAACAGCTGCCAGAACACGGTGACGTTGCCAAAGTGCCCTCTGTTCCTAATAACACTGGAGAAAACAGCACCAGTAAGAACAGAGAGGATTGGGAGACTTCAGTGCTGCAGAATCAATAAGCATTTTTTATTAAAGGGAAAACTCCATCTCTATCTGCCATACCCATAACATGTAATCGATTACCACAGATTATTCGCTTCTATTTAGCAAAGAAAAGGAAACCCTTTGACTCAAAACACACTTATAATAGAAGTCAACAGAAAGATGTTTCAGCAACTGCCTATTGGTTTCTATTACAAGTCTGTTTGGAGTCAAAGAGTTCCTTTTCTTACTTTCTTCCTGATACAAAAATTATCAAAATTATTGTTCGTAGTAATCAACCATATGGTATAGATGCAGTAGAGACAGATCAGTTTAAAAAACACTGTAATATTTCTTTTAACTCTAATGAGTCTTTTATGTTTTAGTTTATGGAAAATCCTGAAGTGAAATTCCTTACTAGAAGTAGTTGGACTTCCCCTCTTCCACAGGCTTCTCAGTGGCGTCCAGAGAGAATACACCATTGGCGTCATCATTGGCTTCAATCACCACTGTAGCAGTGTGCTGTCCGTACACCACCATATCCCCTACACATAACACAACAAATGTCACATAAGAGTGTCAAACTGATTACTTCTAATTACTGACTACCCATTAGAACTGATCATTTTCTAGAGCACTTTTTTGTTGGTGTACTTCATAATCTTGTGCACAAGCATCAAGTCTATAATGCGCTGTCATATATCTGCACGCTCTGTAGCCCTGTGTAATGTTCTGCTATTGCCTGTTGCACCATGGGGCCTCAAGAACATGTTGTTCCAGTGTATACAAGTTATACTGAGAAATAACAAGACCACTTGACTTGACTTGCTTATTTTCTTTAGATATTTTATCAATACCATGATAATGAATCATCAATTAGATCAGCATAAAGACATACAGACTATGTACTATGAAGATAAGTGAAGATTTTAATATGTACTGAGATGGTGCTCACTTCATATTTGAACACGGGGTCTGCATGAACGTATGAACTGTGATTAGAAACAACTTCTAGTCAATACGTAACCTAACACATCGTCTGCGTTTAAAAAAAAAAAAAAAGGAGCCCTCCTTCTCCCCCATCACTCAGTGTGATGCTAGCCAGCACAAGTGTCTGATAGCTGATGTAACAGAACTGGCGGTTGGTGCTTTCCCTGGAGGGTAAAAAAAAAAAAAGATGCGGTGGCGCTTCACGGGACTCGGAGGAAGCTTGTGTTAGCCTTCACCCTCCTAGCGCTGGTGGAATCATGTGATTGTGGGTGGAATTGTGTACGACTAAATTAGGGAGAAAACTGGAAAAGTCAAAAGAAGAAGGAAGTAAAAAATAAAAAGATAATACTACATAAAGCACAACACAAAATTTATTCCACTTCAACACTGTGAAATTTCATGATGAGTGGACCAATAGAAACACTCCAAAATGGCACAGGATTAAATCTCTTAAATCACTTAACTAAGATTGTTTTAGAAAAGCACATGTTGGATATCTTTATATAAATATAAATATATTTTTATATTTATATAAAAAAATATACAAATATCCAAAATATTATGATATATGATATATTATGATGAAAAATGCTTCATTTACCCTAGTTACTGCTTAATAAAGCAGGAGTGAGCAGTCAGTTCATTAGCGGTTATTAGCATGATAAAGCTTAATAAAGGCAACAATAGACACCTAAAATGTTCTGCAAAAGACTATTGTGTATAATGCACAAATAAAGGTGCTCTAAAAAGGCTTTTTCAGCCAAGTAACTGCTCTATAAAGTAGCAATGAAGAGCCAGTGACTAAGCAGCTACTCGCTTAATATTGTTTAATAAGAGCTTCACACTGGTATTGTAGTGTCCTGTTATACTGAAATGCTAATGCTTATTACTCTGAGATTGAGCATAGGCTTGTTGTAATTCTATTTTTTCTGTTTGTACTTTATTTATTCATTCAATATTGTGTAATACCATTATTGTTTGGTTATTGAGAACGTTGTGATCTAAATGTGTGATCCTCACTCCACTGAAACCTCAGTACATGTAATGATATACAGGCTACCAAATGTATTATGTTTTCACTTTCCCTTGATTTGGATTTTTGGATCAAAGTAGTTGTATAACTAAATAACCAAAACGACCAAAAAGAGAGACTCTGTGCTCTGAAACAACTTAAAAATATGAGGCAATAACTGCTTTGCACAACAAGCCAAACCCTTCTGTTTACAGTACACACTCAATAAGACTAATTCATATTCAGCATCAGAAATGCCTCATTCATAATCCTCTTCAAATCTTTCCTAAACAAAACCCATGTGTTTGTAAATCTGAAAGGACGCACATATGGTCTGCATCCGAGCATTGTTATTATAACATCAAAACAGCAGCGCGAAGCACAAGACACTGTTCTAATTAGCAAAGAACACAATAGCCCAGGCGACGTAAACAAAGGGCCGGCTGCAGATAGCAGTAATCCATCGTCTTTAACGTATTCTCAGAAAGTGAGCCTAGCATCGCTTTGTGGAGAAAACCACTAAAAAAGGCTCTTGGGTGGGTTGGTGTGATGTATAGAGTGGGAGAAAGAGAGAGTTCGGTGTCTGTAATTAACTTCCTACAGTGTTCCACCCCCCTTTTCATGTGTGTGTGAGTGCATTACACAATACAAGGATTAGAGGGGGCTTTTCAGGGTCAGGCCAGTCAAGCCTAATCAACAGAGCTCTCTGTGTACCGAAACAAATGTCAAATAAGGTGGATTCATTGGCAAAACAGGACCGAGTTGGAAATGAAGTGCATTATTTGGCTGTCTGAATGGGTTTTTAAACCATCCAATTGACCAGCAGAGACATATATAGTGCTTGGTGAAGACGGAGCTGATGGAAACATGCTCTGTGAAAGCAGGTTTATTTCCATTGCTAAATGAGGCATGACCAGCCAAAAGCAAAACAAAATACATTAGCAAAATAGTGTTTTCATCATACGGAGGGTAAGGAAATTAGTACGCGTTCTAATTAATCATAGTCAAAATTTTGGCCAACGCGGCTTAAAACAACTCCCTTATTATAAGCAAAGCCAAAGGTTTTATTGTGCAGTGAATACAGCATTTTTTTATGGATAATATGCTACATACAGTAGTGTACAAAAGTCAGAGATCATCTGACATTTATTTAATTTCCAGTCAAAATGCTCATTAAGGACAAGTTAGCAAAAAATAAACATTTAACACAAAATTACACAAACTAAATATAATAATATAATATAATAAATATAAATCATTTTTTCAGTATTTAGTCTGTCCACTCTTTGCATTCATCACAGCTTCCATTCTTTTCAGGAGACTTGCTTTAAGCATTTTTAAAGAAATCTGCAGGGATATTTTTCCGCACTGTCGAAGTTCAGTCTTAGAAGTTGGTTGTATTTTTTCTTCTCACAATCCAAGTAAGTAAAAGGATTTTTATGCCCAGATAAATCAATAAGTAATTCATTTAGATACCAGATTAACATAGAGAACATAAACCTGGACTCTTTAGGCAGTGAAATCTTACTCCACATCTCTGATGTTTATTTTCTGTATTCTAGTGCCAACTGTCTTCTTTTTTTCTTTTCTCAGTAACGACTTCTTAACAGCTTTACATCCTTTCAGACTCACAGTGTTGAGTTGTCTTCTCACAGTGGAAGGATGGACAGAAACACCTGTGAATTTTTCAGATCTGAAGCAAGTGTGGAGCTTGATTTTCTCCTCTCTCTCAAAGATGAAATCTTTAAGTGCTGTTTATCAGATGGTGACATTTGTGGTCTATCATGTCTTGCATGGTTGTTATTAGTCTAATTTGCTATTTATTTTCTATTGTGCAATCTTATTATATTCTAATCCCCTCAGAAGCATCTCCTTTAGCCATTTTCTGTTTGGGTAGTTGCTTGTGTGACTGTTAGGCAGTTATGCCTTTTTATGGAACAGCTGTTGTTGGGAGGACAAAGTTGTAACTTGTTTGATTTCAAGATTAAAGGGATGGAAGAGTCAAAGTTGCAGTAGTGTGCAAAAATAAAAAGTGGACAAATTAAATACTGATAGATTTGACACTGTATTTAGTGTTGGGGCTTTTGCATGATTTTCTGTGAAGTATGTTTCCTAATTTTATTTCTGACAATGAAAAACTAATAACTTGTACTTCATGGCTGTTTTCACTAAAAATTAGATCAAGAAAGGGTGGTCTATTACTTTTGGATGGTACTCTATAAAGGACTTCTATTAAAGTGCAGGCTATATAACATACCTGTGGCGTTAAACAGGACGATGTAAAAGGCTTCATCTGTTTCTGGGATGTCGTCGTCCATTACAGCGACTGAAATGTTCTTCATCCATTCTCCATAATCAAACACCAGCAGCGAGTCGTTACTCAACGGTGTGAAGTCTCCAGGTGATGAGTCACCGTACTCGAACCGGTACATGACTGTTGCCATGAAATTAGCCAGTCCAGCCCGCAGAATGGTAAAATTTGCCTCACCACCTTCTCTGACTCTCCGTATCGCTGGTTCTGTAAAACAGAAAACACGACTTCATCAATCAAAATCAGCTAAAATTCTAAACTATTAAAAACAGCTGTATGCAAAAGTTTGAACACCCCCCATCAAATGATGTTTTGTTGATTTTCTATGAAAGTAAGTTAACACATCCTCTACAAAGAACATTTTTTCATTTATTTGAGCTTAACATAAATAAGTATAATAGATAAAAATGTGCCATAATTTTTTCATAGGTCACATTTCTTTCAATATGCTAAATTCAGCAAATAAATAGAGAATGTGTTAACTTATTTTCACTTACAAAATCAACAAAACACGGAATTTAACCTTGCATATGACTGCATACCCTTAATTCAAACTTAATGAAAACTTAATTTAAACTTACATACAATTGTAACAGTGCCTAAATGGTTTGTGGAGTAACATCATGGAGAACCACTTTTAGTTCTCTAAAGATCCTTTCAGTGGATGGTTCTTTAAAGAACCATGTTTGTAAATGAAATATGAAAGTGTGAAGAATCTTTCTAAAAGTTCTTTGGTCTCACACATCTCATTTACAATAATGATTGTTTAAAGAAGTATTAATTTAAGGATTCTTTAGGGAACCAAAGTGGTTCTTCTATGGTATCACTTCAAAGAACCTCTATAATTTTTTAAGAGTTTATGAAAATGAGCTCATGATTGTTGAGATATAAAAACTGAATAATAGATTATGTAGAATGTAAACGTACCTGCAAAGTAAACTGGGTCATCGTTCTTTCTAATCTCTAAGCTCGCATTTAGTACACTTCCCAGTCGGGCTCCACTGGTTGCATTGATGAGGGTGATGGTGAATTGCTCATTATCTTCTGGTATCTGACCGAAAGTAAGACAGCAGTAAATTTCTGACCTTAAACAACTGCATCATTAAACCTCAGATCTTCAATTCAATTATTTTGATACTATTCAGATTTATTTTGTAAAATCACTAAATACAAAAATGTGACTGGAGGAAATACACTATGAATGCTCTGTTCATGATTTGTACAGCCCAATTATCCATCTTTTTCTAACATTAAGCACACACTGTGCGGCCTAAATAAAAATATGAAACACAACAGCACATTTCCAGTGCTTTCTATTAGCCAAAGTTGCAACATAAATAATATCATTTAGTCTTTAATGGGCCAAACTGCCATTTTAACCCCTTAAACGGCCAGGACAAACCTGCAGACCCAAAGTTTTATTACTCATTTCTATAACCTAACAATAGCTCCACCAGCCTGCACTAAAATCCTTGTAGTTACTAAAAAATAAGCCTCATAAATGAAAAATAATTTGCCTGTTTACACAAAGTGCTACATCAACAGTAAGAAGCAGCTAGTTATTTAGCACAATGAGTAATGTAGATTTATGCAATGACATTTTGGTGCAGGTGAAGCAGCAGCATTTAAGCACATTGCGAGTGCACCTACCTCGCATTATTTACATTATAACATTGTAAGACAGGTCAGCCAGGTCAAAACAACAAATTGGCCAGTTACTGACTGCATTCCAAAATCGACAGTGCTTAATTCCAACCTTCAGATCGAATGTGACCTTCACACCAAATATGCCTGAATGATGACCTGAGGTATTTTTACATCTCTAGAAAGTAATGGATTTATTGTTTAACCCCTTTTTACAGCAGCTATGAAATGCAATTTCCTCCTGTTCTGGAGGTCCCTCATTTGAAGTATACATTTTTTTTCTTCAGTAATACTAATGGAATACATTTTGCGAAAATCTGTACGATTTACTAAAGAAAAAAAAAATGAAGCGAACTGGATTTTTGACTTCATAGGTGAGCAAGTAAGTCATCATTTATAAAAGTGTTTTCTTTGTGTTTGAAAGATATTTTTCACTGTTACAGTGTTTTGTTTTTTTTTATATGAAGAAAGCTGCAGTGCAGTGCTGCAGTTGTGCTGTCTGTTTTATCTTGGCACGGCCTTGGAGAGGTGTGAATTGTTTTCACAGCAGGAAGTTCTCAACCCTGCCCTTTCACCACTCATTGCTTGCTGGCAGCTCAACACAGAGTCACAATATTTCACACAGAGACCCAACAGTGTTCTAGTTAATCTGTTATGGGAAAAAAAAATTATTTCATGACATCAATTAAAAAAAATATGAGCCAATTCCCATTCTGCTGGTGCAGTCACCACTGTGGGGCCTGCAGAAAGAGGTTTTTCAGCTTAGTATCTGTGTGCCGCTTCTGTAGCATACATTCAATTACCACAAACAATAATTTAAACACATATCCCTGTACTTTATAAAGGAATAGAAAAATGGGAACCTGCTTCAGCAGCTGCTGTTTCACTTCTATTATAAGTGTGTTTTGAGTGAATACATTTTCCGTTCTTTTTAAGTACAGGTACATGTGCTGAAAATGTGTCTGTGTTAATCAGCGATACAATATAGATGAGGCAAATAGAGATTAGGCCACAAAATGCTGAAGTATTCAATGTAATGTACAAGGTTTATTATCTGCAGTGTGAGAATGCCTGGTGATCACATGATGATGGTGTTTACCTCATCTGGTCTGGAGAAAAGGGTCAGGTTTTTCAGATACTCTCCTTCAGCAAAGACCACCTCCCCCTGGACTGGGGTTACATCTCCTGAGTAGGTGGGCTCCAGGACCCAGAGGACCGACACATTCCCAAAACGACCCCTTCCTCTCACAATGGGGTAAGAAGCTATAATAAATAAATCACCAGAGATCTTTCTAAAAACTCATGAACATCAAAATAGGTCGCCTATATAGAAGTGACAGCTCACCATATGTCAATATAAGTCAACATGGCATAGACGTCAATAAATAATTAACGCCCAAAGACAGCCCACCATATATGTCAATAAATAAGGCATTGCACCATATAAGTCAATGAATAATTAATTCCCAAAAAGGCGAACAACGTTAACAATGAACATAAGCCACAAGCCAGGGAGAACAGAAAACACCTCCTTTTGAATAATGTTTACTGTCCTTCAGCCAGCAACACTAGCATTTCAGACAAACGGTTCCTTTAAGGCAAACCTAAAATGAACATACCTGAATGTAAGTCCATTGCTTTGCTCTCATTGATGGAGAAACTGAGGCCTGGCTGAGTAAACTCAATGACCCCAAATGGATCATCACTCTTGCGCACTGTAATGTTGACCTGTCTGCGGCTGCCCAGGCGACTAGCTGGGGTGCTGTGGCTACTGAGAACTACTGCAAACGTCTCGTCCAGCTAAGAACGAATGTTAAAAGAAGTTAAGACACTTTGATATAACAGTTACAATATACTGTATGTATTTATGAATATGAAGATACACAGTTGTATGTAAAAGGGCACTTCTGGCCAAATTACATATTTTGTTGATTTTTGAAAGGAAGCAAACACAATCTCTGCTTTTGCTTAGCACTTTTTAGCCCTTAATTAGTGACTAAAACTCTATTTTAAAATATGAAACCTAATGGAAATTTTGCCAATGATACAGTAATATTGTGAAATTGGGTGATTAATTTATGCTCAATAATTTGCAGACCAAGGTCTTAAATTGTTTATTGTGCATTAATGCAACCAATACCGCAATTATTATTGATTGTCACATCACTGACCTCCATTTATGTCCTAATATATGTCATAATGAATAGCGCTTAATGCAAAGTGAATAAAGCATTCAGAAGTGATATCATCTTTTCGTCATATTTCCCAACTTACAGAGGGGACCTTTTAGATAACAGTGCAAAAAGTAACATTTACCTCAGGTAACCCATCAGGTCTGGCCACTAGAGCCACCACCACTTCCCTCTCTCCGGGCTGGAACTCCAGGATGCCTGTGGCTCCGTAAAAGTCCTCGTTTCCGGAGGGCGTCACTGTGTATCTCACCAGCTGGTTCAGCAGCTGCCCTTGCTGTCTGATCACCCTCAGCTCCACCGTCTGCCCCTCCTGCAGAGAGCATGAATATACCTCTTAAAATGTGTTTTAGTTCTGTAATTACAGCTGAACTAGTAAAGAGTAGAGCTGTAAACATACATGAGTTCGTCATGATGCACTGATCCAATGACGGTGATTCAAACTGCATTGATGTTAGATGCTAGATTTGATTGTAATGATATTCAACACAGCATGGGATCATTTTGTAATTTAATAAGCGGCTAAAAGATTTCCCTGGTTTGATTCATTAAAAATAGGTCCATAATAGGTTTTCTTTTTAATTTAAACTAGTCTACATTCATTCATATTGTCACTGCTCAGACTCGTCACATGTTGTCTCCAGTGAACCACAGCTAAAGCCAGTTCACTCTTAGTAATGAGTAACAGAATGTTTTTCAAGGTGCTGAGCATTTTAGGCTTTTAGTACAAGTGTGATTAACGTTGCCAGACAGGCTGAACTAAAAATTTGACTGAAAAAGCAACAGTAAGAGAATCAGGACTTTTTTTGTAAACGGTCAATTCTCAGACTATTTTCAGACAGAAACTCCTAAACAAACAAGCAAACACACACATAAACATACATCATTTATACTCCACTACTGTATAAACAGTTCCTTAAGTTACATTTGTGTAACTTATTTTTAAAAACTTTTCTAAGTGAACATAAGTGAACACATCCTCAGAAAGCACACTGCTGCACATTTTAGTGCACAATTACTGTTTATTTGCTGAATTTAACATAGTTTATGATTTATTTTTTCCAGTAAATTAAACTCAGATATCATGCATTAAAATATACAGAAAAATGTGTTATTTAAGTTTGTTCTCCATACATGATGTGTTAATTTATATTGACTTTAAAAATCAACAAAAAACGTAATTTGACGGTGGGTTGTTAAACTTTAGCAAACTACTGTAATTAAGTATATACTTTCACTCAAGTCAAGGAAAACACTTAATTCTTACGCTAATGAACCAGGGGCCTCTAGATACAGGTGAAAACTCAAAGACTCCACCAGGATCATCATTCTCCAGTATGACGATCTCTCGGCTGGTGAAACCAGGCTTCAGAATCTGGTTCTCCACGTTCGTCCTGCACCACAGAACAAACAGTGAGTGTTCCCTGACTGAGCTGGAAAAAGTGATGCACTTCATTTACTTGTAATGTGTATCTCATTTCTACAAGACCTTCAACGAAACTACTGCTAAAAGTCTGCAAGTTAAAGACAATATTTTATTCACATGGAAATGATGTACACATTTGTATCAAGTACTTTAAAAGCATCACCTTTATCGTTGTACCTTTAATACCCTGATTAAATCTGACATTTTAATTCAGGGATCTTAAAATAAAATATGTGTGAAAGTTGGCATTAGAATAGTTCACATTTGCGGTCGGCCTATCTGCAGGGCTGCTTTGACAAGCCGTGTTTTGGGACGGCCCACTAGCCTCCCCCACCCCGGCAGGGGGTCCTGTGTGTTAACTGAGCTCGGTTTGGGTCCAGCCAACCCTGGAAGCTGCAGATAATTAGTAAAATAGCAGACAAAGAACGGACAGGCAGCAGCATTCCAAACAAACGCATTCAGAGGATGCGCCGCATGCATACAAACACTGACTGCTTTACAGCAGGGCATAAAGGAAGTGGGTAAATTAGGTGCTAAATGAGAAAAGAGAGCACTAGGCCGGACCCAACTGATTCACTTTACACACGCACAGGCTATTTGCATGCGCACACACAGACACACACATCCCTTCTCCCCATTTCACACACCCAGATGAAAGAGACTTCCCCCCAATCGAAATGTTAAGGCATGGTCCAAAGTGGTCCCATCGCAACAAAGTGTTGATTCACAGCACACAAAAGGGCAGAGTCCCTTCAGTGTACACTCACCCGAAGTACACTACAAAGCGTGCAGTCTCTACCCTGCAAAAGGGGACAGTGGGAGGCAAGCAGAGGGAGCGTTCCCGTCAGAACTCATGAATACCAGAGGGGTCTTCACTGAGAGAAGACGAATAACGCAATGCTTAAGTCATCACATTCAGCTCTTACTGCTATTGCTTTCGCTAAGTCTTCTTGCTTTTTTGAGGGGAATCTCAGTCAAATGTTTGGACACACAGAAGTTTGAACATCTTCAGTTAAATGATTTTGATGTTTTGAAGTGAACAGAAGTGAACACACCCTCTACAGAAAACACAATTGTATGTTTCTGCAAATTTTAGTGCACTATTTCCATATTCCACACATACATTGGGGAAAAAGTCATAAAATATAAAATGTGCCATAACTTTTGCACAGGCTACATTTTTTATTTTTTCCCCAAAAATGTTAAATGGTAACTGTCAACTAAAATGTGCAGAAGTGTGTTCTCTGTAGAGGATGAAGTTCTTTTCACTCATAGAGGAGTTTTTACCATTAGATTATTTTCACATTTTGGAATAATTTACTAAATAAGGCACTAATTACTGACATCAACTGACTGACACTTCATGTTGGTGGGGGTGGCCTATTTAGTGGCTTATCTACTAGGAATTTCCAGTGAACCAATGAGAACTATGTAATTAACATATGACCAGCACGATATAACTACGTGTGGCTCACTTGCTATTCTTATGAAAGTTTGTTTCTCCCAGGAAGGAGAAAAAAAAACATTTTTGTGTTTCTTAGATTTTAGTTCAAACTGCGACTCATTAGGCCGATACTGAATTAGTAAGTCAAAAATAGTGACTGAATAAATCTATATATATATATATATATATCATCCAGACAGTGTGCAGTTATTATGACAAAATAGGTGATTATTTCAAGAAAAATATTATTCTCAACCTAATACATTAGAAAGTTACACACAGTACAGCGCATAGTCAGAATTTTAATATCAATCATGTGCTTCATTGTAATAATCACCTCCCAGTATTCTACATGTTGAGAAGGACACTCCTATAAATCTATATACAAAGATGGAAGAGCACAAAAGAGCAGCAACTGCCCCTTTGGTCCCAATTTTTTTAACAAGTGTAGGACACTTTTCCAACTGTCTTGAAGTTCCATATGGGCTGAGCAATTACTGGCCACTGGCATTTTACTTTACTGTATTTCACCAGTTATATCTCAGACAGTTTCAAACATTTAAGTTAAAATGAGATCAAAATAAATAAAAAACATACATTCAGTGAGAGTGTCCAAACCTTTAACTGGTTCTGTACGTTTCTAAATAGAGCTAAATATTTATATGCATAAATATGAAGTAACTAACAGTCATAAGCAAAAGTGTGGGTGCTTCTGGTTAAATGACGTTTTGTTGATTTTCTAAGTGAAAATAAGTTGACGCTTCCTCTTTTAAAACACAGTTTGCCATTTATTTGCTGAATTTGATATGTCGTGGAAAAAACAAAACATAAATGTGGCCTGTGCAAAAGTTATGGCACATTTAATATGTTATTTTTTTCCAGTATGATAAACAAGTAGAAAAAAATAAACTACAAAAAATGCCATATTTGAGCACATTTAAGTGTGTTCTCTTTGGATGATGAGTTAACTTATATCCACTTGCAAAATCAATAAAATGTCATTTGACCAGGGGTACTCCAACTTTTGTATTCTACTGCATTTGTAGACTCACACCAACAACAACACTTAAAAAGAGGAATACCTGGACTAGAGAAAACATCAATATTATAATGAACACAGTGGCTAAACAAGCAAGGAGCATACAGCACCTATCTAAAGTGAGGAGCACAGTCTCGTTGATTTCTGGAACATCGTCAGCCATGATGATGATGCTGATGTTTGCCTCACTTTGTCCTGAAAGGAACGTGACTGAACCGGAGAAAGGAGAAAGGTCGTCCTTGGTAACATCCACTCTGTTCTCGCCGGTAGTTCGTAAACTCCAGAAGACCACTGCCTGTCCATCTGTACCGTCTCTCCTCAGTGGAAGAACGATCTAGAAAGAGCGAGAATATCCTCAGGAACATCAGAGGAGAAATGTTCGCTCTGTGGAAAATCAGCGGAGAAAACCTAACTACCTAAATCATCAGTCTTGCCTCAAACTGCATGTTAAGAAATCTCAAATATACTTGCAGTTTCTGACCCTGTATGACGTAACGTTATCTATAAAAATAGACAACAGTACACCGTGTAGCTAAAAACAGCAGTGGTAGCCTTCCTGGAGCCTGAATATTGTCTGTACTTTTTGTTATAGGTACCAGTTTGTCATACAGTGTGAGAAACCACATAAGCAAGTCTATTTGAGACTACTTAACAACTCAACATAGTTTGATTCAAATGTGTGATGATTCAGGCATGTAGTTTGTACAATGCTAATTTAAAGTGGTTGGTACAGTGTAGTGGGTAACACCTCTGCCTTCAACGCTTGCCTGGGTAAGCACCCTACATTATACCAATACAAGTCCTTGGGCAAGACTCCTAACACTACCTTCGCCTACTTGTGTAAAATGATCAAACTGTAAGTCACCCTGGATAAGAGTGTCTACCAAATGCTATAAATGTATAGAATATATGCTTCCATTACGCATTAGCTACATTAGCCTCATATCTCCAGTGCAAAACTGAAGAAGCAAATTTCAAATTCCAAACACGTCTTGGCTGGTTGACTACATTTTGCATAAAGGAAAACTGTGTGAATTTGAGCTTTTGCTTTAAGCTGTGACTCAAAGACACTTGAGCCTAAGATCAGATGATAAATTACACTGTAATTAGTGGGTTCAGCTATTAGGTAGACCCATTGCTGACACAGGTGTTCAGTTTCACTCACACAGCTCATATAATCTTCATAGAAAAGCACTGGGACACTCTGGAGCAGCCATGCTGTGGAGTGATGGAGCTCTATTCAATGAGGTGGAGTAGCATTTGTGATCCAAGGCTAATCATCCAACATCCGTACCTAAACTCACTAATGTGGCTGACGTCACTATTGTGGCCAAATGCAAGCAAATCCTTACAACAATGTTCCAACATCTAGTGTAAGCTCCTCCCAGAAGAGCAGAGTCTGCTGCAAATGAGGGACAAACTGTCTATTGATTTCAGAAGAAACACTGGATGAGCTGGTGTCTACAAACTTTTGGACACATAGTGTATCTGCTCTGTGATGAGATGTAACTACAGCGAGGAAGATGTGATGTACCATGCTGGTATTTGTTTCCTCAGGTTCTATTGCCACCACTGTCTGGTTGCTGGTGAAGCCGATCTCTCCGTTAGCGATGTCTGGTGTAATAAGCAGGGAGATGTTGATGGCTCCTCCAAAGCGAGGGCTCACTGAGGGAATAGGGGAAGTAATGTTGACCAACTGCACGCTGTCCAGCTGAGGAGGAAACAACACACTGTTTAAATGAACTGAACAATAACTTAAATGAACTGAGCAGCTCTGCCAATGAAAAGCACCTAACATCTGCACCGAAAAGCCAAAGGAAGTTTTCTTACAAATACACTGATCTTTTTCCCTTTGAGTGCTGTCTAGTGTTCATCACATCAAGTTCAATAACTACTAACCCTAAAAAGCTTGCCTGAGCATATCTTTATACGTTTGCAGATATGGCAGGTACTGGACATAAATATCCAATGTAAAGCATGAAAACAGTGTAAAAAGTGAAAAAAGACAAAAAAAACAAAAATAAACAAAGAAGGAATTAATCTTTGAAATGAATAATTAAAAAAATAGCATACTGGGAAGAAAACTGTAATCCATTAAAAAATAAATAAATTTCAGAAAGTGTCAGAAGTTACTGAAAGTTGTACTAATTTTCTTTTTTTCTTAGAAAATATAGAGAGAAATATAAATAAATAAATAATAAATAAATACATAAATAAATGCAAAACATACTTAAACAAACAAACAAATATATACATTACAAAAAGCTAAATTAATACATGCTTTTAAATTTTTATTTTTTTAATAATTATTTTTCTTGTTACTGGCAAAATGTTAAGAAATGTTGTTAACTGTGGCTAAAAAACCTAGAGACAAGCTTTAAGCCTTAAAATAAAAGCTCTGACAATCCCCAAGACCTACATCTCCAAGCCTAGACTCTGGTTCTAATCTCAGGACAAGGACTCAGGATCCAGAACTCTAGCACAAACCCCCTGTCCAACCCCCCAACAAATTCGTATTTAAATAAACATACATGTAAATGGCTTCTGAACTATTTGATCTAGTGGGCAGACAATGCAGAGGGTTTTGTAATCTAGTGGGCAGAAAATACAGAGGGTTTTGTAATCTAGTGGGCAGGCAATACAGAGGGTTTTGTAATCTAGTGGACAGAAAATACAGAGGGTTTTGTAATCTAGTGGACAGACAATACAGAGGGTTTTGTAATCTAGTGGACAGACAATACAGAGGGTTTTGTAATCTAGTGGGCAGGCAATACAGAGGGTTTTGTAATCTAGTGGACAGACAATACAGAGGGTTTTGTAATCTAGTGGGCAGGCAATACAGAGGGCTTTGCAAATTTAGTGTAAATTTGGCCTGGTACTTCACAGGGAAATGTGACATATGGTAACGCATACAGTCAGAAAGTTTAGCTTATCTAGTTTCAATTTGAAGCATACCAATGTCGAATGGTTGTAAAGTTATTTAAGTTCAAACACAGTGTGTCCTAAACATGTCAGCAGGGACACGGTCACTCTTACACGCTTAACAAGACCTCACGTTACGTTCACATGATGTGACCTCTTAACTGAGCACTTCTCACTGTCAGTCAGTCTCCACTGTATGTGTGTGCGTTTGTTCGGTATCTTGTCTGTTTCCTTGAAGGAGTTCTTAAGCAGGTCCAGCCGTGCCAGGCCTTTTCTGTGTTGTGTTTATTTCTCAGCGTTGCTTGATGAAGGGGTTATTTGTTTGGGCAGCAACACAAATCCTATGGCAATGACCCAAACCCCTCACATCACCACGACTCAAGATTGTTAATTGCCAGGCAAGCTGATGGAGAGACTCTTACAGTGAAAGAGGATGAATTGTTAGGACACTCGAGGTTGTCCTCCCAGGTCTAAAGAGAGAGCCAGAGAGGACAGGACAGACAAACAAGAGCCATAAAGAATAACCTTAATCAACTGGCATACAGGATGTCAAACTACTCAGAGCCAGTTTCATACTCACAGTCCATTTATGGCAGCACAGCTTGTTTAAATGTTAGCTGTTAGCAGTCTAAGGAACAAATATGTTCTTTCAAAACAGCTGTTTAAATCCCATTCAGCCTAAAAAATTGTAGTTTTTGGAAAAATAATATATTTAATATATAATATTTAATAAATAATATAATATATATATATATATATATATATATATATATATATATATATATATATAAGCAACTATTTTTATTTTCCCAAAAACTACAATTTTCCCTTAGATACATATCTTCACCTTCTACATATCCTCTTAATTGCTTGTGCTAGTTGCCATAATGAGGTATTTTAAGATCCAGTTCTCACAGTATTTTGTAAAGTATTCCATCCACAGTTGTAATATAAATCAGTAATCTAATTTCCATTGAGTAAATTTCATGGACAACTTTTTTCGATGGGTTCCTGCTGCTTCCACTTTCTTGTTATGGCCTTTTAACTAGCTACCAATAATATTTTAAGCAGGTATTTATCATTCTTCCCTACTAACTGGAGCACTTTCCTGATCATGAATATATTTAAAATACACATTCCTTCATTTCAGGAAACACAAGTACAATTCTATGTTCATTCTACTCCAAAGATTTCCATATTGTATTCAGTAGTAAACCCTTAATAATTATTGTATAATCACTGTACATGCTAAAGGAATACTTTGTGTACAAACAGGCATTGAAATTTGCTTAGATTTCCAGATGAATCAGATGAATGCTTTATGATCAAAGTAAGCACTCTGAACAATAATAAATGAAATTAGAATCTCTGTTGAGTCGACTTAACATTATTAAAAACAGCTGGCTGTTTATTCCCTAGAATTTTATTAACGATCATAAGTACATACTAAGCATCATTAAGGGTGTTTTCAATTCATTAGATCATACTGTATGTTCATTCCTCATTAATGAATGTGTCAAAATGTTTACATAATTGCAATGGAGCATAATGAATATGCCATGAATGCTTTATGCCCATGTAGTTCCTACAAAGCATTACAGAAAACTCATTAGGTAGCGAAACCCATACGCAATGTTATGTTGTGACTTTGAACAAAAATCGCTACTGTTTTACAAGTTTAACAAAACTTCTGCTAGCTTTCTGTAAAGCTTGTCCATCTTTACTAACGACGCTACGAAGGAATGCATTTGTGGGTGGAGCACGGATAGATCAATTAATTACATAGCTGATTCCACACACATTCTATTTACATTGTGTACCTACAGTTTCGAGTTGTACTTCTGACTTTTTCCATTTGCTATGATATCAAGAAATCACGAAAACATGGCTTTTTTGAAGGATTACTGTACATATAACAATATATTTTCAGTAAATTTAAAATATGATATTTACAAACACAGTTGTACATATAAAAATATCTTTTCCTTAGATCATCACCAATTTTCAGCAGACACTATTACCATGGCGATACTAACACAGCTGCATGCCGCCATCAGTCAGGTAACATGGCAGTTTTAAACCAACTCTGCAATAAAGTAAGGTACGGAATAACTTTTTTTCCCAGAACTTATTAAATGTGTTAAACTACACTCTTAAAAAAGATGGTTCATCAAGGGTTTTTTTAGTGAAGACAATGGTTCTGTATAGAACCATAAACACTCAAACCATCTGCATGCTCAAAGGGTTCTTTACATCATGAAATGGTTCTTCAGAATAATGTAGAATATGCTGTATATGGTTCTAGATATCACCAAAAAGGGTTCTTTCTATCGTTACAAGCTTGAAATCATAAGAATATAACTGTGAATATTACAGAAATAATATGCTGACCTGCCGAAACCCATACGCAATGTTATGTTGTGACTTTGAACAAAAATCGCTACTGTTTTTCAAGTTTAACAAAACTTCTGCTAGCTTTCTGTAAAGCTTGTCCAGCTTTACTAACGTTGCTATGAGAGAATGCATTTGTGGGCGGAGCATAGATAGATCAATTAATTACATAGCTGGTTACATACTGAGTTCCACACATATTCAATTTACATTGTGTACCTACAGTTTCGAGTTGTACTTCTGACTTTTTCCATTTGCTATGATATCAAGAAATCATGAAAACATGGCAATGATTTGAAGGATTACTGTACATATAACAATATATTTTCAATAAATTCAAATTATGATTATGAACACAATTGCGGTTTCAATGGGAAGTTCTGAATCTGCACTTTCAACAGGATTCCTCTGCTTGCTCTAATGAGCTCCCTATGGGAGACTATGAGGGTAAGTACCTGTATGAGGAAGTGGGCTCCATTCTGCAGGAAGGCATCATTACGGATGGGCAGGATGAGCTGGACCCTCGACTGGCCCGAACTGAACAGCAGACTGTTGGCACTGGTGCCGTTTAACACACCGTCCCGAGCTCGGGATGGGTCCAAAGCCCCAGCCGGGATGTAAAGGGCAGTAAGGGTAAGTCGCACCTCCCCTAGTGTGCCCCCCTCACGCAGGAAGCTGAGGGACAGGAAGCGCACGTCGGGCTGGCTCTGAATGCTCTGCGTCTCATTGGGATGGAAGCCGAATCGTCCATAGACGTCATCGCTGTCCTGAATGTAGAACACCATCTGTGAAAGATCGAGAGCAGGTTAAAAGCAGTTTACCAATAGCTGGCAAACACTGCTCACAGTTTGCCAAAACATCAAATGTACACAATTCCCGCCTTACCCCAAAGTTCCAACTTTATCCTGAATTTTGAAGCTTCATGACCATCCTGATCATTTTCACAAAGCATAAGAGACTTTTATACTCTTTTATATATACTCTTATACTCTTTTATACAAAGACGGACAAAAGCATGTCACATAGCTAAAAACCATAATAGCAGCATGTCAAAGCAGTGGTGTAGCTACGGGGTGCCTGAGGGACAAAGGCATCCTCACTTGGAAGCTAGATTCCTGACTAAGCCAAAGAAAAAAGCCTGATGGCAATGAAAAGCTCTCCTTAGATCATCACCAATTTTCAGCAGACACTATTACCATGGCAATAGTAACACAGCTACATGCTGCCATCAGTCAGGTAACATGGCAGTTTTAAACCAACTCTGCAATAAAGTAAGGTAAGGAATAACTTTTTTTTTCTACAATGTATCGTGTTAAAGATTGTGGGAACTTTCCTATCATAGGCTACACTCTTAAAAAAGATGGTTCGTCAAGGGTTTTTAGTAAAGACAATGGTTCTGTATAGAACCATGAACACTCAATAAACCATTTGCATGCTCAAAGGGTTCTTTACATCATGAAATGGTTCTTCAGAATAATTGAGAATGGTGTATATGGTGTAAATAATGTGCTGACCTGCCTTGCTTTCATGAATTAAATTATAAATAAACTGTTTGCAACACTCATTCACTGTAAAATGGCCTATATTGCTCTAATAGACTAGAGTTGGGATTTAAGTTGTAACACTTACTGTAAAATTGTTTGTAAATGTCAGTGTTTAAGCTAAACAGTGAAAATACAACAGAGTTAGCTTGACGCTAACATACTATAAAAATACTATAACAGACATACGCCATTACATTAATTCATACTCTTTTCTTTTGTCCTACTGTTACATTATCAAAGTATTTTTATAAAATATTGCAACTTGCAGATCACACAAATAATTCAGTTCAGTGTATTTCAGTGACAAAGCTACTCTAAAGAGGAGGAAACTAATTTACTGAATATGCATCAGAACATACAGTGATTGCAGGGCATTAGATATTTGACAATATGGCAATTCTAACACCTAATTCACACATGCTACCTTTGCGTGGTGTGAGTGATGCAGCAGCTTGAGTGTAACAGTTCAAACGCGCTGCCTTTCATACGTACAGTGTTAGTGCTGCAGAGCAGACCAGCGAATAAGCTATACTGACATCCCTTTTCCCAGACGGATAAACAGTCAAATCAGTCACTCTGCTCAATAAAAATATAATTTATAAATGAGCACAGTATATTTGTTTACCCTCAACACCAATATGACTAGAGATTGGGCAAAAGTTTCATGCCTGGTGGACCAATTCTCTAAATACAGCGCCACTACAGTGCAGCATCTGGGACGCTCTGCTGCTTCGCTTGAGCAGCCTTTGTGCAAGCACTGACCGGTTAACATGAGCGCCAATATGAAAATCATGCCGTTCCGCGTCGCTCACACCACACGGAGGTATGTAGATTCTGTGAACCAGGCCTGAATTAGGCCGAACTGCAGGTTTTCAAGTCCAGTTTTATGTTGTTGTATGCAGGCTTTGGCCTCTGTATGTTGGTCCCCTCATTTGTCAGACCAAATTCACACCCATGCATACAGCAGCAGCATATCCAGAGATGCAGAAAATGCTATTAAAATTGCTGCTGTGGTGATAAAGTACATTGTAATTGTGGTCATTTGGCAGTGCACATGTCACTAGTAATATAGTCTTCAAAATCTTTTTGCTTTCGCTGTGATTTTCACAGCTGCAACAGCTCTTCTCTTCCACATAGACACAACGTATGGCCATCTGCATAACTACTTGAAGCGTGCTAATCTTAGTAAGCCTTCCTCTTTCATTAGACCTCATGGGCAAAAATAGTATTCACAAGCCACTTTATTACCCCCTAGTCATTCCTCCAGGCGTTATCTGGGCTAGGCGAAAGCCTTCCGTCAATATTTTGCTTTGTGATTTGAGGGGATGATTTTTCACGGCAAATTTATGGATGTTTGACATGTACAAGCTGTAATTCCAGCCTTTGCATTGGGCTCTCATATGGTGTTGAGTCAAGTCCTGTCAGCCACATGCACAGCAGAGCTCCACACGATCAGTGGGAGAGAGCTACCGCATTCATGCACCGGTGCAATTTAAAGGCTTATACATAAACAAGGGCTGGGTCTACCCACTCCTTTCACACATAATCAGGACATAAACCTGCGACAGACAAGTTCTAAAGAGCAGAACACACACGCTTGTGTGCGCCGCACTCCTCTGGTAGCTTTATTTTCCACTATGACCACATGAAGGGAACACCCAGGTGACACTTAATGCAACCAGCAGTGCGCTGACGTCGCAGTGCCAAATGGTTCTGTTCAGACCACATCCTCCTACAGGCAGTGAGTGGGATCCAGATGGCCTTCAGGAATGAATTCTGATCCGAAAACAGTTTTGCGCAGTCCTATTGAGGGGAAATTGAGGTGTAACTGATCCTAGGTCTGCTGGGAATGTCCAGACATTCTACACAGACCTCTCAGAGGGGTCCAAGGAGGAACTGTCTGACAAGATTTCCTGTTCCCACCCAAAATGAAGAATACAGTCTGGGATGAGTGCTATAAAATAAAAAAAGTACACTTTTAAAAATAAAAGTTTCAAGAGTTAGGCTTTAACTTAAACGTAGCGTCACATAGTAGATATAGAATGCATGCCATAAGTGTACGTTCAAGCTCATTTTAACACTCCACTCATATAAATTTAATAAAACAAAATTTTCAATATCATGCTTGGCATCAGTTCACTACCTCTTTACAAACTAGCTGTTTTTGAGCTTAAATGTAAAAAAATGTGAAAAAAAACGCTGAGGCTCAGTTAATAGCTGAGGTTACAGAGCATTATCACTTGTCCATTTATGTTAAAAATTGACTCCTTTTCTGTGTAAATTTCATGCCACATGTGGTCTACTGTGGCTTTCTGAGATCCCGATATTTAAAGGTCGATAGCTAAGATCCCGCTTTAAATTAATGTAGTATCCGTAAATGTTAAGTGGCACACAGTGACATACTGAAAAACTGAACAGTGCTCAGAGTTGGCAAGCGTTGACGAGTGTCAATGAATGATGTCAGTTATGGTATGAGCACCTTCAGTAAAAATAATGGCTTTTAATATTTGGATGCTACATGACACAGCATGTGTGGTGGCCTTTACTGTAAAACTGCAACATTCAAAGTAAACTTTATGTTATTTTAATGCCTTACAAGCTTGAAATGCCCATGTTTAAGTTAAACCTAGTATATAGTGAAAAAGCACCACTGTTAGCTTAGCGCTAACGCAACATAAATAAATTACATAGCCGAAATTAGTGTCACTGCATTCAATGTGTTTGTGTTCAATCAGAATCAGAAAAAAATAGCACTGACAGAGACTGACTAGTGCAAGACACATTGTACAAACTATGGGCAGCGGTCGGCCACTGACACTCACTGGAGGCCTGAAAGCATCCAATGGCCAACAGTCGGCTTGGTGTGTCAGGGCACACCAAGGCCCAATCCCATTTCTTCTTTTTACCCCTACCCCTTGTTTTCGAGTGTCACCCTAACTCAGTTCCAAGGGGCAGTGGTTGAAATCTTGCCCTACGAAATGGGACAACCCTTAAATTAAAAAAAACAAAAACAAAAACAAAACACTACTAGCTACTAGCAGTGCTCTGTAAGCGACCTGGCCCGTCTTCAGTGATAGCAGAGAAGGGAAAAGTTCAGTGACCTCGTTGCTGGGCTTTAAATACATTTAGGGCATCATATCCTTTCAAAGAGGGGTATGAGACAATTATTTATTATCTCCCACCGCTAATTCTTTGGTGATATGAAGCTGAAGTCAGCTATTCACCAGCTTCTTGTTCGAATTTTCCTGTTCCACCTTAAATGGTGCAGCAGTTACATTCTGGAGCTTCAGGCATCAACACTGCTGGACTATTTAAGGTGGAACGGGAAAGTTAGCTAACTAGCTACCGAAACATTAGCATGCTATTAGTGATTTTTTATGCTTGTTATGACGAAAACGACCATAATACATTGAAATGACATTAAACTAAGAAAATACGATAGTTATTGTAATTTTTTACAGAGAAAATACTCACATTTATGGGTTTCTTTGGTCGCTCACGCAGCCATCTTGCCATTTTTCTTTTTTTCTCATACACTCCGTTTGGAGTGGGCCTCTGAAAAACCTCCATTTGGAGGGCCATGTAGCCCTAACATTTCACCCTAAACCTCTATCTCAACAAAAATCAGGACACCCTAACCCTAGACGTGAACGTGCAAAACAGAGGGCTAAGGGCGGTAGGGACAAAGGCTGAAATGGGATTGGGCCCAAGTGTTCCTGCCAAGTGTATTTAAGGAGTTTTTCCTTTTTTATATAACTCTATTCATTTAATTACATGCATGGTACACAGTGCTGTGAAAAGTAAAAGACTTTATTTATTATTAGACTTATTTATTTAGACTTCATTTATTTCATTTCTAGTCAAAACAGCCACTGAACACAAGTAAACATAATAAGTAAACAGTAACTAAAATTAATATCAAATTGTTCTGTATTTAGCGAGTCCACTCTTTGTCTATTTTACAGCTTCTTTTCAGGAGACTTGCTTTCAGATTTTTAAAGAAATCTGCAGGGATATCTTTCTATACCTCCAAAGTTCAGTCTTAGAAGTTGTGTTTTCTGCTTCTCAAAATCCAAGTAATCCCAAACACATTCAGTGATGCTGAGGTTGTGGACAGTCTATTGTTATACCAGCAGCTTCTTTGCTTGATTTGCAAATGTTCTTCTTTTGGCCTATTTACTTTTCTCAGCAATGCCTCTTGTCAGCTACACATCCCTTCAGGCTCATAGTGTTGAGTTGTCTTCTCACAGTGGAAAGACGGACAGAAACATCTGTGGATTTTTTCAGATCTTAAACAAGAGTGGAGCTGTCTGATGGTAACAGTTTTGGTGGTCTACCAGGTCTTGCATGGCTGTGCATTTCCTCTAAATCTTTTAATATGTTTTTTGGCCTTCAGTTTTGCACACTCTTGTTTTTTTCACTTACATAATTGATTGTCTTATATCTAATCTCTTTATAAATATCTCCTGAAATGGATAACTTGCATTTAATCGTCATTTTGACTGGAAATTAAGTAAGAGTGGTTTCTGACTTTTGCGCAGCATACTGTACAATATGATTAAAATTATTATGAGTATTTTGTGCATTCTAAGCCATTCTTTCACACACAAATCCAAACAGACCTCTGGAATCAATAACATACACAGCAATGATCATACAATACACCACAAGCACAAACAACTCTGCAAAACTCTGCTCTCTCCCACAAAGCCTAATCACAGCAATAGTTCTTTGTCTATGTCCCCTGCTGATTAAGCAGTCTAATGGACACAGGAATGAAGGTGTGCTTGAACCTGTTACACCTGAAATAAGGTGCACTTTAATCCTTCTTTATAGCAATTACTGATATCCATCATAAAACACATACTGAATCCAAGTAAATGCTTCTGGGTAATCTGTTTGTTCTTATGGTTGACCCACAGTATTTAAGCACATTCACAAAAATCTTTACAATCATGCTCTAAGCTGAACAGAAAGACTGGACGGTTCCGTCACACAAAAAATACAAAAAATAAAAATAATGAAATTTGGTCACTTGCACCAAAGCAATGTAACTATAATGTAATCTACTTTTTTAGTGTTCAAAATAAGACAATTATGATTGCACTAGATTAATGAATCATTGCTGATAAAGGCCTGGGTCAATACTGAGCACCACATTCGGTCCAGCCAAAAACCAAAATGCAGGAGCACAGCACTTTTACTGGTTCATCCATCATAATCTATTTACTTCTTATACTATTCAGTTAGAATTGTTCTCAGTGGTGGTGATGGCAGCCAAATGCTTAAAGTACAATACTTTTCAGAAGGTTTTGGTCTAAAATTTATTTTTTAAAATCCATTCATGACAGAGAGGTGCATTTAGAGTACTGCAAGGCAAAATAGTCCCCAGGGAAAATTTACTTTTGGATTTACCAAAAACAGATGTATGTTCACTAGTTGTTTTAGACAGAAAATAAAATGGGTATATTTGCATTGTAGATATTGCGACTCCTGGTTCTTATCACCACCACTGTAAAGAAATCAGAGCTGTGATTTCGAGAGAGATAATCAAAGCCTGGACATTCGAACCTGACCAACAACCAGAACACTAGTGTCACTAACCTCCATGGGTTCATCCACTTCTGCTCCTCCCAGCACAGAGCCAGGGATCAGTCTGAGTAGGAAGGCCTCTGCTTCTTCAGGGAGGTTATCTTGAGTGATGTTTAATGGCAGGATTGCGATCATCTGCCCTTCAGTGAACCTCAGCGTTCCAGAGGCAGGAAACAGGTCACTAGTTACAGGGGTTCGATCTGTGGAGTTCCGTGTTATAGTCCAGTTCACCGAGACCAAACCATGAGTTCCTCCGTTCCTCACAATGGTGATGCCTTCAAACCTTGGGAGGAAAACGAAACACTACCAATGAATTATACCTTCATTTTACCTGCAAGTTATGATCTGTTAAAGTGTGAAAAATCTAAATTTACACAATTTAGTCAATCAACAGTTTGCATCTTCAGTTTTGCACTGAAGCTATGAGGCTAATGTAGCTTACAAGCAATGGAAGTGAATACCTTCTAGTAGCATTGTGCAAAGTGCATGCCCACATCAAACACTTGCCTCAAACCACATCAACTACATGGTCAAACTGTACAAAAAACATTCTTATAAAACAGTAGCAGCACCTTAATTTTGTCTTTACTTTTCCCCTTTTTTAATAGAAAAGTGTCAGAAATCTTGCTAATTAGTGGGGTACACATCACTACTTACTGGCTGCAATGCCCTCACAGTTCCAGTGCAAAACCAATATATCGCAGCTGTCAGAAGAAAACCTCGTATCTCCAAAATGACAAAGGAAAAAACATACTTTTCTTTTAATGTAAGGCAATGGAACCAGACTTCTCATTTTGGGTCATTTTTTTAGTCCATTCATCAGGAAATTTACATACAATGGGTACAAAGGATACAAAGGGTAACAAGTGTTTTCAAATTATGTCAAAAACTGAAAAATGTCAAAAATGGAGATGTGAGGTTTTCTTCTTACAACAGTGATATACAGGGTGATTCAAAAAGATTCATCCGATTTCAAAGTGGCATATTTTTACAACCATGAGGCGCATAGGAACCAATCACATACCAATTGAAAGAGGAGGTCATAGAGTTTCTGATTGTCACCGCAAGATGGCTTCCTTCAGTCTGCGAGGAGATGGCGACTCCTGAGCAGAAAGCATTTAGCGTTCTCCACTTCAATAAGAGTGAATTCGTCATAATTGTGCAACGTGATTTACGTCAGCAGTGAACCTCCAACAGCTCAGAGCATTCGTTGTTGGTTCCACAACGCTTGATGATCTCCAAAATCACACTGAAAGAGCTGTAAGTACAGCGACACCCGACATGCTCAATCGAGTATGGGACGAATTTGACTATCACGTCGATGTTGTCCGTACAGCTGGAGGAGGTTCATATCGAGCACTTGAAAAATTACATAATAAACTTTATGCTCACTTAAACCATTTACAATGTACTGCATTGTTCTGTAATGATTTACAAGTGAAATAAATCATTTTAAAATCAGACGAATCTTTTTGAATCACCCTGTATATATATCAGAAACCAAACATGTCTTGGCTGATGAACTACATTTGGAGTACGGGGTGAAAGTGCGATTTTCCACCAAACCATCGCTCTAATTTGATAGGCAGCAGTAAAGAAATAGCACAGATACAGAATAGCATACGACCCCTGTTACAATGCAAAATCCACTCACCTCGCAGTTGTGTCTTCATTAATAATAACTGGCTGTGTTGGAGGTGGACTGCTGATAGACAGCACTCCATAAGGCTTGTCATTAGGCTCGATGGTCACCTGCACAAAGCTGGGAGACACCAGAACTGCATCACCCAACAGAGTCTCCTCCAGAAGAACCAACTGAAAGGACTCAGCAATTTCTGGAACTCTATCATCAACAATGTTGATGTGCAGCACCGTTTCATGAACCCCCGGAGGAAACACCACCATCCTCTTAGCCTGGAGGTCCACAAAGTCCTCCAACAGGGTGGCACTGGCCGCTCCGTTCCCTGTGACAATAGTGTAAGCGACAGATACTTCTCTGTCGTCAGAGCCAATGAGAAGGCCATCGTCGGTTCTGCCACGGGTAACGGTCAGATTTATGATGCCAGCATTTTCAGGCACGGCCAGCGAGGGCTGAGAGAAGCGCACAGGGGCATCATTACGAGAGATTTTAATCTGCACGCTGGTGTTGTTGGGGTTCAGTAAGGCACCTCCTGCCACTCCTGTTAACTGCACAGTGAAGATCTCATCATCTTCAGGAACCTGGGTAGACACAACATCAGCATCAACATCAGAGTGTTCCACTGTTATTAGTAATGTTTATGCGGCACTAGAAATGCAGTGGTGAACCGTGAGTAGTAGAGCTAGGCCTTCAGTTCTGGACATAATTGTCAAAACTTTGCAATTTCTGCTAGAGCACCTAGGGGATTCTAGTAGCATGTTAGCGATAAGCTAATGGTGATTTATATAAACATTTGGCTGTTTTACATTAAACAAGGAATAGATTGAAGCTTGTAAAATACATTAACTGTCTTATTTGAAGCTTTTAACAGACATATTAACATATTTTATTATGTAGCAGATATAAAAGTGACTCTTTCAGTAAAGAGCCCTGCTATAGAGCTGCCACTCTTTTCCATTTCTAACACCTGACAGAAATGCATTGGTCCTGATTGGGCAGTTTTTCTTTGGACATTTCAAGAATTTACCCTATATTTTCCAATCAAAATTTGAACAATGTAAAAAGAGAATTACTACAATATTTGCAGAGTTTAAATACATCGAGCAGGATGATTATATTAAATACGAATGAACTAAAAATTACAGACATGCACGTTTTTGATTGGTTTCACAGATGCCATGAGGGTTCCCCACTGAGGAAATGTGTGCTGCTCTAAATCTTGTGCACTGATACTTCCAAACATCTCAGAGTAAAGACCCTTCATGTTATGGCTAGCAAATTAGCTAGTCCCTGCTAAATTGCTAACTGTGTTAAAATGGAAGATTGTTCCAAAAAAGCACACAAATCACATCCTTTTCCAAATGAAACTGTACACTTCTAGTGTTACTACAATTTAAGAAGTTTTTACATATAATCATATAAGATAAGCTTATTATAAGATAATAACTATAATAATAATAATAATAATAATATGAAATTATTACAATTCCAGTGCATATACCTACACTGATTAAGGGGACTGGCCTTAGATGACCTTAGATTAGATGACCTTAGATTAGATGTTCTCACTCTGACATACTTATAAACTGACACCAAGGTAATGATAAGTACCTTATCATCTTGTATGAGTATACTGAAGACCACAACTGCTCGGCCAGGAGGAATAGTGAGGTTTCCTCTGTCTGGACTCAAATCTTCACTGGCTGGGTTCGGGCCTCCAGAGATCTGTCAGTTTAAAACAATCATATTATGACATTAAAAGCCGTCTGACTGCATTAAGAGAACATCAGGCCTCAGGAACTACTGTTAGTAGTGTACTACTGTGTTAGATGAGTTAAATGACCAACACTGGGCATATGTATATTTGTGTTAATTAATAGTTAATAAAAATCAAGAATACAATAAAAAAGAACAACAATAAATTATACAAAACCTCAATTCAAACCAGCAAACCTTCAGAAATTGTGAAAAACAAAGCATAAGATAAAATTCCTGACACTCACCTCAAAATTCACAGTGACGGTTCCATACGTTCCTTTCTCTCTAATGAGAGTTAGAGGCACATACTGGTTTCTGCCCTTTGGCTCCTCCACAGTGATCAGGCTGGTCTGGAGCAAGACACAGTGCATTAATTACCATTCTAATACAAGTAATGATAACACGTCATTTTGATGGTTCACTGTAGGTAGTAGAACTCGACTGATATATTGGTTGGCTGATAATATCAGCCAATATCAACAAATCGATGTTTTATTGGTATCGTCAAAAATATCACTGAAACTTGCAATAATTAGAGACTGTTCTGGTGGCATCGCTGAGATCTAAATCTCTTGATGATGAGGCAAAATCCTTCACAGCTCTGCAACTGGATAGATAATTAAGAGTGACCATTTGTTTAACTATACAACAGAGACACAGGCTGAACTGATGAATTTCCCCAAACACCATCATGATTAGAATAACAAAAATGTGAAATATATCTAAACCTTTAGCATAAAATAAACTTTTTCTATGATAAGAAAACAAGAATAAAAAAAAAAATAAACAGTAAACATCCTGAGTATCTCCACCCTCAGTGTTATAATATTGATATTATTGACTGTGAGTTTAAGAAGTGCCATCATTAAGAACTGAAAATCATATCAGTCAATAAAGCACTGTTGAACTCAAGGTAGAGTAGTGTAAAATTAAACTATAAAATATAAAATTATATTTGTTGATATTGTCATTATTAGAGATTTCAGGCCCTTAAGATTGCTAACGGTCACATCATTTTCATATGGGTTGGGCCCTAGTGAGTGGGTGGATGGATGGATGGATTGATAGACAGATAAGACAATTTAAATAATTACCATTAACTTAAACTGACCTCTCACACTGCCCCTAAACCTAACCCTAAAGTAATTAATTGATAATCAAATGAATACTAGATACTTTAACAATCTGAGCATTTATAACTAAGCTAAAGGTTATCACCGAAATAAAACATTACAAATGTGATTTGCACCATGTATTGAGAAAGTATATTAATAAGAGTCTTGAAACTCTTGCTACTTAAAACAATCTTCATAACATTTTCATTACACGGCATTCCAATGGGAACCGAAAATGTAAACCTGTTTTGTTTATTTCAGACTCCTTGTCAGTAAACTGACCGATTGATTGAAGGATCTTGATTAAAAAATGAAGGGGGGGCTCCTTAGCCTTAGGTGGGGCAGCCCGTTCCCATGACAACATCCAAACTTCCATTGACAAGTTAATCTATTCAGCGAAGGGCTCATGTGTGTATTTTTACTCGCCCTAGCAACCCAACAGCCTCCGCAGACTCCCACCTGAGTGACCCCTCAGCAGAGGCATTCTAAACCCTTACCTCCCCCCAGTCTCATTTCCTCCCTCTCCCTCCCCCCTTGCGTTTAATTGCCCTTCAATAAACATGCAGAAATAACTCTGGACAGCAGTCGCCGTAGCAACTCTCTCAGCTGTATCCCTGAACGAATGTCTTCTACAGCTATAGAGTTCCGTTAGTCTGCAGATCTATACAGTGTACATTCACCGCCTGGCAAAAGTTTGGGGACGCCACGCCTTCTGCTGAAAGCAAAGTTTCACACTGTTACTTTTCAGTTACTTCAACAGCTGAAGTACGGATTCATTCTTAAAGTAGCACTTATGTCAGTTGTTCCTTCACTTCTGTAGTTTTGATGTTAACTTCTTGTAAACTGATGAAAAACTATGTGTCCCCAGACTTTTACCAGGCAGTATAAATACGAACGAAAGTAAACAGTGTATATAATCCTGATTAGTGTCTTACTGAGTTGAAGGAGATGATTCCAAAAGCATTGTCGTTGGACAGGATAGTGATGGTGGCTGTGTTTGGAGTCCCTACAGTCACACCATTTGAGGAGCTCTGAAATCATAAGAGCGAACACAGTTATACTGTATAAAGCTGCATCAGCTATAACACCATCAAAACAATTGAACTACAATAAAAAAAAAATCTACAAATATGATTAAACGATTAATGAAAAGAAACAGGACACACTGTATAAAACAATGGTCGTGTCCCCAAATGAGCTTTGCCGTGTATTTTTCCACTTTATTGGTGTTTTCTTTACAATGACTACAATAAAGCACATAACATGTGGGGTTAGAAGTGTATCTGATACTCAAAAACTAAAAAAACAAATGATAAATACTATGAATAACAATAATACTAATAATGATGATGAATGGAAAACAAAGCAAGCACAATAAGCAGGTTCCAATGTTGCATAAAGTAAGGCAGTGATCACCAACCCTGGTAGATCTACCTTCCTGCAGAGTCTAGTTTTAACCACAATGTGCCACATCTGCTCATTGCAGGAGGGGGACGATTGGTGAACACTCATGTAATGAAAGAGAAAACATCACATATTTAGGCTACACTTTTTTAATGAATGGTTAGATGAGCAACAAAAAAAGTCAATAATGATATGTTAATGGGCCCTTTTTCATGTATTTTAACCCCCCCGACCCAACGAGGTCCACTTACGCCATTTATATGTAAATGACCTGGCTGACCTGTGTTGTGACTAATTCAAAATGCAGTCCAGTCTGAAACACTCTTTATAACTTCAATGTGAATGGGCGGAGCCAAACTGCTGTTGGCTGAGCAGGGGATATCTGTAAATGTGTTGGTTTTGGTGACATCACAAAAACAATGGATTCATAAAGGGCTGTTTTTGCAACTTAGTTTCCATATATGCACTGTATGGACTGCGCTTTAAAACACTGTTTACATACTATATCAAACTCTTATTTTATAAATGCGAGGGAAATTCAGATTCTCATTAGGTGTTGGGCTCTTTTTAGAGAGAGTTTTCTTCAGAGACAATTTCTAACAGAGAAAATTTGCTAATATTTAGCTGCAGTAATCGAGTTCAGTGGAAAACCCAGCAACACGTGTGTTTATGTGTCTATGGCAGAGAGACAAAGAGTGAAGAGGGGCAAAAGAGGTAGAGATAATAACTAGCTCTGAGCTTAAGCCCCACGCAGACCCTACATTCAGCCCCGCATTCACACAGGCTTCTCTCGGCTGTAACAGAGCTTTTTCTCAGCTTTCTTTCACGAGCTCAGCTTTTGTTGCAGCGGTCACACAGACACAGAACACACACGCTCAAACAATTCCCTCTGCCGGCCGTGACTGAGGCCTGGCTCAATCATAGCACCAATGCGGACCCCCTCACTCCCCCCCTCCTCCTCCTTCCTGAGGATATGGAGAAAAACGAGAAAAATATCTTTATATCATAATAATGTGATAACATACAGAGGTGTAACATACATGTTTTCAGGTTTGATATGATTTAGAATTCTGAGGTCAAGATTTTAACTTCAGTAACAAAATAAGCGCCAAAAATGGGAATCCCTAGAATTTATATGCAAATTTTTAAAAGCATTAAAATGCCAAATGAGTCAGTGAGAATAGCATAAACTCCTCCCTCTCTCTGCCCACTTTACTGTGACAAGACGCATCCATGTTTTATTCCTCAAAAGCCAGTAAATAAGAGATCCTGGGAAGAGACTAATGGGCATATTGATACAGTTTGGAGATATACAGTTGTATCAAAAAGTTTGGGCACTGCTGGTCAAAGTGAAAATAAGTCAATACATCCTCTACAGAGAACACACTTCTGCACATTTTAATGTACAATAATTGTTTATTTGCTGAACTTAACATATTGTAGATTAACGCAGTTTCACTTAGGAAAAAGAATAAAACATGTAACTTGACTGGGGTTGTTCAAACTTTTGCATACAACTGTACATTGGGGTCCACAAGTCTAAGACCACTAGTGAAAATGCTGACATTTTGCATTATGCAATTTAATACAAAGTTTTCATTCACAAATTATATTATCATATCACCATTTGAGTGTAAAGTACAGTCTTCGAAATGTTTACATGAAGTTCAGCATTTCTTAGTATTCGGTATGTCCCCATATTGCTATTAATAACAGAAAAGAATGTCAAACAGAAGATCTGTGGACCCAACTGTGTATCTGAGACTCATATTAATTTTAATACCACTTTGTGACAGTGTTTGCAGATTACAATTCCTCACTCTTACAACTACATAACTACATGTTAGTTTCATAAAAGCGGGCAAATAATTAATTTTAGTTACTGAATAATAGTGTTCAGTCTTAAGATTAATAACTGAGCAATAAATCTGCAGTTTACTGGGTTAAACCAAAGTGGGTCCAAACTGACCTCTAATACCACCATCCTTCAATGCTGTTAAATGTTCTTGATATTTTGTATCTGTGCATTAATTCAGATGGGTGACTAGCCAATTAGAGAGAGAGGGGGGGGTGGGGATTGTAGCCTATCTGAGCTACACTATTTGTACTTTGTGCTCATTTCAATGACATTAAAACAATAGCTAACTAAACAAATAATACTAATACAATAAATTACATAGCACAGGGACTTTGATATGAGAGAGATAATAGAATGGACAAGCTGGCATCTAAGAATGCATGTACTATGATACGCTAATCAATCATTTTGTGCAAGAACTGCAACCTAAAATGAAAAAAATCTAAAAAGAAAAGATTGATAGAAACAAATAATGGGCTGTCAGACAACATTCTGAACCAATCAACTCCAAACAGTAAGCCTAAGCTCCATGTTTCGACCATCAGCGCGAGCTCATGGTGCCAGTGGACCTTTGCCTCCTTTAAGTGCCTCTGTTCTGTCCTCTCCGTGCCAGTCCGAGGCTCATTTGTCAACAGTAGACAAGCTGACCAAGGAGCTGAGACCTAACACCATTAATCAATCCCTGACAGCAGCTGATGGGACCATGGTGATCAGGGGCCTCTGCCGAGACTCATGCGGCTCATTGAGCAAACATCGGAATACTTCTCTTCACAAAATTTCACTCAAAGAACCATAAGGAACCCGAAGGAACCAACATGTTGTTTGCCTATAACGCATCTTTAAGGGGGCGGTTTGGCGTCAAATCAAATTTACATAATTGTCCCCCACACCAAATGTTGCCGGCAAGATATGTTTTGTGTCCAAAGTTCACTTCTTTAGTTTTGCACTGGAGCTGCGAGGCTAACAAGGAATAGAAGCTTGTAGTGCATCATGCAAACAACAAAAAAATCTGGCTTCAAAACGAGGCCTGCTGTTTTCAGCAGTGCAGCAAACTTTTTTCTATTTGTGTAAATATGTCATTGTACCATTGCAGCAGCACACTGTGTACAAATGTTGGTAAGTGTTAAATACAGTATGTTATATTGAACAACATCAGTAAAGTTGCAACACCACTGACTGTAACACCACTGACAAAATTACTACAGTCTGAGCTTTTCTAAAACATAGTAAACTGTCACTTTACTTTCAAAGTCACACTGTATGTAGAAAATGTAAATCGCTACTGTAGGAACAAAACCTTGTATCTCCAAAATGATAACTTTACAGGAGAAGGAAAAAACCTACTTAAATGCATTTTGTCCAAGTCATTTTTGGTCGTTTGTTTTGGTCAATTAATCTTGAAATTTACACACAATGTAAAGGACAGCCAGTTTAAAATTAAGGTAAAAAATGGAGATATAAGGTTTTGTTCCCACAGCAGAGAAATATTGCATGTATGTTGTTATTTCATTTACATTTTTTAAAATCACTTAATGTTTCATGAAGAACACCACTGTCGCAACATTTCCACAACACAGGAAGCTTTCAATGTTTCCGCCAAATTTATGAGAAATATAAAAAGAGATTTCTCTAACTGTGGACTTGTCCATCCATACAAGACTTTGTGTTGCTGTAACACCACTGACAAAAAATCGTCAGAGATTTATTATCAAAAGAAAAGTGTATTGTCAGTGTCCAAAGAAAAACATGTGTCTCCCAAATAGTAACTTCACAGGAGAGGGCAAAAACCTTCTTTACTTTTAATGTAAGTCAATGGAAAGAGATTTTTTTCTAAGCAATTTTGGTGCATTTTGTTTTTGGTCCGTTCATTCATGAAACTTTCATACAATGTATAGAATGGCTGCTGTGCTCAAGTGATGTAGAGAAGTGAAAATCGCAAAATGGAGATACATGTTTTTCTTTAGACAGCAGAGATATATGACACATAATTAGAGAAAAGTTATAGAAATTATGGCTTCACATACAGTAATATTTCACCTACATCTGTGAAGTCACTGCTGTTACATGCTGTTTTTCTAAATAACTAAAAATCACTAAAATAAAACAATTAAGAGAAGAAGAATTATAATTTTGGTAAACTTTAGGAAGGAGTTGTGGGTCGCCATTTGCCACTGCAACAGTAGAATGACCGATAGTATGTTATACTGTGTCAGAAACCACATGAGCAAGTCTATTTGAGATTAATTAACAACTCAACAGATTATAATTTAGGCGTATTCTACCTTTTACCTTCATTAGACTTGTAGATTCAGTGCAAAAATAAAGAAAAAAATCCATAAAAATGGAATAAAGTTTGAACAAATTGTAGCAATCAAGCAAAAAGCTAATGTTTTCAGCTACATACTGTAACAAGAGTTCTGTTTGAACAGTGTTGGGTGTTTATTTCTTTATATCACTCTGTTTTGTGTTAATCGGTAACAATGCAGTTACTGCTGGAAGAAAATCAAGTTGTTTGGAGAGTTTTGGTTCGCTTACTATAATTGAATTTACTAGCCAGCAAGATGAGTATGTGCACTTGTGGGGGGTTGGAAAAAAAAGTGGACACTGCCTGTCCTGTAATCTTTATCAAGACTAGCGTGTTAGCATGTAAGTGTATGTTCCCACCGTTCAATAAAAGGGCCCTTCTTGGAGCTTTTTGCCATCTGTTTGGTACAATACTTTCGCCAATTTTAATAGATAATAATGTCATAGTGTCAAAAAACACCTAAAATCTATTTTAGATTACTACTAGATGCAGCTTAAGGCAAGTGTATGATCTTCTAAGTATGCAGTTAACACAACGTTAATTGGTGGAATCGCTAACTGTTAGCCTTGTAGCTACGGTGCGAAACTAAAGAAGCAAACTTCAGACACTGAACACGGTGCGTCAACGGCTGAAGATCTTTTTGCTTTTTTCTTCTTCAGCTTAGTTCCACATCACTGATTGTCTTATAGTGATTCACTGTGAATAATTTCTCTTTAATCTAACGGTCAGGAGAGTTTGTGCTTGTCACAATGGCTTTCTTCCCACAAAGGTGACTCTTAATGCACTCTTGCTGCTGCCGTGGCATTGCCTAAGCCTGAAAAAGGGTCTACAGAAGACATCAAAGGGCACGCCAGGGCTTATGAGGCCTTTGGCCGGGGCTGAAAAGGCGAGGAGCGCACGGAGTGATCGCACTGAAGCAAGTGTTTCAGGGCTCCTTCTGTTGTGGACAAGAGCACAGGCGCTCTCTGTGGGGGCGCTTACTCTGGGTTTGAGGGGGTGGTCCATGAAAAGACAGAGGGCAAAAACACCAACACATGCAAGCAAATGTAAAGAAAGAAGATATTCATAACACAGACCTCCCATGGAGAGCAATGACAACCACAGCTAACTGCATCAATAGTGCTTTAATGTACATTACTGATTAACCCACAGATGTCGAGGCTTATTATTGTTCTTTAGCTGTACAATTTAAATGCAATTACATAGTAATTAATTAGTTAGATCCTTAATGATTTATATTTTGTTTACACTCTTTATCGACAGGTTTGACTGTGTCTATCTGACTTTTTTCCATTTGTTTCAATGTCAAGGAACAACAAAAAAGTGGCAAAAATGGAAGAGTGTACAGGAGTGTACAGACAACAATAACTTTTCAGATTCAAATCAATTGAAAAAGTTTTTGTTTCAAGAAGCAATGATGAGGAGATACAGTCACATTTAAAGGTTTGGCACACCAGGTCAAATTACATGTTTTATTGATTTTATAATCAAACTTATGCTACATTCACATTACAATCCTCATTACTACATCCGATCTCTCTGACACGATGGTTCACACTCGTTTAGGTAAGTGATTCAAATCTGTCATTAATGTGAACGAATCGGTGTTCTGAAATGATCCAGATGCGCACATCCTACTCATTAACGTCACGTGAATTAAACACGTGCATCATCAGCACACAAACTAACGAGCAGAACGATCCTTCGCTGTGAAGATAATTAACTCTGAACAGCTCTCAACTGTTCATTATTGGAGCGAGACGAAGGCGAAAAAGGTGAGATGTGTTGCTTTTCCACCGTTTACGGGCTTTAACTTCTGTTTGGCGCTGCTGTCATGGTAACACTGAATGATGGCACACGTGCAGTGGAAAAAAGCACATGAACTCTGATCTGAGCGTTCTCATTAAGGCCGCAAGGCCACGAATCGGACACGTATTTGAACTAGGACCACATATGAAAGTGGCTCAGGTCAGATTCGAAAAGATCAGATTTGTGTGTCCACACGGCTCTGAAAACATGAGATCTGAGTCACATTACGGCAAAAAATCGGATTTGTGCCGCCTCAGCCTGGTAATGTGAACGTAGCCTTAGCGCTGCACTATGTCAGGTTTTGTTAAAATTGGCCAGGAAATAAAAACACCAAAATACGGTACTCAAGAAGAAGTGCCAGCTCAACGCGAAATCAATGAGCTGAAAAGCAATATCAACATTATACCAATGAAGATATGATGATAATAGTAGATAATTAACTTACACCCATGCAGCACGTCCTTCACCAAGTTTTGACTGAGTTCTGTTTGAATACTCTTTCAATGCACTCGCCATCATCACTCACTAATTAGCAATCAAGTACACATTTCTACCAGAGAGGACTCCAAATCTCCAAAATGTACATAATGTGGCATTAAATGTGTCATATTTTAAATATGTGCATATTTTGACATACTAGAAAAAAAAAGAAACATAAAATGAGGCATGCGCCCAAACTTTTGCACATGCCACATTTTATGTTTTATTTTCTCCCAGCATGTCAAATTCAGCCAATGAACAGTGACTGTGCAATAAAAACTGCAAACGGCTGTTGCCTGTAGAGGGTGTTTTAATACATTTTCAAAACCAGCAAAACATGTAATTTGACCAGGAGTGCTCAAACGTGTACAGAAGAATGGAAGAATGTAACTTCAACCACGACCATAACATTCCAATTTTTAAATACTTTCATGTTACCTGGAGTCGGAGGTTGAACACAAAGGTTTCGTCAGCTTCAGGCAGGTCATCGTCCTTAACAGCGATGAAGATGGTTTTGCTGGACTCGGACGACAGGAGGAAAGCAGCTGCGGTGGTGGCCTCAAAGTCTCCAGTGTCCTCACCCTGCAGCTGCATCACCACAAACCACAGCTTAACTACTGTCACATTCTATTCAGTCAAAGATCCATTCATACTTTCACATGCATGGTCTAAATAAGCGTCTATGAAAGATCTATGAAAAGCACAAATTGGACCTAAATGAATACAGTATCTGTCAAAGGTTTGGATGCACCTGAGTGAATTTGTGTTTATTGTTATGTTAAATATATTTTTAATTAAATGGGTTATGCTTAAATGCTTGTATCTGGTTTCTAAATCAAACATGAAATATGTACAGTACTGTGCAAGTTATTCATTATTCAGCATCAGGGAAAAAAAAAATGTAGAAAACCTATATTTAAAAGATCCCCAAGAAGCCTCAACCATATAATACCACACTTTACAGTATTTAGTGTGTTCACCCTTTGCCTTTATTACAGCCTCCATTCTTTTCATTATTTCCAGTTGCATTTTCTGCCTCTCACAATTCAAGTAATCCCAAACACATTCACTAATGTTGAGGTCTGGACTCTGGGGTGGTCAGGGCATTGTTCTGAGAACATCAGCAGCTTCTTTGTTTAATTTGCAAATGTTCCTCTTTGTCTCTTTTCTTTTCTCAGTAATGGCTTCTGGGCAGCTACACATCCTTTCAAATCCATATCACTGAGCTGTCCTCTCACAGTGAAAGTAAGAAGTTCTTTTATGCATTTTGACCCTTCAAACCATCCACTGTAGTTCCAGGCTGAAGCCCAGCTGCTTGCACACTGTATAACACTCAGACAGAATCCATGATTTTAGCCCTCTTATTCAAATACAGTTCTCCTTAAAAACCTCCACTGTAGCAGGAATCCATGAGCTTTACGAACAACAATGAGAGTAAGAGGCTACAATCACACAGGAGTTTGAACCACTGACTGCTTACATGATACGTATGATATACTGTAGCCACTGCTGCTCTCATAGGACATCAGTGTTGAAAACTGGAAACTGTGGTCACTCAATAGAAATCACATGATTTTCATGTTCGGGTTAATGTAAACCCTGTTTTACATGATGAAAATTATAAATACATTCTGATAAAGCTTATTTTGTCCGCTCATATGGCTATAATAAGATGTACTGCTTTTTAAAAGGCAAATAACCTTTATTTAACTAAAATCTGAGCAAATAAGACAAGTGTGGTTGACTAGTATGGCAGCCCCAGTTATTCCATAGTTTTAATGTCTTCACTGTTCTAAAATGTGGCAAATAGTAAAAATAAGGAAGACTTTCTGTAAGCAGGCATATCTTCATGTGTTTTTGACTGATACTGAATCTAGAACTGTCCATAATTTCATAATGTTTCATCTCCTTACATTAAGAACCTAACTTGAGCAAATTTCCATTATATTTCATTTAATCACTCTACAGCTTTGGACCAAACAGCGCAACATCAATTTATCTGTTGCTAAATGTGTGACATGCATAGCAGTTCCAGAGAGGAAGAGTATGGGAACTCCTCTGATTCTCAAAGGCTTCCCCAGCGGACAACACACAATTACCCACCATTACCACCATTTCTACTTGCATTCATGCCACCCACTAAATCCCACAACAAAAAAAAAAGGTCATAGATCTTCCCTTCACACCACCATGGGGGGCATTTGACTGAAGAGCAACACTGGGACACTTAGCGTGACAGTTAGTGCTCTCTGTTGAGCACTTGGCAGCAATGGGCTGCTATGCTAATCATGCACAGATGTGCAAGGCGATGAGTTAGCGAGTTAAGAGCGGGCAGATGTTTGAGTGTGGACATCCAAGCTGCTGTGACGGCACATCTGGCTTACATAGTTCTGTAATACTGTGTGATGTCACATCAAGTAGGAGGCTAATTGTGAGCGCTCAATCATTTCAGGCTACTGTTGTCCCAAAGAACTGCTGAAGAGACAGTTCATATATCTCTTTGTCAACAGACTTCAGAAGGATTATCTTTGTACTCTGTAAGCACAGTTTTCACCCAGCAGTAAAGATGGCATGATATCACTGTTTCCAACACTGATACTGATACTGAACTCCTAAGTAATTCCAGTGATTTCTCAACTTTTCTGCAAAATTCAATCGATGAGATGTAAACAGTCATTCAGTGGGGTTTAATGTAAAACTATGCATTGTAAATAAACATATAAACTTGGAGGGTATCACACTGCTCAGCCTCCCTGGGAAAGTCTATGCCAAGGTGCTGGAAAGGAGACTTCGACCGATAGTTGAACCTCAGATTGAGGAGGAACAATGCGGATTCCGTCCCGGCCGTGGAACAATGGACCAGCTTTTCACCCTCTCACGGATTGTTGAGGGGGCATGGGAGTTTGCCAACCCAGTCTACATGTGTTTTGTGGATTTGGAGAAGGCTTACGACCGTGTTCCCCGAGATATCTTGTGGGAGGTCCTCCGGGAGTATGGGGTGCCGGGGTTACTACTCCGGGCCATTTAATCTCTGTACGCCCGGAGTGAGAGCTGTGTTCTTATACTCGGCTTTAAGTCGGACTCTTTCAGTGTTAGCGTTGGACTCCGCCAGGGTTGTGCCCTGTCTCCACTCCTGTTTGTAATATTCATGGACAGGGTGTCAAGGCGTAGCCAGGGTCAGGAGGGCATTATGTGTGGAGGCCGGAGGGTGGCGTCTCTGCTATTTGCAGATGATGTTGTTCTTTTGGCTGGATCACATGGATGCCTCCAGCGCACACTGGAGCGGTTTGCAGCTGAGTGTGAAGCGGTTGGTATGCGGATCAGCACCTCCAAGTCTGAGTCCATGGTCTTAGCCCGGAAAAGGATGGTATGCCCACTCCAGGTAGGGGGAAAGGACTTGCCCCAGGTGGAGGAGTTTAAGTATCTCGGGGTCTTGTTCACGAGTGATGGGAAGAAGGATCGTGAGATCGACCGCAGGCTGGGACAAGCGGCAGCAGTAATGCGGTCGCTGTACCGGACTGTAGTGGTGAAGAGGGAGCTGAGCCGTAAGGCGAAGCTCTCTGTTTACCGATCGGTCTACATTCCGACCCTCACCTATGGTCATGAGCTGTGGGTAATGACCGAAAGAATGAGATCGCGAATACAAGCGGCAGAAATGAGCTTTCTTCGCAGGGTGGCGGGCTACACTCTATTTGATAGGGTGAGGAGCTCGGCCATCCGGGAGGAGCTCGGAGTAGAGCCGCTACTCAGCTGAGGTGGTTCGGGCATCTGATCCGGATGCCCCCGGGACGCCTCCCGGTGGGGGTGTACCAGGCACGGCCTACTGGAATAAGACCCCGGGGTCGTCCTAGGACCCGCGGGAGGGATTATATCTCCAAGTTGGCCTGGGAGCGGCTTGGGGTCCCCGGGAATGAGCTGGAGGAAGTTGCAGGGGACAGGTTCACCTGGGATTCTCTGCTCTCCCAACTGCTACCGTGACCCTATCTGGACTAAGCGGTTAACGATGATGATGATGAACTTGGATTTCTTTACAGAGGTGGTGAAGGGAACCAGAGGTTCCAGTGTCTACAATGCAAATAGTCATTTTATTTGTTTTTCAAAATGACCAAATAGTCTTCTGAGTTTTATATGTACTACTGATAAAGGTAAAATAGTTGTAAAAATGTTTTTTTCTTTGTCATTTTGCATCCTTTTATGAAAACTTTAATGAAGGTTTAGCCCTGCCCACCCTCGACATAACTACATTGTGCAAATATGTCTATTTCCTTTCTACTAATGCTAATAGGCACACAAATAATGCAGGTTTTCTGAGATATCACTGGCTTCTGAGGTCTTTTTTAATGTATTGCTAATTGCTAAATGCTCAATTTATGCTAGATTGTGATATAATAACAGTGATACTGTGAACAGTGTTTTCTTGATTAAAAGAAAAAACGATATTTTAGTTATCTGTTCCATAAAATTCTTTCTCTGGAGTGTGTCTTCATAAAGAAATAAATATTTTAATTCTATCATCTAAAGACTCGATTTTGTTTATTACAGATATGCAAATAAATGCATATCGAATCATTTAACATCTCTACTATCTACTTGTATTTCTTCATAAACTTCAAATACAAAAAAAACTTGTAGGAATATCAGTAATCAACTCACAAAGATTCAGAGTGATGCTTATTATGATGTTTTTAAAAAAATTACTCTGTAAGCGTTTAGATCAAAATGTCTTTGAGGGCACTTTCACACCTAACCTGTTTGGTGCAGTTCACTGCTGGTGGGAATGCATTTTGTGATAATTCGTATCAAATGAAGGAATTCAACATCTGAGTATATTTTTCTGCTTCTTGTAGCAACACATCAGCGTTGAACTGTCTGCAAAATTTGTTTTAACATCCAACTCTTGATAGACATTCATATCATTCCTGCTACTTAAGCTGCTGTTAATAACAGTAAAGCAATAAAATAATAGTGAAGCAGTGCCTTTAAGTTTGGCACATGGATACTACATCACTGACCTGACTGGTTACATTCAGCAGATATCAAGTAAGGTTAATTGTTACTGCTTTGACTGTGATGCAGATGTTAAACAACTCTATTTTCACGCAAAGTTGGAGTTTTTTGCCTCAAATGGTGGCAAATGTGAGACTAAGAGATCTCTTGTATCCCTGCAACAATTTTGGACCAGTATACATGCACTTGTGCATTATTTGGTGCACTTTAGCCGAACTCAACCGAACCAAATAAACAAGATACAATGTCACAAACACCCAAAACTCTGGTTCAGACTTTAGCAAATGAATTAGGTGTGAAAACAGCCTTTAAACAACAAACATTTAATCAGGTGTGTTTAAACCTTTGACTGATACTGTACTCCACCACTTTATTACTCACTGCTTTCAGTCTTGGATTCAAGATTTGTGATTGTGATCAGATCTCCAGTTTGTCCTTGTTGTTTCAAGTATGCTTTGGCAATTCTGTAACTGTTAGTGAACTGAATTGGCTGGTACTTTATAAGCAGATCACTGCCATATCTACACTTGCACTTCATCTCAGTGAGGAATGAAGAGCTTACTAGCACTAAGGCAGTGACGTTGATGGGGTCTCCCACTCTCTCCACCACCAGGCGCACTATAGCCCTGCTGCTCTCGTTCACCACGAACTCTGTCTGCCCCTGGAACCTCAGCACCGCTGACTCTGGCCTGGCACTGGGGATGAGGAGCACCAGGAACAAGCCAGCTATAGCCAGGAGCCCTGGCATTCCTGTAGACCAACAAGAAAAACAGAGATGAAACAGCTGTGCAATCTGCCTTAACTCACATCAACAAAATCAAACAAAAGCTATAAAAGCATGGTATAACTTTAAACTATCACTTGTAGTTTCTTGAAACATGTGAAGAAATTCTATATAAACTTTCAAATGATACCACATTTCATACACAGGAGATATTTTATTATGAATTAAGTCTCAGGTGGCCCGTATGAGGAGGTGATACAAGAGCTCAGGGAGGAAAAAAAGGGAGAGAGAGAGGAGAATACATCTCTGAAGGAGGGTGAGGTGGAGGAGAACGCCCCAGCAGATCCTCCGAGTAAGTTCAAACAGAAAAACATGAAGAAAGAATTGAGAATCAGTGTTGGAAAGTTGATAAAATAACCGTTTTAACCTTAAATATCATTCCAGGTGTTCCAGTCAGAGAGGAAGCCAGTGAAGACGCTGCTGTTTTATTCTTTACTTTTATTGTTTTCTTCTTTCTTTACACCTTGGTTTATGCATTTTATGTTTAACAAAATCACTAAGTGATTTTCTTTAAGCTTGGTTATATTTTGTGTTCGTTTCATTGGATTTTGTTTAACAACACTTTTGTTACACTGTAAAACCTAATTACACATCTTAAAGAATTAACATAAATACTACAAAAAAAAATCAAAGATCAAAGTTGAAACTAATTCAAAAATAAACTGTTAAGACATCAACAGTCATTTTGAGTAAAAGCAAGATACTTAATCAAATGTATTATACTCAATATTTATAACGTTTAAGTTGACGTTACAGGCAAATACAAACAGGACGGTGTAATAAAAAACATAACAGAAACGGGCTGTTTTTAAAAACTCCCTCTCTTCTGAGTACATATGCACACTTACAACAAACAAGTCTTGGCCACAACTTAGTAAGGCGTGGGAACGAGATCCTAATGCATGGCCACAACTTAGTAAAGCATGGGAACAAGATAATTAGGTCATGGCCACAACTTAGTAAGGCATGGGAATGAGATAATTAAGCCTTGGCCACAGCTTAACAAGGCATGATCTCGTTCCCACGCCTTACTAAGTCGTGGCCACTATTTAATTATCTTGTTCCCACACTTTACTGACTCATGGCCACGCTTTAGGATCTTGTTCCCACACGTTAATACACCGTGGGAATGCATTATTTTTATTTATACAGTGTGTCACCAGCAGGGCTCTGTAAGTTTCTGCAGTACAATATGACTTTGTTACAAGTATTGTCTATTTTATTTTTAATGGAAGAAACTTGATTTGTGTAAAGGCAGTGAATTTAAGTCATTAGTGATGAGTTGATTGAGTTTTTCATAATCAATGCAGGACTTAATTATGACTATTGTTCTGGAGTGAATGTCCTACAGTACAGGGCATTAAGGCATCGCTGCTAAGGCTAGCCAGAGTGGCTGCTGTTAGTCTGGACAGCGATGCTGACTCTTGCACAAAAGCATGACTGGTGAGCATAACAGTTTGACAGAGCTGGATGAACCTGTTTAGAGTTCAGCAGAAGAAAGGTCTTATACAATTATTCTACCATTCAAAAGACTGGAATCACTGTTTACAGTAATATCAAACCAATTTGGTTACAGAGAGATGTATAAAATGAGGGTAATGTGTTCCAGATTAATAAAAGAAAGCTAAAAAGCTGTCAAAAAAAGTCATTCAGAATGTTTAATGTGAAACATTTCAGAGAAACTTATCGAGTCAGATTGTTCATAGTGGTGGTGATAGGAACCAGACATCTGAAGAGTTCATTGCCTCTAAAAGCTCCCTCACAAAACGTTATGGAATGGTTATAAACACAATGTCATTGTTTTACACTAGTTTTGAAGGTTTTGGTCTAAAATATATATACACCTTTTAATACCTTCATGGTGGAGAGGTCACTGTAAGACAAAATAATATCCCAAAAATGATTTTATCAGATTAACAAGTAAGACACATATATATTCACTGCTCATTCTGGACGGTAAATAAAATGCGTATATCTTTGTTATAGACATCACGACGGGTTCCTATCACCGCCACTGTAAAGAAATCAGAGTTGATAAGTTACAATGAATACAATGAATCATTTCACATCAAACTGGGGGTGTCACAAATGTGAATAAGTCATCTAATTTCCAGACTGAGAGGTGAGGGTGTTTTTGTAAGCTTGTGTTGATGCCAGTTGACAGGACTCAGGATTGGGGTTGTAACAGTGTGACAGTGTCGTTTATCCACAGGATGAATAAATGTGGTGAGATGTCTTGAGTGAGGTGATGGACAGTCATCTTTCTGGAAGATCTTCTGATTGAGATCAGATGTGATGCTCTTAATTGGCATCACCAGTGTTGGAAAATACAGGTCCAGAAAGTAAAAATCCTTCCCAGGATTTTGCTCCATTGCCTGACTTCTATAATTAGCTCAATCCAGTAGCAGAGGTGTACAGTTTGAACAATATCCTGGGAAGGATTTTTACTTTGTGGGTCACCTCTATGGAAAGGAATTCATGCCAAGTTGAAAAGCAATCATTATAGTGAAAAACCATGAAATGCTACGGACACATGACATTACTCTTCCGTAGTGACATGCAAAATATGTGAGAAAATGAAAAACAAAACCTCTGTCACATTGTTTTCAAGTCACTCGACACTTGACTTGACACTTGATTACTGAGCTAAAATCCAGATCTCTTGATCGGATTTCTGAATCAGATTTTCAGACCTTACTCTGATCTAAAAAATCAAAGTATGCTGTTCACATGATCACTTGAATAATCAGATAACTGCAGAAATCTGATTATGGTTGGACTACTGAGTGCATGTAAATGCACTCAGTGTAATGGATCTTTTCATTTTGGTACATTTTCCTCATGTTACTGTTTAAATGTCATGTGTGTCTTGCATTTCATTGTTTTGGTTGCATTTTAAAGAGGCAAATATATTTGTCCAAAATAAGAGATCAAGCGACATGAAAACAGTGTAACAGAGGTTTTTTTATTTTTTATTTTGGCATGTATTCTGTATGTCAATATGGAAGTGTAATGCCACATACGCATTACACTTCACATTTGTCCACTGCAGTGATTGCTTTTCACCTCTAATAATCGATAACACAAGCAAAACAAGCTAGTTTGCAAAATGCTATTGTTAGCTAAAGGAAGCGTTTTAATGCTTATTTTAACAGTATGTAATGTGTTCTCTGCACATGCGACAGACATCTACACGCTTATTTTGACTTTTTTTGTGGGGGGGGTGGATTTCTCAGCCATGCTCACGTTACATCACTATGTTACATCAATGGGTTAATGACAGGCTAGGTGTTGGATGAGTGCACCAACTCCACCATCATGAGGAGATGGAAGTGCAGGCAGACTCCAACCTATCAATATAGAATGTACTGCATGTGTAAGTAATTCACTACAACTATCAATCACTTAATAAATGATGTAATTATGCAACTAATAATGTAATTATTTTTAAATAGTATCTTGCTATTTATAGATAAAGTGGAATTCCACATTGACAAAAGAGATTCTTAATTTAAGCAGATTTACTGCGATTGCAGTATTAAGTATCTGTCTCTGTAACAACATGGTATCATAAATCAGTGAGTTTAATGAGTGCAGTTAATAGGAAAGGTAGTAAAATGTTTAATAGTGGAGCATTTTAAGCATCGTTTTGGAACTGTGATGTAACATGCAGGGCTAGTAGCAAATGCTGACACAAAGCTGGAGTGTTATAACCATCATCTTCCCAGTTTGCAGGCTGATCCTAATGACTTCTGAGTTTCATCATGCATTAAGGGAAGATTTGCTCATAGCTGAGATTAAATCAATGTCTCCTTTTTATTTCTTTGATGGAATAAATCCATGCAAAGCTACATGATGTCACTGCATGTTTGTATGTGACTTGATGGGATGCTGATAATGCCCTGATGTGCCATTGAGCTTCTTTGGTTTTGCCTCAGGCCTGGGACAAATGACCAGGCCTGTCTGTCTGTCTGTCTCTCTCTCTCGCTCTCTCTTTCTCTCTCTGACGTTCGGTGACTCGTGAGCAGTTGTCATGGCTCACAAAACAAACAACTTGTGGGTGTGTTCATTGCTGATTTGTGGGCATCTCCTAGGTCATGCGCTCCTTTTGGTACAAATGACCGCATGCGTTCTTTTTTTTTGCGCCATTTTTTTTGCAGATATTACAGCCAAATTACAGGGTTGAGAAGTACATGGAATGAAGTCATTTTGTTTTCTTTCTTAATTATTTCTTTCTCGGCAGAAGGGAGATTGCTTAGGAAAGTTGGAGCTTGGAAAGATCCACTTCTTCATATGTTCCATTCCTGCTAGATCATTTGGGGTTATTTTGGGCAGCGAGGGTGTTTGGAGCAGAGGGGGATTCATCAATCAAGGTGCCAAGCTAGATTAGCGTAGTGGTCCTTTTTCTGGAGAGTCAGGGTGAGCTCGGAACTAGTGGAAGACTTTTATTGTAAAAGAGAGAGGAAGAACTGCAGCAGTAAGCATGGAGAGGATTTACTGAAATTTTGTCCCAACATGATGTGCCTGAGGGAGAGAAAGGAAATGACGGAATAAGACGAGAAGAGATGGAGAGGGACGATATTAAACTCTTAAACAATAATGTGCAAAAAGGGTTATTTGGAACGATCTATGCTACAGAAGGATCTATTTTGGTGAAGCGTGAAGAACCTTTAAAAAGTTTAAAAGAACTTTCACATAATGTAAAGGTTCCATACCAACTAACTGTATGGAAATGAGCATTTTGCAGATGATCCATTCAGAGAATGTGGTGATTTAGGGAGAGACAGCACGTCTATGTTCATGTTGACCACAGTGGAACATTTCTGCATATAGAATCGGAGCTTTTCTATCACTGAATACGAGGCTTCCTTTACTTTTGGATGCACTGTAGCAACTGAGCAAGTTCAGTTCAGATCAGTTGGTTCTTATTGTTTTGTTTAATCGAAGTATGTTTAAATGCATCTAAAGA